AGTATGGCGTTCACACGGTCCTCGTGGCTTGACCGGCGCAGGGCGTAGGAGCGAGTCTTTTCTTGTTCGGTTGGCGCTCTCCTCTTCTTTCGGAGAGGTCTTGACTCGTCGGCTCGCTGTCTCGAACTGAATTTGCAGCGAGGTAGGCCCCTTATTTATGGTCGCCCACGCGCACTCGGCCAGCGCTATTATGAGTCCGAGCACGGTGGGCGTCTATTGTTCTCTCGGCCGCCTCGCTCGCCTATTGTTTGCCTAGTCGCTCTATTAGTCGCCCGTATTGTGACTCGCTCCTGCGTTCCCACGCCAAATTAAAGACCACGAGGACCAATCTTTATTTTCAAACAAATATTTACAAATTACTTATATTTAAGTTTGTATGCTAACTATTTTTAACATACTGTCTATTTGGCTATTCTTTATTTCTATTTATTCTCTATTTTATGTTACTTATTTTTAACATAACTATTTATTTCCCCTGTCCTTTACTATCTATTTACGGACACCTTTATTTATTCATTACGGACATTCTCTATCTATTTACTTATTCTAAAACTATTTCTAATTTTTCTGAATGTCCGTCGGGAACAACTATGATTTTTATGTTCGTCGCGAACAGTATCTCTTCTAATCTTATATTTATTCATGTCCGTCGCGAACAATTTACCTGTCTTAACAGTAGTTTTGATTACAGATATCTAAGATTTGAACAACATGAAAATCTTTTCGAAAAATGATAAATATAAAATCGGTACCTTATTAATGTTAGCAATGTCAATATTAATGGCATGAGTAAGCTAGTTCAAGTCACTCTCCTCACCTCTATTTCTCAATCCACACTAGCTTAGTTAATACATTATAAACTAATTTTTATAGTTATTTATAGTTTATGCATAATATTTTTATACTGTTTCTACTAATTTATTATATGTCTTGCATGCCGCTATGCCCTACCATTAGTTGCAAAACAAGTGGCGTAACCAACCTTTGACGAATTATTGTAAAGGAGTAAGTATAAAAAGTGAAAGTTTTTTAGACGGTCCAATATAATATTTATCCTTTTGACTCACTTGCCTAAATAAATATACCATTTAGTTATTATTGTTTTGATTGAACTAAACTTTTAATCGACAAAGTTTTAATTGGTTATAATTCAATCGAGGGTTATTTCAGAGTTGTATTGAAAAAAAAATGCTATAAATTTTACTTTAAAAATGCTTTCAAAAATGATTATTTGCTTACTTTGGTAAAATTTTGCTAGGCCTATGCTTGGCGATTTGCTTGTAATGAACTCAGAAATAAGAATAATTTTAAGATAAACTATTAAATATTGCTATATAATATATAATACGTAACGTGGGACGCCCCCTGGCTAGGTGGTGCGATGACCTCCCAATGGTAGCCGGTAGAAGTGGATGAGGAGAGCCGAAGACCAGGCTCTGTGGTGTGGATTGGGAGAGGCCTATGTCCATCAGTGGACGGCTGTGAGCTGATGATGATGATGATGATGATGTAGAGAGGCCTCGCGCTCATCATAAACCTAGGGGGTTCTTGTGAATTAAATTATTCGTTTGTCTCTTAGATGACTCGCGAATCGGATCTGTCACTGTTCACATTAATAACGACGTCGCGTCACTTCATGACGTGCCTGTGGAACTGCACTCAGTTCTGGATATGCAGCGTTTGTTTCATAGCTCTGTTACAGGTTAGTGTGTGTTTGTACTTCTAGACTAACTAGATCAACATCTGTGTTCGACTAAATACTGTATAGAAGTCTGTCTTGACTTTTATGTAATGTGTATTATATGTAATATGATTTGTCGCAACGAAACGAAAGTATTGCTAGTAAAAAAAAATTATAATTACAGTAATCCCCCCTATAACGCAGTACCATTATAACGCGTTTTCATATTATGCGATTTCTATCCCCCATGTATTTTTCTATTACTTAGATGGATGGACGAGCTCACAGCCCACCTGGTGTTAAGTGGTTACTGGAGTCCAGAGACATCTACAACGTAAATCCGCCGCCCACCTTGAGATATGAATTCTAAGGTCTCAGTACAGTTACAACAGCTGCCCCACTCTTCAAACCGAAACGCATTACCGAGACGCATGCTTCACGGCAAAAATACGCAGGGTGGTGGTACCTGCCCGCGCTGACTCACAAGGGGTCCTACCGCCAGTAAACTCAGAGAATAGATGATATTTAGACAGGTTCCCTGTGCGGGTTCTTGCCGCTGGCGCTGAGTGTGGGCGGCGCGGCGTGGTGCGGGCTCGTGTCGGTGCCGCACGTGGCGGGCGCACTCGCCCTCGCCCCCCCGCACCCCGCGCTCTCGCAGCGCGCTGCCACCAGGCCAGACCATCAGCTGAACCTCAAGGTACCGCACAACGCAACTAAATACCCGTCAGCACGTATGTGGTATGGTGATGGATTGTCGCACTCCATCTTGCGCTAATCTTTTATTTATTTATTGCTTAGATGAGTGGACGAGCTAAGTGGTTACCGGGGCCCAGAGACATCTACAACGTAAATGCGCCACCCACCTTGTGATATAAGTTCTAAGGTCTCGGTATAGTTGCAACGGCTGCCCCGCCCTTCACGGTCGAAATAGGCGGGGTGATGGTACCTACCCGTGCGGACTCCACCACCACTAGTTTTATGCAGTTGGAACGTTTGGCTACGTTTGCCGCTAGGGGCGCTGTTCCAATTCCATACAAATTTGGGTTAACTTTCACGCTATCGAGAGCGTTAAAAAACTCGTACTAAGCACACCGAGTTCGGCACTCGTCTCGCTTGTAAACACACCTAGCGCAGCAGAGCCCCACTCCGGCGACTCGATACGGCTTCAGTACACGACACGTTGTCTCGCCGCTGTCGACAGATGGCGGTGTTCGTGTTCTGGTGCTACGCGTGCAAGTTCGTGCCGGCTGCCGTCTCCATCCTCGTGCTGTACGGGCTGACGCTGCGCAGCTTCTGCGAGCAGATCGCGGCCGCCACCAACGCGACGTCGTGCTGGATCGTGTACCCGGTGAACGTGGGCGCGTTCCCGCCCAGCCACGACCTCACCGCGAGGAGCTGGCACGGCTGGGGCGACGACTTCTACGACGGATTCTATTTGACCCAACATATCGTGCTCGCTTTGATAACTTTGCATTTAAGTGAGTGATTTTTTGAAGTGAAACTTCTTTAGAATTGTTGTGATTTCAAACTCAATGAAACGAAAGTCCATAGAGACACAAACACATAAATGTATAGGATTCAGCCGGCGAGAGAATGAGATAGAACACATTAGACGTTCCGCCTCTTCCCACTATCGTCTACTAAACATTGTCCATATGTATGCTCCTGTGTAGTGGGATAGTCAGTATATATATATATATCTAATTTATAAGTTTCACTTCTACCGTGTGTGACTTGCACATACACACACTTTTTCTTTTCTTTCTTCTTTCTTAATTTTTTTTCATATAGCGGTCCTAAAAACCTGTGAAACTTCATTAATCTTCCCGGACTTTTTCTAACGCAATTAATAAATGGCATTTAATAGTGTGAGGGACATTGTAGAATAAGGACATCGTTAGTACGATGAATATGTTTTATTCTGACTTCCAAAATGTTGATTATACTATAAACGTGTTTTGGATTAAAATCTCTTATTTTATCCGAAACTCGAGTTCGTGTTTTGAATATTATAATCTCTACAATATCGTGTTCGTTTGCAGTTGTGATCTCATTATCATTCGTCCATCGCTACTCGTCGATATGGCAACGTGGCTTCTGGACCAATCGGGCGTGGACCATCACTGTTGTCGTACTGTGAGTTATATTCCAATACTTAATTACATTACTATGGTAAGGAGTCGTCGTGGCCTAAAGGATAAGACGTCCGGTGCATTCGTATTTACCGATGCAACGGTGTTCGAATCCCGCTGGCGCGCACCAATTTTTCTAATGAAATACGTATTTAACAAATGTTTACAATTGTCTTCCACGGTGAAGGAATAACATCGTGTAATAAAATTCAAACCCGCAAAATTATAATTTGCGTAATTACTGGTGGTAGGATAGGTGATGGTAGGTAGGCGCGTGAGTAGGGGTACCACCACCCTGCCTATTTCTGCCGTGAAGCAGTAATGCGTTTCGGTTTGAATGCTGGGGCAGACTTTGTAACTATACTAAGACCTTAGAACTCATATCGCAAGGTGGGTGGCGGCCTTGATGTTGTAGATGTCTATGGGCTCCGGTAACCACTTAACATCAGGTGCGCGTGCAACTTAGCGCACGTGAATGAAGTGGAACTTCTTTTTCGATGTGTAGTATTGTGGTTTTCTTCATTTTTCATCTATAAATCAGATTTCTCTTGTAATAGGGAATGCTGTGTACAAGAGATGCGACATTTTCGACATTTATACTATAGTTATATACTTTAAATTATAGATAGAAAAATAATATATATATATATATATATAAAAGGTGAAAAACGCAGTGGGCAGTGTCTGTGGGTTAATTTACTCGCCGAGCCCTTCGTCGTAAGCGACGCCTCCCGATCCACTAACGGTGCTTTTAGGTACCTCAAGCACCGGTCATCGTTCTCGTCGAACCCGTCGCTTGCGACAAAGGGCTCGACGAGTAAATTAACCCACAGACACTGCCCACTGCGTTTCTCGCCGCATCTTCTCAGTGGGTCGCGTTTCCGATCCGGTGGTAGATTCTGCGAACCACGGCTCTTGCTAGGGTTCGTGTTAGCAACGTCGTCAGGTTTGAGCCCCGTGAGCTCACCTACTAGTTAAGGTTACGTTGAAATAGCCTGCCAAGGCTATCAGCTTAGGTAAGAAAAAAAAAGCAAGCGACGGGTTTGACGAGAACGATGACCGGTCCAAATGTTGTTGTTCGGAACTTGTACAGTCCGCGCGCGAGCTCCGAGGATTTTTAAGGAATGTTGACGTAATGAGCTAGTGTTGTAATTAGTCGATATTGCGCTATCGATACTAACACATCTTAAGCCTCCGTGCGAGTGTAAATTATAAAATAGTTTTATGAGGCTATTATGTACTTGAAATAAAAAAAAACAAGTGATCACGTATGAATTTCATTTAATGAACTGATTTTAATTGAACAAAATGAATGTGAAATCTTATTAATTACTCTCGCAATCAGTTTAATCAGTAGTTGAAGAATTTGATGTACTCTCCTCTTGATGTCACTCTCCTCACACACTTCAATAATAAATGATTCGACAACCTTTTCCTCTAATACTAAGACATGTTTATTATGCTAGTGCTCGCCATTCCTTTTTCATCAAATTAAATAGCTATTTGCGCAAACAAAAAGACTTATAAGTGTAAGACTATTTATATTAGAAATCACACGTAATTAACACTGTTATCGCAAAATTAAAAACAACGAGTCGGTAAGCGTACTCTCACGTTAAGGTCAACACTAGTATTGGGAGAGTGCGGGGTATGAAGCGACGGTCGGGCGCGGTGCACGCCCGCCCGCTTCCTCAGCCCCCGAATCCTCGGAGCTCGCGCGCGGAGTATATATATACAAGCTTATCTTAAAAATGTCGTAAGCGGGATTCAGGCATGTGTCAAATATCTTGTGTTGTATTTTTTTTTATTGCTTAGATGGGTGGATGAGCTCACAGCCCACCTGGTGTTAAGTGGTTACTGGAGCCCATAGACATCCACAACGGAAATGCTCCACCCACCTTGAGATATAAGTTCTAAGGTCTCAGTATAGTTACAACGGCTGTCCCACCCTTCAAACCGAAACGCATTACCGCTTCACGGCAGAAATAGGCAGGGTGGTGGAACCTACCCGTGTGGACTCACAAGACGTCCTATCATCAGTAAATCAGCGTATGATGGCTACCGGCCATAGGCTAACCGATCCGCACTCCTGCAGGCTGGTAGTCCAGTGCGCGTTCAGCGGCGTGATGCTGAGCGGCACGTACGGGTCGTGCGCGCGCTGGTCGGTGTGCGCGCTGCGGTACCGCGTGCCGTGGCCGCTGCTGCTCGCGTACGCCGCCTCGCTGCTGCTCGTGCTCGCGCTCAACGAGCTCATCAAGTGGCAGGAGATCAAGTCAGTGACCACGTTAACGTACACGTTTAGACGTGACAACGTCTTATAATTCGATGGAGCCGGCTGCACGCACGAAAAACATGACTCATTGAGGCGTTCCATTTAAGGCTTGAAGTGCAAGCGAGAGCGCGCAACGAGCGACAAAGAGGCACAATCGGCCTCCGCGTTCGTCAGCGTTCGACATCTGTCTCTCTCTGCTACCTATTTGAGTGAGCCATGTATCCGCGTGGACAGCTGCTATACAATAATACATTTGCATGTTTTCGTCAAGTATGAAGTTCAGTGAAAACCATTCCATCAGTATTTTCTTATGACGTTGTCACGTTCAACTATCGTCAGTAAACCGACTTTACAGACAACCGATTTTTTTATACTGGTGGTAGGACCGCACGGGTAGGTACCACCGCGCTGCCTATTTCTGCCGTGAAGCAGTAATCGAAGGATGGAGCAACCGTTGTAATACTGAGACCTTAGAACTTATATCTCAAGGTGGCCGGCGCATTTACGTTGTAGATGTCTATGAGCTCCAGTAACCGCTTAACACCAGGTGGGCTATGAGCTCGTCCACACATCTAGGCAATAAAAAAAGTTCTCCCGGCTTATTCTTGACTCTTCCACTAAATTGTGTTTCGGTTCATTAAATTACCAATTATTCTCGAGATGTAGCAACTGTGTGTTCTTAGTGCGAGTTTTTAACGTTCTCGATAGCGTAAAAGTTCATTCAGATTCGTATGGAGTTGGAATTTTTGCCTACGTTTGCCGCTAGGGGCGTTGTTCCAACTGCATACAAATTTGAGTTAACTTTTACGCTATCGAGAACGTTAAAAAACTCGTGCTAAGCACACTGATATTTTGGGAAACACAAAAGAGAAGTTAATTGCTGAGCCGTGACAAAAATGCTCCCCGGGCATTTATTCTAAATGAGAACTCTGCTCCAGTGGATGGTAGAACAATAAATAAATTCTCCAAGCAAACCCGATTTGACGGATGACGTCACGCTGTAATATAAAATTTATGCTAATCGTAATTTAAACTATAGAGTGTAGAGGTCAGGAGAGCCGTCTCATATGGGAGAAGCTTGAAAAAGTGTCCCACTTTCTAACTAACTGTTCAAAAATCTTCCAGAATGGCGCCAGAATAGGCGCAGGGTATGATATGAATTGAGCAGTTGTTAACTGATTGAAGTATGCTGAGTTAGGAAATTTCATATATTTAATGACTAGAGTAGTTAGTGACAGTGCAATACACAATACCTCACATGTTTACGTAGTCCAAACTAATTTCGTCCTATAACCTAAAATTATTGCTGTGGTAAAACGTGGAGACATCGATTGGATTTTCTTATCAGCTTTAAATAAAATACTTTTTGTGATTTTGTAGTGCTTACAGTTCTTTCGTCCTTTTTTATTTATCTATCTTATTGTAATAACTTTCAGCGCCTTTTTTTTAAATTTACCCGGTTGCTACTGTAGCGCCACCCTTATTTAGCAGATTTTAACGGACACTTATTACACACAGAGACGGTTCTTCTTACCTCTACCCTCCATAATTTAAATCTCTATCGAACTGTTTTTTTTTTCAGGGCAGACAAACGGAATCAACGCCGCGCCCGCCTCGATTTCGGAACCAAACTGGGAATGAATTCTCCATTCTAAACTCGAATGCTACGTCTAGTCAATTAGCTTTAGTAGAGTAAGCTGTTTCCTAATCAAGCCGATACGAATAGTTTTTAAGGAATACTGACTGTGTACTTTAGTACCTATTTTGTACTTATTTTACTAGTTTACATAACGATGTTTTGACGATTTTAAATAAATATTTTGAAATGATGATTTGAGACATTTTTCGGGTTTCCAACAAAAAAGGATTGCCTAATAATATTGACACGCCTTAGGAAATCAAAGGTACGTACCAATAACACTGTTTTTTGTTGTTATTTTAGGATTGATTCTCTTAAATGAATATCGTTTACTAATTTAGGGTGATAAGTAAAAAGATACCACAGATAATTTATAATCACTACATCATTGTCCTTGTTTACTTTGAGACATGACGTCGAAGCCTCAATTGCATCAGCGTACCAGATTTGAAATTCACGTATCCAATACGCCCTTTTTTCGGGCCGGGGGCCAAACCTCCTACGAGTTCCCCGCGCCTAGAGAGCGCGCGGGGTATGTGGTACTTGACGATCTGCAGAAGTTGGGAGCAGACTACGAGGCCAAGGACGGTTTAGGGCCCTACCGCACTAAACGACTCCCCTACACTCTTACACCCGACGTCCGATCTCCGTCCGGGTTCAGAACCCGGTCAGAGTAAGTTGGTTCCCGCGGTCAACACTACAACCAGACACGCGGCGCCACCCCGAGGACGCCCGACCGACGGGTCGTCGAGGCGATAGTAGACGACCAACGACGCCGGTCTCCGCGGTACGGCGGCCCTACCAGGCCGCCCGGGTGATGCCGCTGGTGTTCCTGGATACCCCGCTGGGTCAAAATTAGACTGCCGGGTCGGAACGCGATACACCGGTTACTCTTCCACAGTATATTCAGCGACGACAACGCGGACCGCATCTTAAGCCCTGGCACAAGCTTAAGAAGTCATTCTACAGCAAATTTCGTTTCATCAACGTCTAAATAAGTCAACGGTAAGTCTGTGACTCTGGCTTCATGAGCTATCTGATGTCCATAAGCAAAGACAATCGCTCACAGTCATGTGGTTGTTGGAAAGTCGGAGAAAAATTTATATCATTTCCGAAACCTCTGTACTGGTGATAATTCTTTAGATAGTTACTTCTTAGGAGCTTCTTAATACCATCACAATAATTTATGGAGTAGAGTATTACAACATTTTTTAAGGATAAGGTTTAATGTACTGAAACAAAATTCGTTAAAAACATATCTTTTTATTAAAACTAATATAATTATTTTGTGATGTAAATAGTTATAAACAGTCGTTATTTGAGTTCACATCTCGCCACTACGTTAATCAATGATTACATGACTCTTTCTACATCTCGCTTAAACTGACGCTTTCAAAAGCTTTATTAGGTACTTGCTTGCATCGAGTTTACCGTTTTCTGCTTCGATATTTTAGTATAACGCACTTCTAACGAATAATTAATTTAGTACAGACAATATAATAGGGTTTTTTTTTAAATACACCAATTCGCCACAGATTGTTTTTAAATACGAGCACTTGAAAGCGCTAACGGTTTCAGCACTCTCAACAAATTTAATAACAAACTAATGAATAATATTAACTTGTCCGACAGTTTCACAGCACAATAATTTCATATGGCCGCAAAAATAATAATTTTAAATGGCCGATTATGTTGTACACAATTCATACCCGTTAAATAAATTATTAATACATATAAAAAAATTACTCATGAAATAAATATATAATAAAGTATTAAAATAAAACTTTTTGTAATGAATCCATATTTTTCAGGTTTAGTTTGTCTCTGCATTTGTGCATACCAATACATTCCAATCTTAACAATGACTCATTCTGTAAACTAATCTAAATAGCGTTTTCAACAATGTTTTGGGATTCATACTAATTCATTCTTAATTTCATCTCCAAATTTAACAAGATTTTCTTTGACCAATAAATAGATATATCAGATATTGATTATTTTTTGTCACTGCTTCTAATTAACGTGACCTTTAAAGTAACGGCAAACTTTCATCAGACAAGTATTACTTGACAAATTAAATTGTTAATGATGATTATTTTTAAACTATAATCGATTAATTATTTCATTAAACATCTACCATTAATGTTAGTTATTAAACACTTGTACTTATAGGTGTACTATTATGATGCTACAACTAAGCATCGCCTGCTAAATCTAATATTTCCTGAACAAAAGATGCAACATCGGTTTCCTTTTGACTGTGTTCCTGGCAGAATGGATGCACTAACAATGCATCGTAATTTGGTCTGAGTCTATAGTCTTTCTGTAAGCATTGCACTATTAAATCCTCAAACTCGTTTGAAAATTTTCCCACTGGAAGCCTTGGTGGATCATCTTTAACAACTTGTTTTAGTTGCTCGAAAGGTGTGCCCCATGTGTTGTATGGGAAAGTTCCTGTTGCTAATTCAATCATGGATATTCCCAGAGACCACACGTCACTTCGAATGTCATATTGCCCAGGATTTCCAGTTGGATCAATTCGTTCTGGTGCCATATAAGGTTTACAGCCAGCATCAATTGTTTTTGCAACAGAATCTACCAGATGACCAGAAATGCCAAAGTCACACATCTTCACTTCACCCTTTCTGTTGATCAATATATTTGATGGTTTCACATCTCTATGTATGACTCTGAGTTTGGAGTATAAATAATGTAAAGCACTAACAACCGAAAATGCTATCTTTCCAAGAATATTCTCAGGTATGGTACGATCATTTTTGTAGACTTTTGTGTAAAATTTGTCTAAACTCATATCCATTACTTCCATACAAATCCAAACATCCCCTTCCCTGAACATTGCTCCGTAGAAATGTACTGTATACGGACACGCACTTGCTCTCATTGATACATCAAGATCCATTAACAAACGTTTTTGTTCCAAAGATTGATTGTTGAATGTGGCTGTGATTCTCTGGAATTTTAAATAATAAATAATGTAGAAAAGGTAATCATGTCATGTCACTCAGAGTTGTTGGAAAGCACAGATAAGTAAAACACGGAGATGATCAATTTTTATGGCCATTTGTGGTTGAACTATCAACTGTGTTGATCAGTGTTGATATTTAATCTTTTACATTATTAAGATAATGCAATGCTAATGGTTGGAGGCATAATAATGACATTATGTAACATTTGATTGCTGACGGTACAGGTTCTTTGTGGGCTAACATAGGTTTCGCTGCTGTGCCAATTTTTGACAAAAACCAAAAATATGAATGAAAATGGGACAGTCATACAAATCAGACTTTAGACTATACGTCCCAAAGTGCTACATTTAAGTCGAGGCATTTATAGGCTCCTGTAACTGCTAACACCAGGTAGGCCATAAGCATGTTAATCCAAATATGCAAAAAATAAACAAAAATTGTGATTATTATTATTTTTTTAATCTGAAGCAAAGAAATGGTATATTATAGAGGAGTATGGGAGGGAGAAAAAATTTCGCCCTGACCCCAGATAACTGGGAGAAGGGCAGGAGAATGATGATGATTTTTTTTAAACCTTCTTCCGAATCATTACCTTAACAGCCATAATAGTGTTGCTAGGTAGGTGGCGCATCTTCTCAACAATGCCATATGCTCCTCGGCCAAGATCACAAATCTTTACCAAATCATCAGCATGTACAGTGAATGTTCGGTCATCAACTGTAATTGTTGTTTGTTTATCTAAATTTCCTGGTGGAGTCCTGGGGGTTGGAAAAATTATGATTACAATGTGATTTAGTTTTGGCAACAAATTAATTGTTAACAAATACAGTATAAGTGGATAACCACTTAGAATAGTTACTATATTAATAATTTTGGTAATCCATTAACATAGCTTTCAGAATTAAAATTATAGTAAATTTATTCATAAACATACATTTTCAAATTTATTATATTAATCTGTACTTTAATTTAACTAACAGACCTAAAATAATTTAAAGATTCATGTTTCTGTTATCACTTTGTATTTTGGTCGTGAAATGAGGGTGCTATTGAGTACCTCAATGTTTATGACAAATATTTTTTTATTTAGACGAAGCAACTCATAACTCTCGATATGCACTCGGTACTTACACAACTTGTTCCGTTTGAGTCTTAAAGTTAAAGCCCGGGGGCGGCAGTTTTCTTCTCGACATCTCTCCGTTAGTACTCGCCGTATTAACCTCACAGCTGTCTGTTTTGTTAAATAATCGAATTAAATATCCTTCAAAACGATTTGATAACCAGGATCCGTGGTTGTAACTAAGTCACGAGTTACACAATTATATGATAAATGTACATAATGCATTAATATATGCAATAATAGTTACATGAAAACGATTAATTTCTCGATGAAGGATATCTTTTTGTATTTTAATTTATTTTTTACAAGTTATGTACCAAAACCACTTCTTTTTTTGTTTGATTTGTCCATTGGTCAGGCAAAGGAAATGGAGATCATACGTTGAATTTTGGATTCAAAATTTGAAGCCATACAAATTAAATGAAATTATGTGATTTAAGACAACCCCCTTTTAGATCATATTAAATGAAATTTTCTCACAGTAAAATATTAGAAAATTATTGAGACTAATTAGTAATGGATATCTCAGAAGAGCCCAAAAAGCCAGCAATTTCATTTTTTTTGCCACACTTTAACACATGGTAAATGTGCCTCGTTATTAGATGTTCCAAGCAGAAATAACATTAAATACCCAATGCAAAACATTTCCTTAAAACTACTATAACTACTATTAATCGCGTTACTATAACTAAAAAAGAAAACATGAATACATGAACATACCGATATCAAGTTTTTCATGATAGTCAATTAGAAGGTACCGTTTTTTGCAAAAGTGTAATTAACTGTATTAAAAGATAACCTAGTAAATCAAGAGCTTTGTTTTGTGACCTTACTAGATTGAAATCTAATTGATTACCCATCCAATTGGTTTATTTTCATAAAAAAAATTACTTAAAAAACATCATTCATAGAATTTTTGTTACAAACACATCTTCCATAACAGGGTTCCCATCAATCCCCACCATAAAAAACTGACTAACACTAAAAATACAGTTTTTACTATATTTTCAATATAATATCATAGACATTGCTTACACGAAAAAAAAACTGGATTCCCAAATTTTAAATTATAGTATCAAAGTGGCTTCAACGATGACACTTTAGAATACTACAAATTCATTTAACAAGGCAATGAATGAAATTACAGTTTATTTATTATATCAATTAAATTTATTAATCTTATAAATTACTATTTTACTTAGGCGGTAAAATATTGAAATATCACAGATGTAATCATTTTTATTACATTATTTTGATGAAAATTTAACAGCTCTAACCGCATTGCGAGCTCTTTTAGCAGCTTCTTCTTTCAATCTATGTTTTTTTTCTCTTTCAGCTAAACCAACTACCACATCATGTTGTAACGCGTTTTTCACTGCTGCTTTAGCAAAAAGTTTGTTTAACACATAGTCATCATCATTAGTTTGTTTCTTTACTTCATTTTTACTATAATCCTTTTTCTTTACTTTCTTTACAGTTACTAAATTTTTGAGTCCATCATCAATGGAAGATGATAATCTTCTTTTGCGCTTTATTTTATGTGATTTTTTATGCCTTTGTTTAATATCTTTTACAGTACTTTCATTAGTTTCAAGTTGAGAGTTGTCAATGTTGGTAGGTTTCTCTTCATCTACTTCTTTAATATCTTGTTCACTATCTTCTAGTACACTTTTCAACAATTGTTCTTCATAATCTTTCTTTGCATGCATTTTTACAATATCTAATTCTGACAAAACATCTTCAAAAGCTACATTGGTTATTTTATCATCAACTAAATTAATATCTGGTTCTTCCACTTTAGGTGGACATAATAATTGTTCTCTTTTCTTTTTATATTCTTCACGTGGATCACTTTCCTGTGTTCCCTTCATGGATTCTTTTGATATTTTTTTACTTATTTCTTTTGCTAATCTTTTCATGGCTTCTAACTTTGTTTTAGATGAAATATCCAAGTCATTATCATCCTTATTGGTTTTATTGATAATTTTGGTGTGTTTAAAAATTGATGCAGTTTCAGTATCTCCGTCACGGTTAAGCTCTTCAAGAGTGAACAGTCCCTGTAATGTACTGGTGGTCAAAAAATTCTTTTGATTTGGGTCCACAAAAATTTTATTACTCAAGAAATGTTTGAATATCTGCCTCTGATAAATCTTTTCCTCTATAGTCCCAGCTGACAACAATCTATAAACTGTTACATTTCTAGATTGGCCTATCCTCCATGCTCTTTCCTTTGCTTGATCATCTGTTGCAGGATTCCAATCAGGATCATATATAATCACTCTGTCGGCTCCAGTTAAATTTACACCTAAGCCACCTACTCTAGTTGTTGAAAGAAAAACTAAATAATCAGTGTTATCATTAAAAGTTTTAATCAAGTTTTGCCTTTGGCCAACATTAACTGTACCATCCATTTTGAGGTATTTAAAGCCTTGATTTTGTAAATACTGTTCTAACAGACACAGCATTACTCTTGACTGAGAGAATATGAGAGCTCTATGTCCCTGTTTTTTCCATATTTTAAGTAATGAATTAACAACAGTCATTTTTCCAGATCTCTTCCAATGGCCAAATATCTCTTCATCTATCTGTTCTTCATCTTCTTGAGCTTCATAGAGATAAATATCAGGATGATTGCATATTTTCCTTAGCGTTGACAGAGCCACTAGTAGCCTTGCTCTTAATGGATTTCCAAATTTATTTTCTTTGTCTAAGATGCTTCTCACTGTACTACTCATAAGGTAACCCATATAAAGATCTCTTTGCTCTTGTGTTAAAGAACAGAATAGAACTTGTTCATTCTTTTCTGGGAGTTTGATATGTCCTTGTACCTCAGCCTTAGTTCTCCTCAGCATGTAAGGAGTGATCATATTTTTCAAAGCAATAGCTATTTCCATGGCAGTAGCTTCCTGTATTTCAGTAGCATTAGCATAGCCTCCTTGAGTGATTGGAACTGCAAAATGTTCTATGAATGCATTGTATGTCCCCAACAAACCTGGCCTCATAAAATCAAATAATGACCACAGTTCCTGCAAACTGTTCTGCATTGGTGAACCTGTTATTAACAATCTGTGTGGTGTCTGGATTTTTTTTACAATTTTACTTACTTGTGTATCAGGATTACGTATTTTGTGTCCTTCATCCAAAATTAAATAATGCCAACTATAGGCATTGAGTTCTTTATGATACTTTACTATGCCTGCATATGTTACTAACAAGATTCCATGAGCACTGTGTATATCTCTTAATAGTTTATGGTGATTACCAGCATGAGAGCCAGTGTGATGCAGTACAGCTACTCTGAGCAGGGGGCACCAATAATGAAAATGAGATACCCATTGATATATAACTGTTGCAGGTGTGATAATGATACTCGGACCAAGACCGCCCCATGATCCTAAATTGGTTTTTGAAAGGGCAGTTAGGAATGCAATGACTTGTATTGTTTTACCAAGTCCCATTTCATCACCTAACAATCCACCAGACTCTACTTGATGCAACTCCCAAAGCCATTTAACACCAGTTCTTTGAAATTTATATAACTGTTTCCAAATATATTTTGGTACTAATAGACCATTCTGGAGTTCATGCATTTCTTCGTTATCTTTATTACCATCCAGGATGTACTGTATGTCAGCGGTTAACGTGCATCCTTCATATGTACCGCTTTTCACAGTATTTAATCCTTCACGCCAAACCTCTACCCTTAAATTGTATTGTTTAATATCACCGTCGTCAACAATTCGGTTTATATTCTGTTTGGTACGAGAAGAACACGCAGTAAGTGGAAAATTATGGATACTTTCGTCTTCCTCATCGGAAGGTACAAAATCGGTGTCATCGAGGTGTCCTTCAGTTGAAGTCCCTGATGTCACAGTAGTTTTTACATCTACTTTTTGATTGTGGGGAAATTTTGACAGAGTCTTTGCCTGTTTTTGCGATATGTAATCAGCAGCAGATTTGCTTTTAGTTGATACATCTTCTTTCTGACTATTTTTCCTCTCAATTTGCTTTTTCGCTAATTCAAGTTGCATTTCTAAATATTTGTTTATGTCCACCATTTGGGTTAGTTTTAGTTCTTGACATTGAAATTCAGTTTATTTAGGTAATGTATTTATTGCTTTTTGTACACAATAATAAACTAAACTCAAATATTAAGTGTATAATCTATGAACTAAACAAATCCTACGAGCATTAGAATAATTAAAACATTTATTTTAATTGAAAATGTCAGTTAAGCGATCTTTTTCTTTTTCTAGAGCATAGATTATACACTTAATATATTCGAGTTCTAGAGTTTATAATGCTACGCAAGAACACTTAATATATGCTAGTTACGCTACAATTTAAGTGTATAATCTATGGCTACAATCATAGAGCTAGAGTTGAACTTATTAACTCCATGGCTAATATGGCTATAGTACGGTATTCCTTCCTACTCTGCGTCAAGTCGGCTCTACACTCGCGGCGCGAACGCGACAACTGCGAATTCACGAGTGTAGATGTTGTTCACGCCTTCTCGTTCGCGCGTCGCTCCCCGATCTGTCGGTTTTATAGCCCGCGACAAAGGGTTTGCGGCACGCGAACGTGAATGTATCCACACTCGCAGCTTACCGCAGTAGCGTACAGGACATCGTAGAGTGGTTATGCGTGCGTGCGTTGGTGATTGATCCTAATATAAATGGTGGAATAATGATCTGGAACGGACTCTCATTTATTGTCATAAACCTAAGCCGTTTTTTTTTTTTTTTCCTACCTAACCTGAGAGCCTTGAGAGGCTAATATCAGCGTAACCCTAACTTTTGTAGGTGAGCTCACGGGGCTCAAACCTGATGACGTTGCTAACACGGACCCTAGCAAGAGCCGTGCTTCGCAGAATCTACCACCGGATCGGAAACGCGACCCACTGAGAAGATCCGGCGAGAAACTCAGGGGGCTGTGTCTGAGAGTTAATTTACTCGTCGAGCCCTTCGTCGCGAGCGACGGGTTCGACGAGAACGGTGACCGGTGCTTGAAGTACCTAGAAGCACCGTTAGTGGATCGGGAGGATCCGAGATGACGTGTTTTGGGCGACGTCGACTGCTTTCCATTCTGTCCGCAGGATCGGGAATGTAGTTACCGGCGGCCACGATGAGAGGGTTCTCGTGTCGTGCCGCTTTATCGAAGTGGCGCATCGACGCCGACTGCAGATACTTACTGATGGACTCTAAGTCCAGGTCGTCATGGAGGTCGACGTTCCTGACGAACCACGGGGCTCCGACGGCTATCCTGCAAAAACGGGATTGAATAATTTGGAAGGATTTTAAGTGTATGCGGGCCGCGTGAGCGAACACTACACTTGCATAGGTCATGACGGGGCGTATGCAAGTTTTGTAGTGTCACCTTATTTCTAAGGGACATTTTACTTCGCCTACATATCATCGGGTAGAGACGTCCTAGAATGAAGGCAGCACGGTCGCGTACCGTCTTGATGTGAGGGCGGAATGTCATCCTACTGTCGAGGGTAACGCCTAAATATTTGACCTTCGGGGCCCACGGTATGGGCTGGTCGAACATCGTGATTGGGCGAATGGCGGGAGCGGAGGTGTTGACGCGCCTAGTCGGGAGAGGGATGCTCAGCGTGGTGTTCGGAGGGCGACCCCTTTTGAAGAGCACCGCTGTGCTTTTCGTGGGGTTGATGTTGATGCCCCACTTCCGGAACCACTGTCCCATGGTGGTAGCTGCGGTCTGAAGTCGTCGATGAAGCAACGCCTCCTTCCTACACGAGTAGTAGATGGCGGTGTCATCGGCGCCTAAGCCGAAACATCAGGACCACAAAAATAAGAATAAGGTTCATGATGCCTGGACACGCATAAGTGCTATCTTAAATACACCTGTAGCTGAGTCTGAGTTAAAGAAAAATAAGGAATCACTTAAGTCGAGCTATAGATTGTATAGAAAGAAAGTGAAGTGTATGTAGAATACACAGCAGCAGCAGGAATCACGTCGTCGTCGATCATAGTCGCGAACAAGGCTGAGCTGTGAAGCTTTGTGAGTGTGGAGAGACACAGTTCTCGCGCAGATCATGGTGTTTCTTCACAGTGCGACGTCATACGCGAGTGTTGAGGCAGAGTTACAGATTATTAAAAAGTTACTATGTAACGTTTATGTTTATGTCTTATCTATCATTAAACCTTGGTAGAGGGCTATGCATAACACATTTCATTTATATCACTCTACCTGTTCCTGTTTGGACATGCTCCATAATCTTCATTTATTAACTCGCTGGTGATACAAAGGGAACGAAGCCCCTACACCTTTTAGTTACTGTACAGTACAGTGATGCGCGGTAATAGAACTGAATATATAAATATTTATAGATTATAAAATAAAAATGAACTTGAGTTCCATCGTTTCAATATATATGTATGTACATAATAATTCTAAAATAATTATTCTACGTGCATAGATTATCTACTACAATAAGCTACCAATATGATGACATGTGTTAAATATCTATTATCTATGCCAGAGTTCAAAACGTGGTTGCCCAGAAAACTACGAAATCATAAATATGTAATTAAATTGAGAAAAAAAAATACATTTTGAGGTTATTTTTCAACAAAAGTAAAGCAAGGAAAATATTAGCTCAAGTCAAATAAGCTTGTTAATTCTAATGTGTAAAAAGGAAGTGTTCTGATAACAATGGATATTGTAAATGAGATATTAGAAAGGGAACAAAAGAAAGCAGATAAATATAAACCAATAACGGTCGAAAAACATTTGGAATTAGAATTCGACCTAGGTTCACTATTGGCCTCTGACACAAACGATTTGGACATAAAAACGCTGAAGTAAGTCTTCATCTTATCTCATTTTAGCAAACGCATAGTCACTATTAATTTCAGGATTAAACATTAATTTAGGTAACAGCACATGTTTTGTTATCAAATTAAATTAATTTTATGTGTTGTTCAGGACAAACAAAGATTCATATTTACTTGCATTGACCCGTGACAATGCTCAGCTACTACTGAATAAAGTATGGGAGCTTCCCACTGAAAGAATCGAAGAGGCCATAGTAGTTCGATTGCCACAACCTACGACAATCCTACCCCGAGCCAAGCCAGTGCCTGTACCTAAGCCATTAACTAAATGGCAAGAGTTCGCAAAAGCCAAGGGTATTAATAAGAAAAAGAAAGACAAACTTCAATGGGATGAACAGCTGCAGAAATGGGTTCCTTTATATGGGTGAGTTTTCAATAGTAGAATAATGAAAGTTGTCTAGAAAACGATAAACACAAGTCATAAAAACCTTATTTACAAAAGTTTTTAGGCAGATATAAAAAATTTATATCATAATTTTAAAATCCGTATTTTATAGTCAAACCAATAGCCAGGATGTTGTAAAACACGTCCGTTTATTATTGTCGGCAATCAACTATATCTATAATTGACTATATAATTCTGTATCATCAGTTTCAAGAAAACTGCAGCTGAAAAAGAGAAGAACTGGCTTATAGAAGTCCCACAGAATTTAGATCCTATGACAGATATGTATGAAAAGAAAGCCGGTGAAAAATCAGAAAAGGTTGCAAAGAATGAATTACAGAGACTTAAGAATCTCGCTAGAGCCAAAAAGGTTAAAATACCAAGGGTGGGGCTTCCTGTCACTTCAGATAAAGCTTCTGCGACACAGGTAGGATCAAGTAGAAAAATATATATTGTACTAAATTACAATTTTTCTTTTTCAGTTTCAAATTAGACATCTTATACAATGATAATAGTATACTTAAATAAATACATGTCTAATTCAATGAAAGGACAATTTTCCTTTTTCTATTCTAGATGATCTCAAAGTAGCATACCTGATCATTCTTACAGCCAAGCAGCATTTGCTGTTTCTAATTAAGTTAGAATTAGATATACTACAACTTTTTAACTGCTGCAATTTTATTGCTAAACTATTACATTCATCTTGTTTTGCTTATCCATTACATTATTGTTTAAAGATAATAATTTAAATGATTTTATAAATATGAATGCATAAATCTACAATTATTTTTCATAATTTTCCAGTTATCCACAGCAGCAAGTGTAGCAAAAGCATCAACGGCTTCTCTTGGAAAATTCCAAGATAAATTACCCAAAGAGAAAGAAGCACGCGGTAAAGGTGTACATGAGCTAATCCCAGGCAAGGAGAGGAAACGTAAAGCACCTATACCAACACCAGCAGCAGAAAAAGAATACAACCTGAATCTACTTGATAATATACTGAGTAAGAGGCCAAAAATTGATATGGATAAAGCTGTAGCGAAAAGTATAAATGAAGAGGAAGTCAAGTAAGTAAATTATATTTTTTTTATTGTAAATTTGAAAATGATATAATAGGATTTTTTTTTAAAAAGTTTTTATATTATTACTTCGATGTGAATGAGCTGATTTCTATTGTTTGTATTATCACTAGGAGATCACATGAAAAGAAAAATATGAAACCCGGCTTAGGAAAACGTAAAACTCAAGGTAAAGGCAATGCAACAAATTTCTCAGCCAAGAAACCTAAAGCAGGAAAGGGAAAAAGGGCACCAAATAAGAAATCTACTGGACGGAAAAGGAGATAGAACTATGATATAAGCCTTACAGAATGTATTACTAATAAAAACAAAAATACTGCCACTTGTTTTTTTGTTTTCCTTAACTATTAATAAAACCCTTAAAAATGAGGCGTCCATTGTTTTAAATCGAAAAATATGTTTGGTTTTGAACGTAACAAGAGTGAAGTCGTCGTGGCCTAAAAGAACATGGTGTCTCCAATACTCTCGTATCGAGTGATTCTCGTCGAAACCGTCGCTTGCGGCGCAGGGCTAGGCGAGTAAATTAACCCACAGACACAAGTCACAGAGTTTCTCGTCGGATCTTTTCAGTGGGTCGCGTTTCCGATCCGGCGGTAGGTTCTGCGAAGCACTGTTCTGCACTGAGTGATGCGACTATGCCAGTGTTCGAGTCCCGCAGGCAGGTACAAATTTTTCTGATGAAATAGGTACGTACTTACCTAACAATTGTTCATGAATGCTTCACGATGAAGGAATATCATCGTGTAAAAAAATGAAACCAGTTTGTGTAATTACTGGTGTTAGGCCGTCTTGTAAGCCCGCACGGGTAGATATCACCATCCTACCTTGGTTTGGAAGGTAGGGTAGCCGTTGTACTTAAAAACTGAGACTTCGAATACATGTCCAAGATGGGTGACCGCATTTACAGGCATAATGTCTATGAGCTCCGGTGACCACTTAACACCGGGTGGGCCGTGAGTCTATTCATCCAACTCGAGGTATCTACTATACTAATATTATAAAGCTGAAGAGTTTGTTGGTTTGTTTGACGCGCTAATCTCAGAAACTACTAGTCCGATTTGATAAATTATTTCAGTGTTAGATAGCCCATTTATTGAGGAAGGCTATAGGCTATATAACGTCACGTTAAGACCGATACAAACGGAATACCAATAAAGAATGTTTCTAAATAGTTTTTTTTTCTTTCTACGTAAATGAAGTCGCAGGTAAAATTTAGCGTTATGCCAAAGTAACTTCCACGCGGACGAAGTCGCGGGCAAAAGCTAGTTTGGTGTAAAATTCATTAATATAGAAAAAGTCAGGATAATGTTTTTATTTCTCTAGACAGTTTCGAAGACTATATCAGACTTAGTTTTAGACCAATACTGGAGCCCGCAGTCTACACAACTTCAACTATCGGTCTTGAGCCGTAAATCCGTAATTCAATCTGTCATCTACATTACTTTACTGGCATGTAACTAAATTTAATTATAATCTAACAAAAACAGCATCACCTCCAAAATTACCTTGTTTGGCCAACCATACACATTTAATGAAATAAAAGACTGTATTTTTTTCTATTGCTTTAATTACATTTGTTTCTATGGAATTTGACTAGACACTAACGAAGAATTAAAAATCTTCACAATCAACATTTAGATTTTAGAAGGAGAAGGTAACATTTGTAATACTGTAAATCAGTTTATAACCTACATAATTCGTCGTTAAGCGTACCTACTTATCTACATCAAAGTCTAATTATAATAAAGTTTATTAATGGAAGCTTCTAATGTTTAGCTACTTACTACAAACCCGTGTTTTCAAATCTTTTGGACAGTCATAATAAACTATAACATAACTCATAATAAAAATGGAATCGCGTAATTAGTCTACCGGTCTTAGCGGTTCATAGAGGTTCATAGAGTTCATAGATTAAGGTTATGAAGGTACATACAGACAACTTCGTAGTTTCTTTTTCTCAAAAGTAAATTGTCAATTCCCCAATTTGATTGAGTTACATTTAATTTACCAGCTGCTGGTAAGACATTGGTTAAGAGCCCGCCAGATTTATTGTTAGTGCCCTGTCTGTTTCTACCGAAAACCAATCATGTAAATCATGAAAACCATCATGAGGTCAATGCAAATAGGGAATTGTCACGGAATCTTGGTTCTATTGAACAAAAAAGTCGGACTTAGCAACACAAATACGTAGCTTGTATTGAATCCTGCGGAAATGTAGATGATACTGGTGGTAGGACCTCTTGTGAGTCCGCACGGGTAGGTACCACCGCCCTGCCTATTTCTGCCGTGAAGCAGTAATGCGTTTCGGTTTGAAGGGTGGGGCAGCCGTTGTAACTATACTGAGACCTTACAACTTATATCTCAAGGTGGGTGGCGCATTTACGTTGTAGATGTCTATGGGCTCCAGTAACCACTTAACAACAGGTGGGCTGTGAGCTCGTCCACACATCTAAGCAATAAANCACAAAATAGGATTTTTGTTTATAACTATGATAATAATTAATATTAAAATGTTATAGAATTAACTAGTTTCGATTAGATCAGAATCGGTAAATAAGAAGGCAACACTATTTAGCATGCATCGGTTTAATGTAAAACACTAATTTAAAAAAATTGGTCAATTTTTTTTAATGTTAATTAGATGCTATTATGTAACTTTACATACTATTTTGGGATGTTGGCAGGGGTTATGGCAATGGCAGGACGACTAAGCGAGCGCCGCTAGGGAGTCGGTAGATGTCACTAGGCGACTAAAGTCTCCCTAAATAATATAGGTTCTAAATATACATTAAAAGCCACAGTGATACAGACAAAGCCACAGAACGTGATAATAATCAGATAAATTAAATACAATAACTGATTTCTATTAAGTCTCTCAATAATTACACCTGTAATAGGGCGATTGATTTTCACATCAATTCATACACAATAATAACCATTCGAAAAACGTCTGTTCAGGGGTCATGAGTTATTACTTCACTAAAATGACACGTTAACACTAAACCTAACTTAACGGGTCAACTTGAACTTTTGCATTGAAAATGCACATTTTACTTCATGACTTTTTCTTATCTACAGTTATTATACATTATTTTTTTGTTTTGTTGATTTTGAGTAATACTTGTCGTATGCCGTTATCTACCCGGTATGGTAGACATCAAGGGCGGATCCAGCTTTTGCGCCAGGAGTGGGTCACATAGTCGTGGGCAAGTTAAGAACTTATAATTTAATTTTGATAACAATAGATAATAAATAAATCATGATGTTCTTCAATTAGTCCAAGTTAGTCAAGTCCTGGAACTAGCTCAGGGGGGGGGGGTCATGACCCCGTGACCCCCCCTGGATCCGCCGTTGGTAGACATAGGTACCAGTAAGTGTTGATATGATTAGTGATAGTGGTATGATACGTGTCGTTTATAGTGAAGTTCTGTTTATTTGGTAAATGAACAGAAAAGGGTGGAAAACGACGAAAACAAAACAAACATGATATCGCACATACGGTGCTACAAAGTCACTTATGCAATTTTTGTTAAAACTGAACTGAGTATGAGAAAATACATTTTTTAATAGTTATTAGTGAGACGAGAGATATTTTTGCTTTTACTGATGAAGTTTGTAGTTCATTAAATTTTATTTCTATAGCCTAGCAGAATTTCTCCTGAAAAAATACATAATTTGCATAAGTGACGTTATCGCACGTATGTATATAAACACTAAGATAATAGTTATATTAAATAAGACGCGACAATTAAACCGTCTTCAAACCGACACATATAAAACTTTGCAGCTCCATTAAAAGTTGTCCGCTTACCGATTTTCATTTAATCTGATATTTATATAGTAAACTTACAGTAGAGGAAGTAATTCATACAATAGGAATATTCGAATTGAAATTATTGGCACATTACGATTTCACACAACCTTGAAGACCTAAATATAGATTAACTAAAAATTTGTAAACTTATCTAACTTTAAAATATACAAAACCATAAAGTAATAAAGTTAAATTAAAACTTTTAACTTTTAAACTTAAATGCTATGAGATCGTATCGATTTAAATTTAAAACAATTTTAATATAATTACACACGGTGTAAATATATTTCTAATAATATACAATTTAAAAAAATGAAAATATGTAGATTAAGTTTGTGTTGCACATTACGAACCCTGTTTTAATTTTATGTTTAATTTCGTTTTTAGTAAACTATTCTGAATTGTTTTTTACTAAATGGAATATACGAGTATATATTTTAAAAATGGAACGTGGGTATTGGCTGGCTTGACGATTAATTGCCTTTGCTTTTCAAAACAATACTGACTAGTGTCCACGCATTACAAAACGAATACCCTCGATTATATTAACAACGGTAGCGTAAAGCGCTTTATTCACGTTCCATCTTGCTGTACGTCCTGCCAAGGCAATACACGATGCACGATGCATGCGAATCCAGCAAACAATTAATAATAATTATTGACGTACGTCAAGCCTATTCATGGTACTTTTGCATCGTGCATGGCCTTGGCGGGACGTACAGCAAGATGGATCGTGAATAAAGCGCTTTATATCTTTCAATAAATCTTGAAAGTGTTTCACGATCCATTTTGATGTGCAGTCTCCTCTCGAAACAAGCTCTAAATGTTAAATCTGCTGTACAGCAAGTCTATACACGATCAAGCACGCACGACGCAGGATCACTCTGACGTACGTCCGCGTTATTCACTGTCTATCTGCACGACGTTCGCGGTGGTGGGGGCGCTCGCTGGATGCAAAATTGATCGTGCAAATCCAGCAAGCAATTAACAATAATTATCGACGTACGTCAAGCCTATTCATGGTACCTTTGCATCGTGCATCGTGCATGGCCTTGGCGGGACGTACAGCAAGATGGATCGTGAATAAAGTGCTTAAGATTATGATACCAGCGGGGTTGTCAATCATCGAACGCACGGGCCAGAAGTTAACCACATCTCTGGAATCGAGGGAAATCACCTGCATTAACGGCGATGGGTTGTCATTTTAAGAATCGAATTTTACTCCAATTCTCTCGATTGTTGCCGAAATATCCGTTTGTTGGACAAATAACCAGCTCGTAGGGCAGCGAAAAGCGGGCTAAATAATAGGTCTTTACTTATGAAGTTGCCGTTTTACAATACTGGCCATTTGAAATGTAATTTAAGTATGGCTGCCAATAAATTCTCAATTCCAATTAATTTTATTTAAAAAATATGAAATTCTATTCTTGAATTCAATCATTTGTATATTGCTTAGGGTTTGATAAAAAAACGAGTTCCGTCGCGGTAGTAATGCCGAACAAACGGTTCACAACATTTAATGACGTGTACGGAATGAGCAGTAGCACTACGAATGAACGCATGATTCGTTATTGGTTTGAATGCTTCGTAACTTCGTACATGGAAATTTAGTTCTAGTACATTAACCACGTGTTCGTCCGAAAACTAAAATCAACAACGACGAATTAAAGGCGACAGTGGAAGCTGACGATACTCAACCTACCGCAGAGTTAGCAGCAATTTCAACATTTTGTTCGAAGTCGTCGTGGCCTAACGGATAAGACGTCCGGTGCAATCGTGTTGAGCGATGCACCGGTGTTCGAATTTCAGGCGGGTACTAATTTTTCTAATGAAATACGTACACAACAGATGTTCACGATTTACTTCCACGGTGAAGGAATAAGTAACATCGTGTAATAAAAATCAAACCCGCAAAATTATGATTTGCGTGTAATTACTGGTGGTAGGACTTCTTGTGAGTCCGCGCAGGTGGGTGGGTGAATTTTCAAAATAGCAAATTATCAATGTTATTCAACATTCAGTCTCAGAGTAACAGCTTCGTTACTCGAAACGTACTTTGAAAAAAACTTTATACATTTGCTTAAATCTTGTATGGAACAAAATAACACAAAAATGATATTTAATTTTTAAATGTTTAAAAATAATGCCCAAAAATCATTCACCGCGCTGTTATTTCACAGTTTATTCGTTAATATTTCAAAAAAACTCTAAATACCTTCCTAAATTTTGCTTTATTAATTTTCATACGTAATAATTATTGCCTAAGCTAAGTAGACATACATTTTTCAAATCATAACTCACAATCTAACGTTATTATTTAACCATTTAAAGTTTTGTCACAAGTTTTTCATCATTACCTTCCACGTTTTTTGTTTTATGAAATTTGTCTGACCAAATTACTATTACAAATATTCGAACGCGTCCATAACGATTCCTCGCCTCGCGCCCTTCAGTCGTGATCGAGATTTGAACGTGCGTACACGTAGACTAGGTAAAAGAAGATAAAAAGTAATTTTAATTTTAATTTGTCAACAAATCTCATCATTAAACGACTACATTTCTTTTGGTAAGTAAATTTTCTTTATTTAAATCTTAAGCAATTATGAATAATANGTTATTTTGGTGATTATTCCACAATACTTTACATTTTTGTTCAAAATTGGTTCGAAGGCTAATTACTTGCAATTAGTTGATATTATACTTATAATTTTGGAGAATGTCTTTTTTGTTAATTAATAATTTTGATGTCCAAAAAATGTTGGTATTTTAATGAATAAATAAGCTGATTGTAACTAGCGATTTTAATTTCCATGATTACCTTATACCCTTTATCATTCACCTCAATAAGGTTTATCATTCTACTCTACATCATATCATTCACCTCTACGTAATTTTACGATTTTATGGGCTTTCTTACGATTTTCTCAATAAAATTATAGTTTACATACATAAAACACTTATTTTATGTAAAACCATCGAAATGTAATGATTATTTTTTCGGTTTCTAAGTAAAATAAAAAATCGCATAAAAACTGTCATAATAAATCAAAAAATGAAAATTCACCCGGGTACTACCACCCTGCCTATTTCTGCCGTGAAGCAGTAATGCGTTTCGGTTTGAAGGATGGGGCAGCCATTATAAGTATACTTGAGACCTTAGTAATTATATCTCTAGGTGGGTGGCATATTAACGTTGTGGATGTCTATGGGTTCCAGTAACCACTTAACACCAGGTGGGCTGTGAGCTCGTCCACCCAACTAAGCAATAAAAAAAACCTTAGCATCTAAACAATATTAGTCCATTTGCATCTAATTTGGCAAGGTAAAAAACATAGTTGTTTCCGCACAAACTTAGCGATTGCCAGCGGCGCGACGAACGCGTTAAGGTATACCGTGCATTGCTTAACAGACAGAAGCGAAGATTTTTTTTTTAACAGCATGGTCACTTGCGGTGATAAATGAATTCTTTTTGATAATCATAAATAGTTCATCATGTTGGTTAGACTTTGGTCCAGTACTTAGGCAATGCCGCAAATGAAAACTGACACCAAAAAAGTCATGGTCACTGTTTGGTGGTCTAGTGCCGGATGTGTACTGCGAAGAACTGGACATAATGATCGAGAATCTCGCGAATGTTTAGTCAGCTTGCTTAGTTGCTGTGTCTAGGGTTGGATGTTGTGCGTCCTCCTCCGTAGGTACTCATTAGACCTTGCGCTCACAGATTTCTACTTTATGCAAAGTTTGAACATCTCGTGGGCACGCAAAATTAAGTGTCCGAAAGGCATCACAGTGCCATCAAAGAGTATTTATTGGCTCCCACACACCTGACTTCTTCATGAAGGGCATTGAAAAATACCAACCGTGCTTGCAGAGATACATCGATACCAAGAGTGCATCTTGTGATTGATATAAATAAAAAACTAAGTGGAAATTTCTGTGTATACTAAAAACGGCAATTTCGTAGGTAAAGACCTAATATTACAAGAAACTATTTGATGTGAACATTTTCATATTAATTGAAATTTATGAAATAAAAACCGCTTAAGTTAGACAATGATTATAACGTCACAAAACATGTTGTCCTTAATAAATATAGTACAAAGGGAAAGGATATAAATATTAAGGAATAGAAAAAACTATGCTATGAAACAATAACAATATTTTAATATGTAAATAATCACTACATTCAAAAGGCTTTATCTCTATTAATATCCATAAACTACAATTCATTTAACAAAAATTCATTCAGCATTAACTCAATTACTTTATTTTGAATTTAATAAAATTGTTTCTTAATTTTTGTGTCATCTTACTTTTGGCTATCGGCAATATTTAGAAATATTAATTCTTCAAAAAATTTCATTAATAGAAATTTCAGAATAAGCTCACATACTTGATAAATCAATCAAAAATAGTATTCCATCTAATCCAGGACAATGGAAATATGTCATATCTTTGGTAAACATTTTAAGTAAATAATTAAAAATAATCTCAGATCAGTTCACATTATTCCCCCATTACAGGATGTCCTAATAGCATATATACCTACAGCATAAAAATAGAGACCTATCATTTGTAAATATTCATATATATTCAATAGTATGTCTGCTACAATTGTTGCAGACAGTGTAAACGTCAGAGGCAGCACTGTGCCTGCCCTTATGATGACATACAATGTGAACCAGTTTGAGGTTGTTTTTTGTAAAGATTTGCAGATAATACCTATCTGTATCAATGCTACCCGGTTTAGAGTATTTGTAGCACACTGTACATTTAAAATCACCCTTATACAAAACTTCTATGGCTTCCAGAATTTTAGGTATTATTGAACGGGAGAGTTCAATTTTGTGATCCAAATTCCATGTTTGGAATATGATTCGTTCCTCGCGGCTCCGGTATGGGTTGATAATGTGGTCACCTTCATAGGCACATTTGTTATTGTTCCATAAGCCACCGCATTCAAAGAGACCAGTCGCATTGCACAGTCGGACGCTTTTGTCTGCTTTACGATTGAAATAGCCCTCGTTATACTTGTTCGATTCAAGTAGTTTGCGCAGATCTAACAAAAACTGATCGATAATTTTCTTACCGCGTCCGTTGCGGGATTGCACATATGTTTCGGAAGACTGCAGTGCTGATTTCGTCTTGTAATAGTAGCCACGCATTCGTTCTTTGACCCGTTTAGACATTGATTGCTCTTTTGTTTTCTCAGAGGGTTCTAGACCTGAAATGTTAAATTTAAGTTTAAGTGAAACTTATTCTAAGAACAAGATTGAAGATTTGAATAAAATATTGTACATTTGTCATTTGTTCCTGCATTGATAACAGGCGAATCAGTAAGGATGAAGTTTTACAAAGGAAAATAATATACATAATAATATTATGTATTTTGCTTCATGACAAATATTGAAATTTAATTTTCACTCAACGAAACAAGCAAGACTTCGACGTGACCTAAAGGATAAGACGCTTCGTGTACTCGTACCAATAAATGCGACTATACCAGTGTTCAAATCCTGCAAGCATGTTTCAATTTTTATAGTAAAATTTTATAGTATTCATTCATCATACTCATAACCTAATCTTTCAAGGGTGCAATTTCTCATCATTAAGCTCAGCCAACCACACAAATAATTTAATTGAAATATAAGTGTCAACTGCAGGTTACTAACATGTCATTTTTCCTTTAACACATGGGAAAGGTTATGTTACTGAATCATGTTTTGTGACCTAAGGTTAATAAATGAAGTATAAGGAAATCTTCATTATACCTTCAAACCAAGCTGGATCTTGTGTTCTCTCGCTGAGCTCTATTCTAGCATCGTCAGCAGCTGCAATGTACTTTTGAAAGACTTTGAACTTCTCTTTGATGTTTGTCGATAAAAACTGCTTGGCTGCTGCTCCTGTATCTATGTACTCTTTCTTAGTTGACAGGATCATATTGTAATAATAATCAAAATCTACAACAAAAAAATACATTATACCTTTAAAATAAACAACTCAGATAAATTTTTATATTCTAGGTAAAAAAATTGTGATGTTTTTAACAGGTATTCAAGCTCATATCTAATAATTACCAGACAGCTTAACGAGAATACATTTGCTGACTGTACAGTGCGGCATAAGGTTTGAGACTTCATTGTATTTGCAAGAATACCAATAATTAAAAATCAATTACATTAAAAAATGATGTTTTAATGTAAACTTTTTTATTGGATATTTGAAAAGGTAATTGATTGATAAAGTTTCAACTCCTTTTACTAATTTAATGGTGGTTTATCATAGAATTATTACAAGTAATAATATATTATGTAAATAATAAAAAACTTATTAAGTTCTAGTTCCCATTCAGATACCTTTTTCTTGACACTATTTACTATAAAAAATCAGGAAATTATATGATATAATAATAATAAAAAAATTACATACCACTACTTATTCTTAAGATGGGTATCAATGGATAAATGGTAAATAAATAGGAGGATAATAAGGAAAGTGGGCAAGGATGCAGCTACTACAGAAAAAAACAAATTTAATTAAGACCCTGCAGCTTTATTATTATCGGAAAATGGAAAAGAGAAAAATTTTAGCTTTTGAATTAGTATCCAATGAAATCTCGTTGTATAAACAAGCATACCTGTTATCATCTTTTCTGAATCCTTTAGCAAAATGAAGACGGTTTGTGGTGGCAGAGTGGCTAGGTACTCATCATTGTCAACTAGCGTCCCATCTTCAGCCACGTATAAATTACATTCTCCGCAGCTGACATTGAACTGAAAGCACAAGAAGCGGAATTAGGTCAAGGCTCCAAGTATATATGCCAAGGCCATGCCCGTGACCTAGTTATGAATTCAAGGACAGAGAAATCATGACTGAAACTGCATTTGAAACCAGTAACATAATTCATTGGAAACATTTGTTTTATTAATTAAACAGAGTTTTGAGCATTTTTAACTTACTTCTAATTTTTTGTGTGATTTCTCGATCAACTCGTGTAAACTTTCAGCTGCCACGCCAATTTTCTTTTCTCGTTTAACATCAGTCACTTTATAACCTTTCTTCATGATTTAAAACGATTCTACATAGAATCAAATAAATAAAATATATAAATAAACAAAGAACATTCAAATCGTGCTGATACGTAGTTTACTTTTTATCAAGTCAATCTTTGATAGGTGATAGGTCCCAACTGTAGCAAGTGTATTGTCTATGCATTGAAGAAATTTGAAATGGGACAGGTGTGCATAAAGACTTTTCTGTTTTGTTCGCCCGTTACACGCAAAGGGAATTATAATGAAGTCTTTTGTACTTAAAGCCGTAGCTCTTTAGTTGGTTTTGTTATAGGTAAAATGGAACGAAATAGAATGAAATGGAGTTAAATGAAGAAATAAAAAAAACATCCTAAGCGTTTATATGCTGAAAGTTTACTGTACTTTACTGAAAGTTGCTTCAGCTGCTGGACGTAACTTCTCGGGATCCTCCAAAAAGTCCACTGAGAAAGTCTCAGTAAATGACCACCATTTTACTGAGAATATTTAATCCCATATCATTTCATCTCATTTCATGCCATGTTTCATAATATTAATCAACTCTATTTCATTTCACTATATATTATCATTTGCAGAGTTAATTACTACATTAATCAAATTACTTTCTTAACTTCATTTATCTATACCGTCCCACGCTCCTAATTTAATTCATACTTACACTGATATTAATAATGGTCAACATGGACAGTTTCCTTCGTTTTTATTGTTCATAAACTATAAAAAGTTAAAACGGCGAATTATAAAAATGTTATTACTTGACACTTGTTATTTTAATGCAATAACCGTGTCGGAGCCAAAATAAAAGTGTATCATCTATGGCTATTGCTATATTTTGCCGGTGACCGGTGACTTTTTGGCGGGAACGCCAGGAGTAGAATTTCTAATGTTGTGTGATTTTGTTTTATTTTGTCTATTTAGTGTTTCTTCGGATTTAAATGTGTAATAACGGTGGTTTATTAACTGTTTAATATCTGTGAAAGTGCACAATTGTGGGAAAATGAAACAAAGCCGCTGGACGTAACTTCTCGGGATCCTCCAAAAAGTCCACTGAAAAAATCGCAGTAAATTACCACCATTTTACTAATACTATATATTTCATCCCATATCTCATTTTATTTAAAGTCATCCCAGTTGATTAATGTCCCAAATTAATGATTTTCATTTCATTTCATTTCACTCTTTAATATAATTTTTCATAAAATTAAAAAATATATTAAAATAGGATATGACTTAAAAGTCTTAGTTACTAGGTCATAAAATCCCTTAAAAAAATTGCCGGTATTTTCTTAGCTTATTAAACCCCATAAATATTTTTATTTCATGAATAAATTGTTATTACTTATTACATACCGTACGGTTACTAAAACATCTAAGTTAGGGTTTAATATAGACCTTTTCAGCGGGCTTAAGGCTTAGAAAATAAACATCAAATTATCAAGCGACATCCACAGTAGAAGTGTAAAACTATTATTATGAAACGAGGTGCTTTAATAGTTATTGAAGGTATCGATAGAACAGGGAAGTCGACACAAGGGAAAATATTAGGTAAGAAACAAGTAACGGAAAATGAATAGCATAACATTTAAGAAATTGCTCAGAGGGCTGTACGTTTAAGAAAAATGAAAACTCAGCTTGGTAATCTGTTACTTAAATTATGACTTTTCAGTTGAAAGCTTGAAAAAGCACAACATTGAAGCTGAATACAGAAATTTTCCTGCCCGTGAGACAGAAATTGGAAAAGTCATAAATAATTATCTATCTTCAAAGGTAAGGTTTGTAATGTACAATATACAGTAGCAGCTGATCTGCTTTTCATAATCGCAGGAATAGGCTGTTCTCAGACCAGTAGTAACAATCTGGAACCTATCTATGAACATAAGGACAATAAAATTAACACTTTAACCTGATAGCATAAAGTGATCATATTTACACTGTTATACTATTGACCAATATGAATGTAGCAATAATTATTTAAAACTCGATGGACCAATGTCTGTAAAAACTATTTCATGAAATTATTTACAGAGCTCAGATAATCCACAATTTCAACCTTTTTGATTTTATTTGGTTTCAGTATATTACAGAAAACTTTGTCAATTCATTAATGCAGTAACATGCAACTTCATAGTCAGATTGTATAAATATCATAATCTAGGAATTAAGACTCAGGTCTGTTGTTGAAATAAGTCTGTTTATAACTTGTGATAACTTAAATTTGAACACATTTTAGAATGAATTATCAGATGAAGCTATCCATCTACTATTTTCTGCGAACCGCTGGGAGCGAGCCCAAAATATAATAAAAACTTTAGAAGGTGGCACAACAATAGTGCTTGATAGATATTGTTACTCAGGTGTAGCCTTTTCAGCAGCAAAAGGTAATTAAAAAGGAAATTATCTTTAGTAAATGTAAAATCAATATTAACTTTTAATAAAATGAAATATATAACAAATATTTTATTGGTGACTTCAAAATCAAATGTATTCTAAAGGTAAAAAAATGGTTTAAAAAATCAGGTAAATAACACATCACTAATACATCCTATATGAAAGTGATTGCAACGTATAATACTCTGCTTGTTGTATTCTATCCAAGTTCAATGAAATACATTATCACTATTGTACATTTGCAATCATTCTTGATAATCATAGAACTCTAATCAAAATGCCATTATTCAGTAACTTCATAAGATTACAAACTACTTTTATGACTAGAATTGTCAGGGAATTCTTTTTAAAATTCCATCAAAAATAAAACTGTATAGCATGTATTGGCATTGGGACTTCTCATTTATATTCCATTGAAGACATTTACAATATAAAATTTAATTTAACCTGATCAGCTTCATTGTACCCCAAAATTTAAGCAACTACTTTTTATTTGTGATTTCTCGAATGTTAATCTAGAAAAACAACCCCAGACAACATGTATGCAAAATTGTATTATAATCAATTGATTAGTTGAGATATTAAAGTGTAACAAACATATTTTTTGCACTTATTTACATTCAGTATTGAGTATGGATGATACAGCTCTTTAAAAGTTTTAGCTATTCTTCCATATTTGACTATATAACTAGTCAGGTCATAAGTATTGTCACACAGTAAAAACTTTTCTTTTAGAATGCTGACCACAAAAAAGTTTATTGAATTCGAATTTCGAATTGTTCATGAAAATAAAAATGTATACTTTTTAGAATTTTACTCATTTTTAATTATGGAGTGGACGCTTAAAGAAGACCGTGTTGCAGTTATTGCGTTGCATCGTTGCGGTTACGCGCCAATTCAAATTTTTAATATGCTGAAAAATTTGAATATAACCAANTAAACAAAAGGATTTTATTATCATAGACATGAATACAAAAAAGTTAAATTAGATAAAGTTTAAACAAAAGGATTTTATTATCATAGACATGAATACAAAAAAGATGGCGCGTAACGGAAAAATGTGACGCGTAACCGAAAAATGTGACGGTAAATTTTTTTCCAACGCCGATAAGGAAGTTTCACTTCAAAAAAAAAAAAAAAACCCAGACAACATGTATGCAAAATTGTATTATAATCAATTGATTAGTTGAGATATTAAAGTGTAACAAACATATTTTTTGCACTTATTTACATTCAGTATTGAGTATGGATGATACAGCTCTTTAAAAGTTTTAGCTATTCCTCCATATTTGACTATATATATTAATAATATAGTCTTGAGAAATGCTGCAGCTGTAAAACGTGAATGATTTATTGCATTTTAGGTTTAGATCTGAACTGGTGCAAGTCTCCAGATGCTGGTTTGCCACAGCCAGACAAAGTTTTCTTTCTAACCATGCCTCTTGAAGCAGTTTTGAAAAGGAATGGTTTTGGGAACGAAAGGTAAGCCATATGTACCTAGTCTTGCCATAAATACTGAGACAAAGGAAAAAAAAAATTCTATTGTAAATAACATTTATTACTTTTACAGTGTGTTAGTTTAATACATAAATATAAAACAATTTAAAGTACCTATAAAAAGCTTATTCGAAGTGGTCTCCATTGGCTACAATACAGTCCTTTAAACGTTGAGGCCAGTTATCAATAGAAGCACGCACTCTTTCCATGGGAAAAATTTTCACTACAAATCATACGGATTGTTTTAGGGACTCCAAATTATCATGGCGCTTAGAGCAAGCCATACTCTCTAAAACTGATCATAAATAATAATCCAGCGGATTAAAATTGGGACTAGACGACGGACAGTCTTCAGCTCTGATGAAGTCCGAAACGTTCCTTTCCAACCAAGACTGCGTAGACCAAGCTTTATGACTTGGCGCCGAGTCTTGCTGGAAGGACCATTCTTAATTATTGAACATGGTGTTGTTAAGGGGCTTCACTACCTTCTCAAGAATGGTATCTTGATACACTTGTGCCAATGTTTTGATACTTTTTTCACAAAAGTATGGCTCAGTCACTCCTTCATAGCTAATAATCAAATCAAATCAAATAAAATTTTTTCTATGACCTTTCTTTGCGTACCGCTTCAGTAGTTGTTTCGATTTTACCACCCTATTCTCTTTTAAATTATCAGTTAAGAAATGACCAGTACGTCTCTTATAGGCTGCAAGTCCTAAGTCATCTTTTAAAATAGGTACGCGACATGGTTCTAGGTGCTATCTTCATCTCCTGAGATAAAATCTTTTGCTTTCGGACAGGATTTCTTCGAATTCGTTCCCTTACTGCTTTGACCACCTTTTTCGTACGAACACTACGTGGACGGCCAGATCTTTTTCTGTCACAAACAGAGGAGGTCTCATTGCACCTATTAATAGCCCGGTACACAAACATTTTACTAATACCAAGCGTATGGAGAGTTTTAAAAATTGCATTTGGCTCCATACCTACTTTTTTACGAAATTTTAACTGTTATTTCATTTCTTCCAGATATGAAGTGGTAGATTTCCAAAAGAAAGTGTGGAATATTTATTCTAAATTGATAGAACCGAATTGGGACGTCCTGGATGCTAACAGGTACGTGCTGGAATGTTTTGAATAAAACACATTAGGATCACTGATCATTTCAAAGGCATACAACAAGTTAAAGTTTTCATCACTCTATCATATAAATTTCAGATATAAGATGGCTAACGTTTAAGTGAATGAGCTCACGGCTCACCTGTTGTTATGTGTTTATTGGAGCCCATAGACATCACAATGTGAATGTTGCCACACTCTTTGAGACTTATCTGTTCCATTGTTAAGTAATCGCACAAATGATATCCCTGCCAGTTTGATTTTCATTACCTACATCATGGAAATCATGAGAATGAGTTAAGTATGTTTTTCAATCCACAATTTGGTAACTATCTGAGGGAATTGAATACTGCCAGAATGGCATCTTTCGACACAAGTACATCCATAGTTTTTAGACCTAGTCTTTAGACCACTATGACCTGCCACTGTATTAATTATCTAGGTAAAGTTTTATCCATCTATTGAAGTGACTCAAAGATTACCTATGCATAATACTTTTATATTTCAGAACAATGGACGCAATTCAAACAGATATTCTAAGCAAATCATTGGAGATCATAAAGGAGGCTGAAAATAGCCCCATAAAAAAAATATGGATTGAATCGTAACATTCATTTAATTTCTTACCAGTCAGAGTATGTGACTTTTGTCCTGTACATAAATAGCTAAATGTTTTTTTTAAATCATAGAATGAAATAGTGATGAGATTTAAGAAAGAACCATATCCTTAAAAGCTAAAAAAAACTTGTAACCAAACAAAAAAAAAAAACTAGGTGTAACCTAGGTGTGTAAACACAATAATTTTTATATGAATTCTTCTTCATAATTCGTTGAGCCCAATGCTGAGGTTCATAACGTTTATGTTGACGAGTTCGCCAGCTAGCTCAATCTTCAGCAGCGTGGATAGCCTTGGAAACAGGCATCCCTGAATTTATCTGTCTGTAGCCAGTCAACACACTTTTCCCCCATTTCATATATCTACTCTAAAATATTTATCTATTTATTTATTTGCCTTGACAATGTATTCAAAGTGTTCAAGCTTCCTACCGAGCCGTATGGTCGAGTCTGGTGCTGATAATTACTTTTCCTAGTATGGAAGCATTAGTGGGTGAATAGATAATACACGTTCAGTACACTGCTGAGGTTGTAATTGAATATGCATTCTTACTAATTAGATTTAGATATTTAATATAAAACACAGTTTAATAAATATACAATATAACATATAAGTCCAGTGGACATTGTTTAATTCTATGATTGAATTGAATGATAATGTAATGTTTGGGTTTATTTGATAAAGAGACACACAGATCATAACACAATGCTTCAGAAGCTGACTGAGAACTGACAGCTTAGATTTTGACCATACTGTGATTGATTAAAATAGACTTTATTTTGCAGTTGTGAAATCACTTTTTTTTTTTTAAGAAAGTAGATCTTGACTTGAGTCAATACTGTAAATAGGTATAAACTGTATAAAGTTGTACGACCTTTATAGAAACATAAAATGTTTTTGGTACATAATGTTTGATAAGGGGAATATTTGTGTAGAAAAAAATACGTCACTAATTATTTTTATAAACTTTACATGTTTTAAATATTAAATTAGATACATTAGGAAATAAATTAATAAATTTTAGAGCTTGTGTTTTTTTGCTTGGAAACTCAAGTTAGGCTTCTAGGCTAGGCTAGGCAGGTTATCAACATTCACCAAATTTGTGGTGCAATTTGTGAAGAAGAAAATTACCAAACTACTATACTTTTAAAACAAATCAAAATTTAATTAAGACAATTAAATTATAAACAATGTCATGAGTAGTTTAAACTATTTATTCTGTACATTCTGTAACAATAATTTAGCACCTTCCGATGATTGTTGCTTCAAAATATTTACATGTGATTTTAATTTCGCCTTTAATTTCTTAGCTACTTCTTCACTATTACTCTCTATCAATTTCAATAGGAAAAAGCAACCCCTATTTGTACGTATCCACACTTTAATCTGAAAACAATAAAATAATAGTGGTTGTCAACATTAAAATTATGCATATTAAAAAATAATTGACATTAGTTTCTGGTCTATTTGTAGTAACAGAAGTCAGTAAGATATATGAGTCGTCTATTATCAAAGGTGGCAATCTGTGCATTTGGACAAAAAAAAAATATTGATATAATATAATCGTCTCTCAAAGAATACGGTTCAAAACCTGCATTAAATAAAGGTTAATACTTAACCTGTTATTAAATAAAGGTTAATACTTAACCTGTTATTAAATAAAGGTTAATACTTAACCTGTTATTAAATAAAGGTTAATACTTAACCTGTTATTAAATAAAGGTTAATACTTAACCTGTTATTTATCTAAGATGTCGTTCAGAAGAGTTTTGTGACTGCCAATGGAATACAAAGTCAATAATTCGTTTTTCTGATTTACCAATAATTGTCCAAAAGTCACATTGCCGGCTTTGATAATAGTCGACTCATATAATAATAAATTACAATATGTTTTTATAGTATTTTCGGGATACGACAATTCAGAATCTATGACTTACAGTTTCATCATTTAAATGTTCACTTATAGCTTCACCAAGAGTATCAGCCGATCTTTCTTTGTCTAAACTGGCTAGTTTTTTTAAGCACATGTGTATGCCAGCATCCTCAATCGCCAGGGTATCGTCCTTCCCTTCCACCTGCATATGCCAGTCAGTCTCGCAGATCACTTTTGCCAATGCATGCAGAATCTCTTTAGATGATTCTAGAAAAATAATTGTAATACTTTAAATGGGTGAATAGTCACATACTCAGTGTACCCCACGGCGTGCCCATCTCTTTTTGTTTTCTATTCGTTATTTTTATGTAATATTAAAAATACAATTCAAAATTGATTTAAATTTAGGGTGTGCTCACAAAACATGTATTTGATAATAAAGAAGTGATTTATTAAACCTTTTTCACCATTACTAATTTTAAACTGTAAATTCAAATTTCTCAATAAGAATATACCGTGCGTTTTACTGATAACGATTATGGGCAGTTGACTGTTACCTTTTTGTAGACTTAAAAATAAGTATGTACATATTTACCTATAGACAATACAGCAACAGCCAACAACATATTAGATTTATTGCTAAGCCAGAATTTAGGATCTGTTTCCATATCTTTCTTTAGAGCAGGTAATATAGCTTCCCTAAGCTCTGAAACACGAATTTCTGTGTCTTTCTTCGATGTTCCACTCTTAGCACCATCTTCCAAAAACTTAATTAAACTAGGATGAAAAGCAGCTGTGTCTTTTGGTTTTACTAACCAGTGAATTACCTGAAAATTATAAATAGTTTTAAGTGTCTGCAACCTATTTATAGAACTTTGTGCAGTAGGCTTTGAAACAGCATGCGCATTAAAAACACATACTAACGTAATACTGCTAAATTATGTAATGCACCTATAACTAATAATATTTCCCAACTATAATAGTTACATGATAGCTACATTATTTTACTAGATAGTAGTCTGCAGTTTTAGAACTGACAGTATACATGCAATTCTGCAATTGTCTGTGCCTTATAATACAGAAGATATTTTAGTCACTTGTGATGAAGGAGTTTTGTACATATGTGTATTTTAAAAGTAGAAAACTTTTAATTTTTTATATATACTTATAAGACATTTGGTGCATGTGCTGGAGTTTAAGAGGAGAATGGGGAATATCCCTTATTTTAATGCAATTGAGGTCTTATATGTCAAGACAGTAATTACTTAATGGTTTCTAATATGTATGAATAAAAAAAATATCAACAACAGTTTCTAAGCTGTGAAGATCTTTCTGACTTCCAATTTATATCCCAATTACTATTCTACCATGTTCAAGAAAATTCTAAATTACTCACCATATTACCCCAGTGGTCCTTAGCAATATCTTTTATATTGGCAGCCAGAGTGGACACAATAGTCTTCTTGACAAGAACAGTATCGTCAACAGAGTCAAAAATAGCAATCAGAAGGCGGTATCCAGTCTTATGTTTACTTAAAGGAATAGCATGTTCCTTGACCACTTTTAAAATTGTCTGAAAAAAAATTGTTCTTTAAAATCTAATTTTAGCTTTAAGCTAAATAAAATTAGAAAAAATCTGCTTTTACCAGTGAAACAAACAAATCTAACATTATTCTGAACAAATTTTATTTTGACTAAAATTTCATATATGTATATGCCAATACATCACTATTACTCAAATTTGATACTATTACAAAACACTGCATTTAATTTAAAATATTTGTTATTTCAATTTTTATCTAAAATAGTGTTTTAGTGTAATAACTAAATAAATATAAATATAATAAATAACTAATAAATAAATTAATAAAAAACTAATAAATTACCATTTTAATTTAATTTACATCCCTTTTAACTATTAATTGATTAGGTTTGTTATTTATTGTATTTAAAAATTTACAGCTATTTTAATTTCATTTAATCCCTTTTAACTATTACTTAATTAGGTTTGTTATTTATTGTATTTAAAAATTTACAGGATACATATTATATCTTTAAATTTAATGTTTCATTAGAAAAATCTTGATGGAAATATAAAATTTTAACCCATTATCTGACAAAGCAAGACGAAATTAGAGGAGAATGAGCTTAACCCTTAATTTGGCTCAGTCCGCTACAACGAACAATTAAATAAATAAAATCTGGTGGGTCTATGAAAACTTCTATACGGCTTAAATATCTAACAAAAACTTTAAAATATATTTCTATTATGGTAAAAAAAATAAAATTCTTATTTGGTAATCTTGTATCTGCGATTTTGAGACAAAATGTCGACGAAGCACAAGCCATCCGTTTTACTCAAAGTATTTATAATTTTTTATAAAGGTTTTACTAATAAATGTGCACGTTTGTTTACTGAAATAACTTTGTAATATTGTAATTTATTAAATCACTTATAGATCTTGTAGTTTTGTATGGTTTTGGTGACTTTTTTTACTAAAAACAATGTTTGTCCGCCACAACGAACAAAATCAATTTCATAAATATTTAGTGTTTGATTGATTTGTCCGCCACAACGAACATTGCCAAAGTTATTGCGGGCTTAACATGTATTGGGATGATTACTAATATTTTACCTAATTATTAAATTTACATATTTATTTATACTTATTTGCAAGAAATTGATGCAGGTAAAGAAAAGGAAATGAAGAACAAGGAGAGAGGTGCATTTTCAGAATCGACATGCGATAATAACTGCCTATCTGTTGTTCGGTGGAACGATAATAAGGCTGTTACGTTTATAAGCACATGCGTAGCTAGGGACCACATCGAAAAAATTCAAAGATATTGTAAGGACTCGCGAAAAAAATTTGACGTGCAATGTCCTCAAAGTACGTCAATATAACAGGCATATGGGAGGTGTAGATCTTGCAGACATGCTGATGTCATTGTACAAAATAGCTTTCAAAAGTAGAAGGTAGTACTTAGGTATTTTTGCACAAATAGTTGATATTTGCCTGAATAATGCTTGGCTTGTTTATCGAGTCCAGCGCGGGCTTGGAAGTAAAATTTCCCTAAAGGTATTTAGACATCTGGTATATGAAAACCTATTTTTGCCCAATCGAAGTGCCAAAAGAATGTAAGAGAACACTCAAAAATAAACAAACCTTACGCAGCAAGACCTTCAAGCCCTGTAAAATATGATGATGTAGGTCATTTCCCGTCAATTATGGATGAAAGACGTTGCAGATATTTGCCAGAAAAAATGTTTTTTTTTTGTATTTATACACTTTGTTTTGTAACTGGCAAAAATGCCAGAAACTGTTTTCTTAATTTTTGTACTAAATTAGATGTGTAAATGTCATAACTAAATACTTTTTTATTATATCTGCCCACAAAATACTTCAACTTTTTGTTTACCGCATATTTAGTACTGTCCGCAACACCGGACATGTATATTTATGACTCCTTCATAACATAATTGTCAATGATCGCCACAGCGGACATTGATTATCTCAAAAATGGGAAATGATATATTTTATTTATTTATTTTACAGAGATCCTAATGTCTATACAGACATAGGAAAATAACAGAAATTTAAAAAAAAATTAAAAAAATTCTTGCCAAATTAAGGGTTAAGATTGAGTGTATTCATGAATTTGTATGCTTACTTTCTTGTCCTTATTTGTACCCTGCCAAACACACATACTGGCAGCATTGACACCAGGTAAAGAATTACTGAGTGGGACAATCAGTGAGCTAAGAATAGAAATAAAATCTACTCTATCTTCTTGGCTGCATTCACAGATATAGTCATATAACACAGAATGAAACAATCTGAAATCATGTTTTATAATAAGTCACACTTTTAATACTAACTCTCATTTGATTTAAGATCAATCTTTTATCTGTACATTAGATGGCCTTGAAAGATGACTTTTTTTCATGATGTATCAATAGTCATAGCAGATTGTGTCCTAAATTCAGTAGTTTTAAAGTATACATATTCAGTATATATTAATAAGCAAATTATTGGCTGTAGTGGTATTTGTGTTTGCAACTACCAATTTACTGTTAGAATTTTGAATTATTTTTTCTATAAATTAATTTGAAGCTATCATGGTTTAAACAATAAGATGCCTAGTGTAGTTGTATCTAGTAAAGCTACTACTATACCTATGTAAAAATCCCCTAGACCGGTACCATTTCTTGTAAAATGCACAGTTAACATGAATGACCTCCATGATGAATGAATAATATTGTTAAATAAAAATTAAAATCCCAAAAATATGTAATTACTATATAATTGATGCATTGACTTCAAGTCTCAGGGTGGGTGACAGCATTCATGTTGTGAAGTCTATGGGTTCAGATAACAACTTAAGATTGAGGTATGAGCTTCTTCACCTGCCTGGAATTAAAAAAATACTGACATAAAAGTTATTGTAGTATATAAGTGTTATATTGTATGTGTAGACTAGACTTCTATTGAAAATATGAAGAGCGGCTTCAGAATGAGCAGCTTTATTGGCCACACACATTTTTATACAATCAAGAACAAAAGAATTCTAAATGCAGGTGTTGTCAACATTGGGACACAAAAATTACTGTGTAAAACTAAAAATAAACAAATCTTATAATATATTCCAAAAAAAAAAAGAAACCATCTTGTGCTTCTTAGCCATCTAGTCTTAAAACTAAAACAAATGTCTCTAATTAACACTTACTCTCCATCATGTAGGTTTTTGTCTAATATCTTCTGTAAGTTGGCCTTACAGGCCTGGAGTATAGCTGATTTCATTTCTGGACTGTCTTTGTATGCATCTCTGAGTGTCTTTACCTTGTCGTCTTTTGTCTAAATAACCAAAAACTTGTTTGACACTCATAAATCTTTTTAATGTATTATTGACTAATTTATTTAACAGGAAATTATTTATCAAAATCATTTTTGTTTTAGACTTGCACCGATAAACATTAGCTTCTTAAGTACACAAGCATCCTAAGTTATCGAAAGCAGTGTATTTAAATTACTGATGTTGTAAATGATATTTAGAGGGCTTACAGAAATGCATAACATTTACCATAAGATTGTAATTATTTAATTATACACTCCACTAAAGTTTTTTATCAATTAGTCAATGAAACAACTTGTATCTACTTTCTTTTCAAATTCAAATACCCATAAAAACCAACTTACATTCTTATAAATCTCTCCATAGAATTCTTGTTGCATGTGGCATTTTTCCTTTTTCGAGGCAAACTCCCCATATGCATAATCCAAGACAGGTGCACTAATAGCATGAGTTGACAGGGATACAACATGTCCATAAAACTTCTTCAAAACCTCATGCCGAATGAAATCTGTTCCATATTTCAGTATTCGCTTAACAGAATGATGCGCGTACTTAGATTGACCCATCTGTACTATAATGTCTAGAAGCTCTTTTGTTATTTCATTTATAATGTCTTCAGGGCTATGTTTTAGTAGAACTTGAATAACTCGACTGAGATCATGAGTGAGAGCAATAGACTTGTATTGTCCCTTTAACATATTGTGCAATTCTTTACAGGAGTTTATTTTGAAGTCAGATTTCACAACTTTTCTGAAACAATTAAAATGCAAGGAAATATAACCTTTAATTATTTTATGTAACAGTTGGTTTTTTATTATATCTATTACAATAGTTTGATAGTTCGATATCACCAAGTAAAAAAATACCTCTGTATTTGTGCTGCTAACAACTTGGCCTTATGTGAAATCTCAAATACTTCAGCTGTTATTTTGGCTTTACGTCTGACAGTCCTTAGTTGTTTTTTCTCTTTTTTCATTTCAGCCCATTTTGGCTTTTCTCCGTTTGCTTCATCTTTAGAAAAATTCGATTTTTCTTTTGTTTTAACAAATTTAGATCCTTTGTCGTTTTTAGTAAATTTTTTGAAACCTTTTACTCCTTCCTTATTAATTTTTTTACCTTTTAGGTTTATTTTGTTTTTGATGTTTTTAACTTTGTTATCTTGTTCATGCGAACTATTTAGTTTTTTCTTTTTTGGTGAACTAACACCATCTTCATCACTTTTCCTTTTACCTTTCTGCATTTTTTTAGAAGAAGACCTGTTTATATTTGGAATGAAGAATTGTTTATATTTGGTGACTTAAAAAACTGGCGCCTATTTATATTATGGGTTATTAATAATCAATTTTTGAAAAACGTGGTTTCAATCTAAACTAATCCAAAGTCACACATGGGTCCAAGCATCAGTATGACCAGATTTCATTTGACGAATCTACTGCTTGTGGTGGTTAAAAGCTACTAAATTATACCAAAAGAAATTTTTTTTGCTGTCGTCGTGTTACGACGTAAAAACATGAATGTTTCCTAATAAAACGATAAAATAATAAAAAAGACAAAGAAACCACCATTGATTAAAGATATCAATGTTTTTTTTAAAATCTAAATAAAATAGTACAGGATCCCTGGTACACTTTTCATCGTTTATTACTAACAAGCTGATTTTTCGTGAGTAGCTTCCTTTTGACTAGACACCCAACTTTTTTCCTTACAGTAACGTTGGTAAATGGTAGCTTACTGGGGGTAGCAAAGATAAAATATTTTGATTTTACTAACTTTAAAAATTTATTACTAACCGAACTTTTCTTTGTTAAATATCGAGATAATTATCTAAATAACGTGAAAAAATATTTGTCCTACAAAATATAAGGTTTTGTTAGGGAGTCCCCCCTCTCCAACATGTATCATAAGCAAGGTCATGAAAAATAATTACTAACCAGCTGATTTTTTTTTATTCGTTAGCTAACATTTGCATAGTTTACCACCCACATTGTCCTACAAATTGCGTGGTATGTCATCTTGGTCCAAACAAAGGTATCACGTGATAGGTTAATATGTTTTTCGTCCAAATAAAACAATGTCCTACAAAAAAAAGGTATGGTTTATTCGTCCTACAATATTTGTAATTTTTGAATATAGAAAATGAAGAATGGATGATTTCAGCCGATTCAGACGCTGATGATGTCAAAGCTGGCGCAGTTTTCTGTATGTGACAAATTATTAAAACAAAAAATATGAAAAATTGTGTTTGAGAAACATACAATTTTTCTGATGAAATACTTCATCGAATGGATTGTAATTTAAATAATTACAATCCATTCGATGAAAGGGGGAATACCCCGAATTTGTCCCATATATCAAAAACGTTCTAGAGTACTGAAAAACGTGAATTCTACTAAAATGTACCAAATAATTTTTGCTTAATAAATTCTGTTGCCAGTACTTCAAAATCTACCAAAAAAGTAGAAATCTACTAAATCTGGTCACGCTGCCAAGCATAGTTTTTTGTTGTTTGATTCTTTCATTAGACAGGTATAGGGAACAGACTACAAAGCCAAATTTTTTTGGTCAATTTATGTAGCAACCCGATTTCAGTAGAAACAGGAGAAACTTATTTAAATTTATTCGATTCAGTTCCTATTCACTTTTCATACACCACAAAGCTTCAGCCTTCTAAATTCTTTGTTTCTCCAATGAAAGAATAAAACAAGCAGTAAAATATTGTGAAACCACAATATATGTATGCCTATCAAAGTTTGTTGGTTTTTTTTAATGAATCAAAGGCTGAAGTTATTAATAAGGTTTTCCTAAACATTGCTCAAGATTACAATATAATATTTAGTTGAGCGAGCAACTTGTATCGGCTGCAAAAAATGATGTCAACGAAATTAATTTTCAAATTCAAAATGAGATAACTGGCTCGATGACGTACAAATTAATTCGAGGGATGAAATTTGGTGACATTTCGCTTAATACGAGTCTTTGTAATTAAAAGTGCGATTTATTTGATATTAGCATCAACAGCTCGATGTTTTTAATTGAACTTCAATTCAAATAGCTGAACAATTATTATTTTTTATGATTTTTTTCCAAATTTTAAACTTTAAATGACTCTCCTGTAAAGTTACAAAAATGTCGCTTCAATGAAATAGCCTTTCACTCCTCGAATGGATTCCGTGCCGTTATGACCAAGATGATATTATCAAATATCCAACGGAGTTTTTAGATTCCCTGGAATTACCTATTCATTAGTAATTAACTGCAATGCGATCGGTAATAATTATGTTGCAAAGTATAAACCAGTCACATTTTTTGTAACTGCACCCGATTTAATCCGAATGAACAACGTGAATGAAGCCACAATTTTGAAAGTGAAGCACAAAGGTGAAGACTTTTTAATTGCACAGATTCTTTTGATTCCGAATGACATGCCATGCGACTTTACTCAAACGTTTACAATTTCCAGTGCGAATAACATTTGCAATATCGATAAATAAATCACGAGGTTAGTTGCCATGTGTTTGTGGCATAAAACTTGAAAATTCATGTTTTTCACATGGTTTTATATCGCCTGTTCCCATGTTGGCATACCAACAAACTTATTTATCTACGTATCAGAAAATGGAACTATGGAGGATAAGTAGCTCTATTTCAATGTATTAAAAAAGTCGCCGCAAAAAAGTGTATAAAAAGCCGCTGAAAGGGAGCCTGTTGGACGTTTAAATTTGAGGGGACTGGGTTCTGGAGTTGAGGGGCTATTTAAAAGCACTCTGCTTCATGGTTAATATGTATTGCAAACACTTTGTACACTATTACGCCATTACAATATTTTATTTTTATAAAACCCTAAGATCTTGCACTGTTCGTGTCTAGATGAGAAGTCCATTGTCATTACTGAAGAGAGGACAATCATCTGCTTTAAACATTTAAATAAACATTTCAATATTCGAAAACTGTTACTTCACATGTGTAAAGTGTTGCCTGCCATTACTTACACATACAAACTTCGGAGCACATAAAGATGCCGCCATATTAGCAAGGGGAAGGATTTTAAAAACAGCACTATAAACTACCACACTACACTTCACTGCCTAGAAATGCTATAAATTAATATAATTTCTACTTCCCACACTAGAGCTATTTCGGTGACTTTTCCAACAATAACTTGCTATTTATAGGTGGACACTTTTTTAACTAGTCTCCATATATAAAACGAAGATTTCTGCATATAGTATTATAATATTAAAAACTACATAATATGTTTTGTATAATATTTTTTTATTAATTCAACCAATTCGAATTCAAGATTCAAAGTTATGACAGGTCAACGTCTAGCGGATCAGCTATAGGTAGTCTATATGATAAATCTATAAGCTGTATGTATAACTAGTCAGGTCATAAGTATTGTCACACATTAAAAACTTTTCTTTTAGAATGCTGGCCACAAAAAAGTTTATTGAATTCGAATTTCGAATTGCTCATGAAAATAAAAAATGCATACTTTTAGAATTTTACTTATTTTTGAATATGGAGTGGACGCTTAAAGAAGACCGTGTTGCAGTTATTGCGTTGCATCGTTGCGGTTAAGCGCCAATTCAAATTTTTAACATACTGAAAAATTTGAATATAACCAAAAGATTCGTTTATCGTACTATCAAACGATACAATGAAGACTCTAGTGTAGATGACAGGTCAAGAAGTGGTCGCCCTCGGTCTGTTAGGACTCCAGCAGTGATAAAAGCTGTGAAGGCGCGAATTCAAAGAAATCCCAAACGTAAGCAGAAACTGTTGGCCCTTCAGATGGGGTTAAGCAGAACCACGGTGAAAAGGGTGTTAAATGAAGACTTAGGGCTTCGGGCATATCGAAGAAAAACAGGACATCGTTTGAATGCTCGTCTAATGGACCTGAGACTGAAGAGATGCCGCGCTTTGTTGAAGCGGTACGCGGGAAAAAAATATCGGGAAATTCTTTTTTCGGATGAAAAAATTTTTACCGTAGAAGAGAGCTACAACAAACAAAATGATAAGGTGTACGCACACAGTAGTGAAGAAGCGAGCAACCGTATTCCGCGTGTCCAACGAGGTCATTTTCCATCCTCGCTCATGGTATGGTTGGGAGTTTCTTATTGGGGCTTAACAGAGGTACATTTTTGTGAGAAAGGTGTAAAAACGAATGCAGTTGTGTATCAAAATACAGTCCTGACGAACCTTGTGGAACCTGTTTCTCATACCATGTTCAATAACAGGCACTGGGTATTCCAACAAGATTCGGCGCCAGCTCATAGAGCGAAGAGCACACAAGACTGGCTGGCGGCGCGTGAAATCGACTTCATCCGGCACGAAGACTGGCCCTCCTCCAGTCCAGATTTGAATCCGTTAGATTACAAGATATGGCAACACTTGGAGGAAAAGGCGTGCTCAAAGCCTCATCCCAATTTGGAGTCACTCAAGACATCCTTGATTAAGGCAGCCGCCGATATTGACATGGACCTCGTTCGTGCTGCGATAGACGACTGGCCGCGCAGATTGAAGGCCTGTATTCAAAATCACGGAGGTCATTTTGAATAAAATTTAGTGTCATAAGAATCTATGTTTTGTTAAGTTCATTTTGGTATATGAATGGTTACATAATGAATAAACTTGTTTCAATTATTTTATATTAGACATGTGACAGAGTTTATGACCTGACTAGGTATATAAGTGTCACTTATGGATTAGTCCATAAGTCTATTATCTATGTGGCTTAAAGGTCTCGTTACCAGGCCATAAAAAAAGAAAAAAAAACTGTTATCTTTGGGTTGCTATAAATTATAAACATGTCTAATGAATTAGAGAAATATTATTGTTTCAAGAGAGAAAACAAATTCATTGTAAAAAGTGGATCTAAAAAACGTATGTGGAGATCTTTAAAACAAATCTTAACAGCCGATCGAGCATTACCATGGCCAAATGAAGCAGTTTTATGTTAGTATGAAAATTTATTATTTTTTCCTTTGGCTCTTACCTGTCTTCATCCAAATCCTTCTTGAGGGTCCGATTAAATTTAGTTTATTGTTAATAATTATATTAAGATAGAAGTTAGCACTAAAATTTAAACAATAAAACAAGAACATTACGTTGATGCCGATGATACTTTACACACTTATTTATTGTAATTTGTTTACAGATTATTCAATAAATGCTCCGCCAACATTCAAACCTATTAAAAAATATTCAGACATATCAGGATTACCAGCACCATATATGGATAGACACTCAAAACTTTATTTTTCTAATGCTGAAGAGTTTGCAACAGTCAGGAACCTTCCAATGGACATAACAGCAGGATATTTACAACTCAGAGGAGCAAACACTATCGTGGGATAAGGTGCATGATTCTATATGCAGTTAATACCTATTTGTTAAAGAAGCATATTGATTACCATAATTAAATAAAGGAAGTAATAGCTTTAATAGTGTAATTTATATAATTAACTAATATGTCATAAGTTAGGTAGTTAGGTAGCTATCATATAATCACTATATCACTTTATACCACATTATATCACTTGGATCCCACTAGCAATATTATTAAAATAAGCTTACTGTTCTAAACAACATTCAGTTTGTCCATATACAGAATAAACACCTCCATGTCATCACTATATTTTCTTTTGTTAGGTTTTAATAATAAAATTTTTGGGAAATGTGAATAATGAATAAAATAAAATACTTTGGCATTGGCATGACAATTAAGAAATCTGGTTACATGGTACTAATTAAAAGTAAAATTTCAATTGTATTTAAAAAAATAATTGACTATTTAGACACCGAAAATCAGATGAACATCATTGATATGTAGTTACATAGCATGGGCTCAAAATTGCTATTGAAACATTGAAGTGTTTTTATGTGCTCTCTTATAATAAACGTGACACACAAACTTTGTAGCTAAACTGAAGTAATATTAGAACTTATACATCACAAAGGAAATATTCAACTTTTAGTAATGTAGAATTGCTGTGATAATCTACTTTCAATGTTTTATTAACTAATTTAAATTTACAGTCAAGTGTGCAGGTAAGAAAATAAGACTTTTATTAGACAGCCCATAGACATCTACAATGTAAATGCCGCAACCCACCTGTCACAGAATCATAAACCAGAAATAGGCAAGGTGGTGGTACCTACCAGTGAGGACTCAAGAGGTCCTACCACCAGTACTAAATATAAATAAAATAAATATTGTTATTAATGGTGAGACTTGATACAATGTTTATACAGATATTTTTATTTATGAGAAGCTCATTATAGTTCAAACTGGGACCGCATGGAAAAAAACTTGGGAGTTGTATAGGACAATATTGATTAAGTTAACTGGTACATAATAAATATAGTTACGTTTTGAAGAATAAACAGAATTAGATGCTTATTTAAGTTTATTTTATTTTAAAATTAACAATTGCAAGACCATTTTTGACAGATGACAACTTAAACCACCTCCCAGCTTTGTGTTCTTGTCCCACTGCCACATATAATTGATTACCATCGCAAGTAAACTGCATACAGTTAATACAACCATTTATTTCTATACTGAACAAAGGCTGAACTTTCTTATAAGAGTCATAAATTTTCCACAGTCTGATTTGATTGTCCCAAGATCCAGATGCAAAAATATCTGAATTTAATAAAGTTGCAAGGCTAGTGATCCACCTGGGAACATCATTTTCGGTGCCATGGGCCTCTGGGACTATATATAATGGTTTTTTCTTCAAGACACTCCATAGGCAAATGGAACCATTATCACTACCAGACACAAAATGTTCTTCATCCAAAAGTTTCACTTCATCAAGACTACCTACAGGGCCATTGAATATTAGCTGTGATTCCTCTACTATTTTCCAAATTCTAATTGTACTATCCCTGCCACCAGATGTTATTGCTCTCTCCCTTGTTAATGCATCAATGGATGATATTGGAGTTTGATGACCAAAAAGTGTTTCCACATAAGACATTTCATCTAATGACCAAATTTTTACAGAGCGATCTTTACTTGCAGAGTACATGTCATGTGTATTCTTTCTAAAAACTAGACCTATGATAGAATCTTTGTGTCCTTTAAATGTGTGTATATGCTTAAAGGTTATTGGGTCCCAAATTTGAATGTTGGATGACTCGTCGGATGATGCGAGATATTTTGAATCTGTTGATATAGCTAAACTAGTAATGCCACCTTTTAAGAAATTCGAGTGGGTTTTATATGTTAATGTACCAACTTTTCTCTTTTCTTTGATACTCCATTTAACAATTGTGCTACATTTACTGCCTGTAAATACTAAGGTACTATCATTACTGATACAAACACATGTGAGAGTAAGTCGATGTTCTTTAGCTCGTATGACTTTGACATCGCTGTCAGTAGGTGCCTGATATTTATCAGCAAGTTCCAGTTTAAGTTTCCCTCTCTGTTCAAGATAATCTCTTTGTAAACGTTTTTGGACTGCATCATCGATCTCCTTTTCTTCGGCTCGTTTAGCTTCTTCTTTCTCAATTTCCTCTAAGTATTTTTTAGCTAACCTTAATTTCTTTTCCTCCACTGTCTCATGATCACTTTCAGATTCTTCTGCATCTGAAAATTTCTTTAAATCTAAGTCACTATCGGACGATTCGTGTCCGTTTTCTAGGTTAGGAAGTGTCGATTTCTTCGCAGGTTTCTTTTTTATTTTTTCTCCTTTTCTTTTTTGAACTTGTCTAGATTTGCCTTTGAGGAAGAACGAAGACGACATTTCAAAGGTTTTTAACGAACTTTTGATTTAAAAAACACGACACTATCAAAACACACACTGTTCCTTTCCTGCCGTGTATCTATATTGTGTGTTATCTATGCATTTATCATAAATAATAATAGTTCAGTTTTTACTACAGGAAAGGCGAAGGTGTCGTACCATACAGCATAATCTTTAATTTCCTTTTATGAAAAATATGGAGCTAAATGATATTGATGAAACATGAAGATGATTTACTTGAGACTAATCAATTGGGTTAAAAATAAATGAAATAAGATGAGATTTGATGAAATGGAGTCTCAGTAAAATTATGGTTACTGAGATTTTTTGGAAGAAACGTCTAGTGGCTTTATTTAACTTTGCTAAGCTTGTGCACTGTCACTGTAGCTAAAAAATTGTTCATCATCAGCCCACAGTTGTCCACTGCGGTCATAGACCTCTCCCAATCTACACCATTGAGCCCGATCTTGGACTTTCTTCATCCACCTCTTGCCGGCAATCATTCGGAAGTCATCGCACCACCTAATCAAGGGGCGTCCAACGCTACGTTTTCCGTTGTGCGGTCGAGAACCCACCTGCAACAGCGATCGTTCATTATACCTCACAGCTCACGAGGCTCAAACCTGACGACGTTGCTAACACGAACCCTAGCAAGAGCCGTGCTTCGCAGAATCTACCACCGGATCGGAAACGCGACCCACTGAGAAGATCCGGCGAGAAACTCAGTGGGCTGTGTCTGAGGGTTCATTTACTCGTCGAGCCCTTCGTCGCAAGCGACGGTTTCAACGAGAACGGTGACCGGTGCTTGAGGTACCTAAAAGCACCGTTTGTGGATAGGGAGGAACCGAAATGACGTGTTTGGGGCGACGTCGACTGCTTTCCATTCTTTCCGCAGGATCGGGAATGTAGTTACCGGCGGCCACGATGAGAGGGTTCTCGTGTCGTACCTCTTTATCGAAGTGGCGCATCGACGCAGACACTTACTGATGGACTCCAAGTCCAGGTCGTCATGGAGGTCGACGTTCCTGACGAACCACGGGGCTCCGACGGCTATCCTGCAAAAACGGGATTGAATAACTTGGAATGATTTTAAGTGAGTGCGGGCCACGTGAGCGAACACTACACTTGCATAGGTCATCACGGGGCGTATGCAAGTTTTCAAGGCCGCTCGCGACACCGCGGTCTTATATAATAACGAATTCCATCATGTTCACTCCAAACACACGAGTATCATTGCCGAATGAAGAAACTAAACTAGTCAAGAGAAGACTAGGCGCGTGCAGTCTGGAGGCAGGCATCGCTGCCATACCGGTGTGACTCTGCCCTAAGGTAGCCTACCGTAATACGGAGATTCTTAGCACACCTTGCTCTATCGTTACCGTGAGTAGGAATCTTGGAACCCGTAGCTTGCGACGAAAGGTTCGGCGAGCAAATTAACCCAGTTTGTCGCCGGATCGCGTTTCCGATCTGGTGGTAGTTTCTGCAAAGGACTGCTCTTGCTAGGACTAGTGTTAGCAAATTCCTCAGGTAACAACAGGTAGAGAATCAATTTAATTACCTCATTAAATTTATATTTGAAGTAAGACACCGCAAGTCTAAATGTCGCTTAATTTCGAAGACAAATATGTGTGTACAATTCTTATTTTCATTTCCTTATATTACTTTTCTCCTTGAATCAAACTTAGACGTTTTTATTATGAAAACAAAGTGTTAAAAAGTTTGTGTGATGACAGTGATCAATTAGTTTTTCTGTCCCTAAAGTACGGCTGACATTTTTAGTGACTGTGGCAGTATCCACCACCTATTTATCAGTTGATATACTATCTTATTTTCAGAGTATATCGACGCTTGAAAGGCAAACATGACTAAGCGACAATAACTGCTTTGTACATAAATGATAGGCAATAACCATATTCGATGCGCAAAAAAATATATTTCTAAGTCTATTAAAATAATTTCAATTTTACAGCTAGATTCGTTAAAATAAATAAAAAATTCAGGTATTTCAACTTTAAATTAGTCTAACTGTAAAGTTCACGCATCGTCGCTTAGTCATGTTTGCCTTTCAAGCGTCGATATAGTTTGTATTGGAGAGATAAATAAAAGTCATTTACATAGTTATTATTTTATTTGACAAAAAAACCTACGACAAAATCCTGTAGCTGATCCATGTGTGACGATCTTCTCTTCTAAATACATTGAAAGCAAAAGACGCTTGCTACAAACCTTTTACAGCAAGTCATGCTCAAACTACAAGTTTAAAGGCAATGCACACAAAGGAGGGCAGGGGGTTACCGATAAGAACCTAGACGAGCTCGAAANACATAGTTATTATTTTATTTGACAAAAAAACCTACGACAAAATCCTGTAGCTGATCCATGTGTGACGATCTTCTCTTCTAAATACATTGAAAGCAAAAGACGCTTGCTACAAACCTTTTACAGCAAGTCATGCTCAAACTACAAGTTTAAAGGCAATGCACACAAAGGAGGGCAGGGGGTTACCGATAAGAACCTAGACGAGCTCGAAACAGCATAGAAGACTGCAACAGCATACAGGCCAGCGAGCAGCACCGGCCTGTTAAACAAATGCAAATGTTAGTGCAGTCTGTGCTCCAACAACATACAGCCTCTGGGTTTGTTTCTGATGCATTATTGTTCTGATTACTACTAGAAATCTGTGCACACATTTTACTTACTATATCAACTCTTTTGCATCAATATTGTTGATATAAAGTTTGTTTATCATAGGAATAAAGATCTTTTATATACTTACATTTTATAATTTTTTTATTTTTTTTGTAATGCTATATTATTATATAGCAACGTGTCATTAATTTTGTACAAAATGCATGTGTCGGTTGGGCAATAAATACAAAGATTTACTCATAACTTTGATACTGCAATTACGGCAATTCCGCGTTTGTCAGCAAACAGCGCACACAACCCCCTCCCCGCACACAGCAACGCTCCACGCGCTCACCTCACGCCCTGAGCATACCAATTCATCAGTTAATCTTGAAGTAATTAAATTTACATACGTAAGAATTCTACATAATACAATCCTGAGTATTAGGTTGGGTCATATTACATTAGTATTAATAGTTATATGCAAATTATTTTTACACTCAGATACATCTTCAACAACCCAGTACTCAATTATTAGCATTTTTAAGTATTAGGGACATTGTTTTATGAAATTTTATCATTACCAAAATTGGAGTTCACAAATTAATGCCCAAGTTAGCCCAAATAATCCTTGTAGTGGTTTAGTCTTCCAGATTGTTTTATGAACCTGAAATAATATCTAACCGCTCCCACATCACATCTAATATTGTACCAATTATTTAAAATTCATTAAATTTTAAAACCTCAAGAAAGTCAGAAGACAAAAAATATAAAGCTACACATACTAAGATAAAAATTTAAATCCAATTAATATTACAATCCCAAGAGAGGTAGCACACGCCATAATTTCCTTTTTTTTATAAAGATGAAACAGTCACACACAATGAAAATAAAAAGAAATGAATACAATCTTAAATGTAGTAAGTTAACCTATAGAAACTTATAGATAATTTGTTACATTGAATGTGTTGTCACTATGTTCACCATAGTTAGGTCTGAGGGTGGCTTATATAATAGTTGTGATTAGTACCTTGGCTAAAGGCTGCTCAATCGTCTAGTACAGCACTTCAGCTCTCAACAGGTACACTCTCACACCATCTGTAATAAGATAAATAAAATTACTAATGGTGGTAGGACTTTGCGTGAGTGCGCACAGGTAGGTTTCACCACCCTTCCTATTTCTGCCATGAAGCAGTAATGCATTTCGGTTTGAAGGATGGGGCAGCCGTTGTAACTATACTGAGACCTTAGAAATTCATATCTCAGGGTGGGTGGCGGCTTTTACGTTGTGGATGTCTATGGGCTCCAGTAACCACTTAACACCAGGTGGATTGTGAGCTCGTCCATCCATCTAAGAAATAAATAAATACATTTTTTGAAGTAGTTGTTTTAATTTTTAGAATCAGTGTAATAGTTATGTCAATGCAACTAATGCATTTGAATGGGCCCCTCAACAGACTTATTTCAAAAAATGTACAAACAACATAACACAAAATTTTATGAAGTTTTTCCAATGAACGACAAAGAGAGTAATTAAATCCATTTAAAAGTTTGTAGTCATTGTTTGAAATAAATGGAATGTAGTGTGATCCATTTCAGAGGACTGCAAATTAGGGTCAACAGTTTTTGATTTTTATAGTTCCTCATCAGAACATGTTAACAGACTTTTCTGTTACAACAATTTGGCAATTGTAAGTTGTATGCTGAGCAGTTGATTATTGTTCTAGATTTGAAGGAGCAGTAGGCTAGAGCAATTGACCGTTTTGAGAATTTTTTCATTGTCATTAACAATTAAGGCATTGTGATAAGTATGGTGCTAGGATGTGTAATCTTACAGGTTTCCTTCTACGAATATTACAAAAAAATACATACAATACAGGTACAGGAATTTTATGACAATGTTTTTACTAAATTATGAAACTACTTATTACCATTTTTGTGTTGACCAAGTAAAGTTGAAAACTAGTCAAATAGTGGTAGTATTAAGTACAGTTAACCTGAAATACATTTTTAAGTAATCCTAAATACTAATATCATAGTACATTTTGGTACTTACAAGGACATTTCAGTGTCTGGATCGTGAGCGAGAACGACTGTGTGAGCGGGAACGTCCCCTGGAACTCTTTGAGTCAGAGCGAGAGCGACTGCGGGAACGGCTGCGGCTACGACTGCGCGAGTAACTACGACGGCGGGAACGAGACCTGGACCTACAAGTATAAACAAAGTACACATAAAATACCACTCACTGATTTCTTTCCATATTCAATTGTTTCGCATATGAAACAAAAAGATACTATTCATATTTTCCTCGGTGTTTAAAGCAGTATCTTGCACCTTCAAAGTTGAAGAAGCTGTCGATAACATTAAAGCAAAGGGTTTTTAAAATTTCATACAACTAAACTGAGTATTGCTCGCCACCAATTTTAGGGGCAGAATGATCTATAGTATCCATAGGATATCGGATCTATCGGTTCCTATCACAATTGATACCTGTCTGTAGGACATGTTTGACACATCTTCACAAAAAACTTCCAGAGTGAAGTTGATTGAGTGTGCAATGATAATGAAATATTGCAGCATATTAATTCTTATTATCGTGGTTTAAAGCTGACTTTAATTACAAACTTTACAATTTCGTGATACTACGAAAAGATAAATGGTATATGTACGTGCTTGTGGTAAATTAATTTTTCCGTACCTGCGCCTGCGATCGTAACGACTCCTGTATGGCGATGAGGGGCGACCATATCGCGCCATCTGAACGCGAAGTTCCCTGCCGTCCAACATTCGTCCGTCCATCGTGTCCAGGGCTTCTTCAGCGTCACGACGCTCGAAAAACCTTATAACGATAGTGCCAATTTTAATATCACTGTATAATTTAGAAGAATTCAAATATATTAATAATACAATACAATAAACATTGAATTTTGTAAAACCCTTAGTTGGCAAACGTTATATCCATAGCTAGAAGACAGCATATCGTGCTGCCGCCTTGATACAGAAATAGGTCGCATCATGGCATTAAACCGGCGTGTGACGTCATACAAATACATATTTTTTTTTACATACCTCACGAAGGCGAATCCTCTACTTTCCCTTGTGTACCGATCTCTGGGAATGTAGATATCACCAACTTCTCCGCACCTTTCGAAAACGCGGCGTAAGTCTTCAGGCGTCGTTCGGTAGGTAAGATTATCTACTTTTAACGAGACCATGCCATCGATTCGTGGCGGAGGTCTTCCGTAACTCATTTTGAGTAGTATAGATATTCAGCTCAAATCAAACAAATTGAATAATACAATGTTGTTAATTTCACTTTAGTATAGCACGACGGCGTCACATCAGTTGAGCGCGTGCAAGAATTGTTACAAAAATGGCCGTTTGTCTGCCGGAACCATAGGTTATAGATACATTGATGCCGGAACCTTAGGACAAGTCTATGGTTTAGGGCTGCCAAATCTCATTTCATTAATTTCCCAAAATGTTTTCCAACTTTTGGGGTAAGAGAATACCGCATGATCCACTAAAGACCTAATATTTCATTTCATCTCGTTTAATTCCTTTTAATATCGTTTCTTTTTTCATTACATGTAAATTTATAACAATTTAAAAAAAACATTTGTGTCATTTCCTCAATTTTTCATATTGCAGATTATGTTTTTAAAATAAACTTTAATTAAAAAAAAAGATACTGCCAACAATGCCATAGCAGAAAATTGATTGCCATGCTGAAAAATATGGAGGGTAGAGGTAAGGAGAACCGTCTCTGTGTGTAAAAAGTGTCCGTTAAAATCTGTTACATAAGGGTGGCGCTACAGTAGCAACCGGGTAAATTTAAAAAAAGGCGCTGAAAGTTATTAGAATAGGATTGAGAAATAAACGAAAGCACTACAAAATCACAAAAAGTATTTTATTTAAAGCTGATAAGAAAATCCAATCGATGTCTCCACGTTTTACCACAGCAATAATTTTAGGTTATATTGACGCAATTAGTTTGGACTACGTAAACATGCAAGGTCTTGTATATTACACTGTCACTAACTACTCTAGTCATTAAATATATTAAATTTCCTAACTCAGCATACTTCAATCAGTAACAACTGCTCAATTCATATACCCTGTGCCTATGCTAGCGCCATTCTGGAGGATTTTTGATCAGTTATTTAGTGCTGAAAGTGGGACACTTTTTCAAGCTTCTCCCATATGAGACGGTTCTCCTTATTTTTTTATTTTTTTATTGCTTAGATGGGTAGACGAGCTCACAGCCCACCTGGTGTTAAGTGGTTACTGGAGCCCATAGACATCCAACGTAAATGCGCCACCCACCCTGAGATACAAGTTCCAAGGTCTCAAGTATAGTTACAACGGCTGCCCCACCCTTCAAACCGAAACGCATTACTGCTTCACGGTAGAAATAGGTAGGGTAGTGGTACCCACCCGCGCGGACTCTCTAGAGGTCCTACCACCAGTAATTACGCAAATTATAATTTTGCGGGTTTCATTTTTATTACACGATGTTATTCCTTCACCGTGGAAATCAATCGTGAGCATTTGTTGAGTACGTATTTCATTAGAAAAATTGGTACCCGTCTGAGATTCGAACACCGGTGCATCGCTCAACACGAATGCACTGGACGTCTTATCCGTTAGGCCACGACGACTTCAAAGTTCTCCTTACCTCTACCATCCATACTGAAAAAGAAGAAGAAACAGAGTAGATATTTTTATATGACTAACACTAGCAATAGGGTAGAAAGTCATTATTTTTAAGATAAGATAAGATGAGTCATAATTTATAGAAATATTTAACCCAACTTTCAAGAATTAGGATATCTTTCAAGATGTTTATTTTGAAATTAATTCGTATTTTTTTGGAGTACCTAACGACGAATCTCTTTTATGAGAAGATATTTATGAGCTACACGTGCTAATGACCTTTACGACTGCAAAATCTATTACGCGAGTCCACACAATGGAAGCGTTATTACCGTTAACGAAATCAAGGAAAAAGTCGCGAACTTACAAGCACGGAAAGCTCTCTGTTTTGAAGGAATCTATAAACGTGTGTTAAAAATCCCTTCCTAACAAAGTGACACTTGACAAAACTTGCATAAGTTCCGTCATAGCCTAACTTGTGTTACGACGCGGGCGATGGGGCAACGCAAAGTCGCCGTCGCCCGAAATATGTCTTGTCGGATCCTCCGGATCCACTCTGGGTGTTCTTAGGACCTTCAACTACCAGTCACCGTCTTCGTCGAATTATGAATTACGATTTACGATGAAGAGTTCGAGCGAACTAGCCCATAGACACATCCCGCTGAGTTCCTCCATCTTCTCTGTGGGTCGCGATTCCGATCTGGTGGTAGACCCTGCGAAGCACTGCTCTTGCTAGGATTAGCAAATTTAGCCCATGAAGTCACCTCACTCTCACGTCCGGGCGTAGCTGGATTAGTGCCTTAGACAGCTAGCGAATTGATAGGGGGAAAAAAGGAAATGTCACGAAAAATATACCATTAGAAATCTCAATCACGATTTATTTATCAAAATAATGATTCTTATATCTTCTTTTGCTTTTAGAGAGGTCTCACGTAGATACCCAATTTATAATAATTAGCCAGATAACTGAATAGTATCCACTATTGCGTGAATTCTGTCAGAATCACCAATCCGAAACGGTATTTAGGGAAGCCAAGTTTAACTAGCTTAACTGGCCATTCATTATTGTCCAATTCAGACAATTCAGCTATAGCATAATGGGTATTTGAAATAGAATCGATAAATGAAGTACCTTCCTTTTTTTACATAAATCTGCAGCATCTATTAAATCCGACTAGAATTATCTTGATTTCAACTTTTAATGTTTGAATAATCAAGAAGATTCACCTGTTGATTATGTAGTCAACATCTACTACTAATTGGTGCTACATTGCTCGCGTACATTAACTTAAATAATTACTACTCTAATAATTAACAATTACTCGACAACCCTGTTGTCACCATAACAACGTAGCTTTGCATTTCGTAAAAAACGTATGTCAATGTAATGTAATCGTTGTAATTTTCCGTTTAATTCGATTACAATCATACGTACTATGCTCTCTTTGTCTTTTACTGTCTACTAATTGTATATATGATTTGATGGATAGCAGAGAAATTTAAGTAAATTACTATGTCTGGAGTAAAGCAAGTACGAAACAAAAAGCTTCTCCCGGATTTGCGTAAGGAAGGCGAACTCACTAAAGAAATAATATTATCTACGAAGGAGAAACACGGAGTTCCTGTGACGTCTAGACTTTTTTCTCATCACACCTTAGCGAGCGTTAGAAAACTAAGTTTTTATTTTCCATATAAGTAAGTTATTTTTGAGGATCACGTGACTTCCTTACATTTTTATTTTTATTTTTTTATCTTTTTTATTGCTTAGATGGATGGACGAGCTCACAGCCCACCTGGTGTTAAGTGGTTACTGGAGCCCATAGACATCTACAACGTAAAATGCGCCACCCACCTCGAGATATAAGTTCTAAGATCTCAGGTATAGTTACAACGGCTACCGCACCCTTCGAACCGAAACGCATTACTGCTTCACGGCGGAAATAGGCGGGGTGGTGGTACCTACCCGTGCGGACTCACAAGATGTCCTACCACCAGTGATTACGCAAATAATAATTATGCGGGTTTGATTTTTATTAGACGATGTTATTCCTTCACCGTGGAAGTTAATCGTGAACATTTGTCGAGTACGTATTTCATTAGAAAAATTGGTACCCGCTTGCGGGATTCGAACACCGGTGCATCGCTTCAACACGAATGCACCGGACGTCTTATCAGTTAGGCCACAACGACTTCAAATTCAGTCGTCTTGTTATTTGTACATAAATTATAATATGATAATAATAATAAGACTATTTATAAGATAGACTGTTTATAACCATTTGTATTATTGAGTGGTGTGTAGGTATCTAGAATTTAATTTAATTTAATTAAATTTTAAATCACCGACGAGATCATAAGATGCTTTTCTTACCCAGTATTCTGTAACCATACCCGATAACAAAAGACATATTAGTGGCACCAAAACTCTAACCCTTTCGTTAATGTTGGTGAATTTCCGCCACAAAACGCCACCTGTGTGCTTAGTGCGAATTTTTAACGTTCGCGATATCGTAAAAGTTAACTCAAATTTGTATGCAATTGGAACAGCGCCCCTATCGGCAAACGTTCCAACTCCATACAAATATGAGTTAACTTTTACGCTATCGAGAACCTTAAGAAACTCACACTAAGCACATTGTACGTGATGGTTGACTACAGTCACCGGCTGATAAACACCGCCTATGCCTATACACGATGAGTGATGTGCGCACTTTCAGCATGGAGCTCCGTTTTTGTCTCAATTTGGGTAGTGGGATTAATGTTTTATGTTTAGGGGCTACAGTATCCACATAACACCAGATGGGCCGTGAGCTAGTCTACCCATCTAAACAATAAAAAAAATATCACGGCAGTCTGGTTAGACCTCCCACGAGCTGGGCTTTGGACTTCCGGACCTGCTGAAGGTCGCGGGAATTTATTGATAGTGGGCTGCGCAAGACCGGTTATTGTGGCGAGCATGGGGTGACGCCTATATCCAGCAATGAAGGGTTCTCCTATATCTTTAAAATATTGATTTGACGTTACATACCTCAGTTAAATCTGTGTGCTTACTGCGTGATTTTTAACGTTCTCGATAGCGTAAAAGTTAACTCATATTTGTATGGAGTTGGAATGTTTGCTGCTAGGGGCGCTGTTGCAGTTGCATACAAATTTCAGTTAACTTTTACCCAAGCACACTGTACCGAATTTCAGACAGGTCATATACAAAGGTAAACCAGTATTTTCTCACTTCATGAAAAAGTGCCCTAAACCACTTCAATAGAAGCTCGCGTGTTTACTTTTAATAATTAAAAAATAATAGTTTGCCAGACGACAGCCTGGACTTTATTTTAACGTCCAAATACAATCACTCGACGGAGCAATTTGCGGATAAAGTCGACGTGTTCCTGCAGCCTGAGACGATCGGATGCGAGACCTGGCGACGACTTCGAAACACCTGTGATAAATTACCAAGCAGTGGAGTCCCAATGGTGAGTTTTCACTTGAAAAAGAAAGCACTAGCTATTTCTAAATATATCTTTTAGATGCTCCCGCTTAAAGGGTACTTAGTCTGATTTAATGGAAAATATATCTTAACTCTTCTTCTTTTTTTCCACCTTAGCCTACTAGGTGGGGTCGGCACAGCGAATTTTTCTATTCCATTCTCTTCTATCAGCCGTAATCTCAACACTCACTCCTCTCTCTCTCTCTCATATCGTCATTCACACACTCCGGTCGACCTCTTCTCCCCTCTACCTTCCACTACCATTTCCATACATCTCCTAGTCACATGCATCTTCTCTCTACGCATCACATGTCGATACCATGCTAACCGTCCACACTCTAATTTGTTAATTACCGGGGCTACTTTCACACTTAAAATATATCTCAACTATTATAATAAATTAGGACGTTCGCTTTTTACTATTGGTAATGTACATTTTGAGTCTGCTAGGTTGAAATCATCATCTTCCCTATGTCTGTCACGAAGCAACCTTGCAGTCTAGTTTGAAAGTTGGTACAGGCCAGCCGCTTTTTCATGTCGGCGAAGGGGTTCGCAATTCGCCTGTTGAACGGTTACCGGCGCTTATAGTCATTATCAGGTATAACGTGAATAACATCATCCACATTGAAACACGAGGTCAAAGTCAAGACACTCACGCCGTAATGTCTGTGACGTCTAAAAACCATTAAATATTAAGGGGGTGAGACGATCGTTTGCCAATCGTCAGCAAATAAATCACGGTTCAAAATTTTTTTTTTACTTTCTTACTTATCCGAATACCAAATCCAAACTTTGATCAAGTTTAAAATTCCTTGACCAATTTCAGGGCCATCCTTTGAGACGAGGCGGTATTCACGAGCGTCGGTCGCCCTTCAGCGTAAAGTTGATGAATTCTGGAGTTCACTCATCGCAAACCAACCCTGGGTTCAGCAGGCAGCCAGCTGGTGGAGCCATATTCTTCTACTAATTGAATTATTATACGTTCTAAATATTCTGTGTTGTTTCAAAACTGTTTTTAAATTTAGAAACGATTTTTTTGTAAACGCGTTTATTAGAATGTGTAAAGAGAAGTTAATTTCCGAACGTTACTTTTGGTTTTTCTTTTGGTAGATTGTAAATTATGTAAAATGTGAAATAAATAATTATTTCTTTTAATGAAAATGCGAGTATACTGTATTTTATAAGTATAGTTCAGGACAGCCAGTCGACGCTCGATCTTTAGGGATCTTTAAGGGCGTTACTGGATCTTTAAGGGCGTTACTGTGTCCTTAGCCTCAATTTTTTCTTCACACATCAGTGTGCTTAGTGCGAGTTTTTTAACGTTCTCGATAGCGTAAAAGTTAGCTCATATTTGTATGGAATGGGATCGTTTGCCTACGTTTGCCGTTAGGGGCGCTGTTCCAACTGCATACAAATTTGGGTTAACTTTTACGCTATCGAGAACGTTAAAAAACTCGCACTAAGTATACAGAATGTTCTAGAAACTAACCACAAGCCAAGTATTCCAAGCACGATATCAAGTAGGTATTAATAAGTACCAAGTACTTACTTGATGACATGAAAAATTACGGACTCTTTTATTATTCACTTAATTTAAACAATTTGAAACCAATTAATTAAAATTCGTATTTATACATTAGGTGCTGTTTTCAGGACTTATTGTATTCTAATATCTAATTATGTTTATGTACATAAACAAGGAAATGGAATGAATGGAAGCAATTCAAGTCAAGGCTTTTGATTCAGTTGTCGGCCTAATGTCTGTTGGTTGTTGTTTAAATGCATTTTTCGCGCATTCCTGTTAATGTTAAAATTCAGGACATCAAAAGATCTTCGATGTCAAGGTTTCGATTAAACGATGAGCCGATCAGAATAATTATAACAATGGTGACTTATCCGTTAGGTGACGACAACTTCAAAACTTTAAGGGAGTAGTTTGCCCATCCCCTATAAATATGAAGTAAAAGATAATTTATAGACGATCATTTGCGTTGTTAGGGTAATGATAGAGGGTTATATGCCCCGACATTAATGTTTTTTTAGGAAAAACTCTTTTTTGCCTTACTGTTTTCTTCTTCTTTTGTTAAATTCTCTTTGTTAATTTATGACAGACAAATTCAATATTAGGTTGACTTTCGGAATAGAGAAAACTAAATGTCGAATAGAAACATTATTAACATATTAAAGTATCATAGAATTTGTTCAAATTGAATTGTGCATTTTGTACAATGTAACTTCGTCTCTAAAGTAATTAGCGCGGCGTAAATTTAAAATCATAACTGTTATAACTAATATTTTGGAATGGATTTCTTAGATTCCTTGGGTAAATACAACATTAAAGATTAATAGCATAGTAGAACATGTCAATTCTTGTAATGTTTGAAGAAGTACCTACTAAGAAAAATTGTTCATATTTTAAGCGAATTCAAAAAAGGATAATGATCTCGATTCGATTGTATTTTTATGTGTTACTTTAGAATTTCTTTTTAGATAAACCGATTTTGATGATTTTCCCTTTAATTTGAAAGCTGATGCTTCTTATGCCTATTATTTCCTTTTATTCTCCTAAATAGTGCATATTTAATTCGACTACATTGATGATATTCTGATATATTGATGATATTTATTTGGTAGAAGTCGAGTTTCTATCTTGTTAAAGTTTTTTTATTGTTTATCTTTAGATTTAGATACAGATAATAAATCGCAACGTGTTCGATCGTGGTACCTTTATGAGCAGTTCAAAGAAATTGAAAAGAATCAACTTGATGCCGCCCGGCGACTCAAGGACAAATCGTATCAAGATAAAATCCTGCGCCACGAGCTCGCAGAAAGGAAAGCCAGAAGAAGGCTTCATGACCAGTTCGGAGCTTGTGAAAGTGATTCAAGGTTGCACTATAGTTCTAAGTATGGAGATGAGACCATACTCAGTATTAGCGCTGAAGATATATTCGAAAGCCTTGCTGACTTCCATGACGAAACCCCTGATGGTTTCGATGATTTTCATGATGACTTAAGTCGGGTAGATTCCGTAGTCGGTAATTCTTACAAAGAAGATTTTAAAAGCTTAGAAGACTTTAAAGATTGCAATAGCTGCACGGAAACTATTAGTGTTCGCGACTTCAAGAATGTTGAATCTGCTGATAATTTACGTAACGAAGCGAATGAAATGGAACCATTTTTAGCCAATAATTTCGATATAAAATCGCAAATTGAATATTCGCAGAAGGATTTTAAAGAAATTGAAAATTTGATGACTCCTATTAATCCTGAAGAAGTTTCAGAAGTCAGCAGTTTAGTTTCTGTAAAAGTTGAAGATGGATGTGATGAGAAGCCCAAACATTCGAGCTATGAAATTGTGGATTTTGCTTTATGGTCGAAATTAGTCTCTTTTGCTTATCAAATTATTAAGCTCAATCATGGTAAGATTAACTAATTTTTTTTATCAATTTGAGCACGAAGTTACCAAAGTATATAAATTTTTAATTAAAGGTAAATTTAATTTCTTGACAGGGAATTGTTTTTACGACTATAGCTCTCAGTTTTTAACTGCGGTACTTATTTGCGATGCTCTGAAAAAGGGAATCAGCAAAATGTGTAAGTTTTAAAATTTTCATAGGTATAATTTCATAGGTAATATTTTCCTAGATACGATAACATACCTGTATATTTTTATTTCTAATTATTTTCAATCTTTTTTCGCATCATTTTTTTGATTTTTTTTTGCTTTTGTTAGTTCCCCAAGAAGCTTAAAGATTGTTATAAATTTGAAGCAAATGAGGGTATTAAGTCAACTTAATTTTAGGCCATATTTTGCAGCCCTACGTCTCACCAATAAAGTTTGCTGATGAAAACAACGTAAACGAAACTAGCCAGAAACACAAAAATCGTGAAAAATTGGAAAACTTGAAAAAATCAATGACATTTTTGAAGTTCTCGGTAAAGATTTTTATTGTATAAACTATAGACTAGGGCCCTCCGTTTTTTTGTCCACGCAGCGTATGGAATATCCGTTGGTGATGTATGATGATGTATCTTACTAGTGGTAGGACCTCTTGTGAGTCCGTACGGGTAGGTACCACCACCCCAACTATTTCTGCCGTGAAGCAGTAATGCGTTTCGGTTTGAAGGGTGGGGCAGCCGTTGTAACTATACTGAGATCTTAGAACTTATATCTCAAGGTGGGTGGCGCATTTACGTTGTAGATGTCTATTACTTCACCGTGGAAGTTAATCATGAAGATTTTTAAAGTAGGTACCTACGTATTTCATTAGATAAATTTGTAGATACGAATACATCGGACGTCTTATCCTTTAGGCCAAGACGACTTTAATTAATGTTAATTTTAATAATGTTTTTTTTTAAATATTTTTACAGCCATACAGCTCTGATAAACATTGCCAGCAATACAAAAGGGATTATGGTTCCGAGAAATATGCCCGTGGATGTCACGGGGGTCATCTTGGAAATTATTATAAAAACGTCAAGAGTGAGCCCTGGCGAACTTTCCATAAATTTTCAGTTTCCAAAAATCTTTTAAATAAGGCGTCAAGGAGCAGTCTTATTCGATCAGATTATTCCAGAAAATCTAGTTCTTGTAATTGTGAAATTTGTGATTGTTGCCATAAGAAAATTTCNGAGAAATATGCCCGTGGATGTCACGGGGGTCATCTTGGAAATTATTATAAAAACGTCAAGAGTGAGCCCTGGCGAACTTTCCATAAATTTTCAGTTTCCAAAAATCTTTTAAATAAGGCGTCAAGGAGCAGTCTTATTCGATCAGATTATTCCAGAAAATCTAGTTCTTGTAATTGTGAAATTTGTGATTGTTGCCATAAGAAAATTTCAAATCCTATGTTAAAGATTGCTCGACGCATCGATGACTTTATAAAACTGGATAGTCCGAGGCATATTTAATTTTTTAATTAAAATTTATTATGAAGTGATTATTTGGTATTTCAATTTAATCGATAAATATATTTTTTAACGGATTTTAAGGGTGGCGCGGCGTAGCCGTTATACAATGTCTCAAATAACTTTGATCTCATGCCTTAAGGTGGATGACGGCAAGCTTGTTGTAATGAGTACCTACCATAATATATGATAACTACAAAGCAGAAAGGGCCTTGCACCCAACATTATAATAAAAAAAAGGTGTGTGGTGTCGTGGGACACCGGATAGGAACGAAGTTCCCAATTATAAAGATATTAATTTAAAGTTCTATTCGAGGTATGAAGAAAGAGAGAGAGAGAGACAGAGAGAGACAGACAGACAGACAGAGAAACATGCGACGCCGCACAGCTTACAATAGCTTACTATAGCAAAAAGTGTCGTGACAACTTTTCGTAAGAATTTATAGCAAAAAGTGTCGTGACAACTTGTCGTAAGAATTTTTTCCGTCTAGCCCCCTTTCACAACGCGCGATAAGAAACTTCGTTCCAAAATTCAGTACAGTATTTTGAATCATTCTTTTGGTGTTAATTTTTGTAGAATCTCGTGAGAAATGTCCTTGCGAACAAACCAAGTTGTGCTCCCATACAGCAATACAGACTTTACGTTCGAGTTGAAGATCCTCAACTTTGTTCGTCTCGTTAAGCTTAAGGAGCTCCACATTAGCCTAAGTTGACTAAACGCGGCTCTGGCTTTATTTATCCGAGCCGCAATGTCTACCTCGGTGCCTCACCTATCGTCCACAATGCTGCCCAGGTAACAGAAGCTTCCACCTGATTGTTGTGCCTCCCTTTGATCAACATAGGAGCCGAATCGGTGGTGTTTAGGCACATTTCTTTTGTTTTTGAATAAATGCTTGCGTCAAATTTTGAAAATCTTTTGACTTGAGACGATCACTAACAAAGAGCTGTGGGAGACTACCAAGTAGACACCAATGGAGAAGGAAATCCCTACGCGGAAATGACATTGGATTGGTCACATATTAAGAAAGCCCGATACCCATCTTTCCAAGAGAGCACTGACCTGGAAAGTGTTTGGCAAAAGGAAGAGTGGCAGTCCCAGAACAACTTGGCGTCGCTCGGTGGAGCAGGTGCTTGGCGTCTTGGGCATGATGTGGGAGGAGTTTAAGCAGATTGCCCAAGAGCGATGTAAATGGAAGGATTTGAATTGAGCTCTACAACCCAGTATAGGGTAATAGGAAAGAAAGAAGAAGATATAAAAATGAATCTGCGTAATGTATGTACGCGCTAAACTTCAGAACGCCGGCAACAAATTGGATCATTCTTCTTTTGTTGTGATTGTTAGTCAGGAGAAGGATCTTATAAAATAAGAAATTTGCGCGGAAAATTAGAAAATTTAAGAGAACTTGACCACCATATTAAATTTTCTAATGTAACCTTATGGCGTTTGACATGGCATTGGACAGAATGCGTGCTGCAAATATCAGATTTGTTTATAAGGAAATTTAATAAAATCAATAATAAATTTTAGTCCTCGAAGCGAAGCGAGGACGGGTCGCTAGTTTTTTTACATTTAAGCACGGTTGAAATTTCGAGCATTCCATTGGAATATCAATGCGGGGAGGAAATGAGTAAAATACAATTTAATGTGTAACTGTTTATTAATGTATTCATATTATATGTTCTGGAGCGTGTTATATTAATTCCTGAACACCAGGCAATTGAATGGAGTACGAACAAAAGTATTTGATATTTTAATATCAAATCAAATAATCTAAAGTAGATTTTATCAAATCTATTTTCATGATACATTTGTTACCCGCACAACTGCCGAACATCTGTTAGAATCTGTACGATTTCAAACTGTAATACCTACAGACTGTACTGACTGTAGAATAACATCTAAATCAACGGCAGACAGGATAATTTTCAACAATCATTGATTCGTAATACATCTCTCATTTCTTTATAATATAGGTTAGGATACAGTTATACATTATTCCCTATCACCATGAATTAACACTATATAAATAATAAATTCCTAATAATATAATAAAAGACAGCTTGAGAGTAAAACAAATATTTAAAACAAAAAACCCTCATTTCGATTTGAATTTAATATCATCATCCACTGCAAATAGAAGAATCTACAAGTTTTTCTTTTTAAATTTAAGTTCAGAAATTACGAAGCTACCGCCACCTGTGTTGTGGACAATTTGGCACCTTAATTAAAACTTAATTCATACAATATGGTGTGATAAATGACTTGGTATCATAAGTCGACATTTTCCATGAACCAACATTAATTCTGTACGAATTGAATTTGACAAATAAACTTGCCCATCGGATGTAAACTTGTAAGGTGTTTAAAACATCAGCACCATCTTGTATATGGGACAAGTTGAAAAAGTGTCCACCTGTAAACAGTAAGTTATTGTTGGGAGTCTCACCGAAATAGCGCTAGTGCAGGAAATAGAAATGATATGAATATAACAGCATTAAACAGAGTGAAGTTGCTAGATTTAAGTGAAGTGTGGTAGATTACGGCGCTGTTTTTAAAATCCTTCCACATGCTACTACGGCGCCACCTTAATTATCTCCTTTTTAGCGGACACTTTTAAAATACACTTAGACAATTCTTAGTTCTATCCTCCACGTTTAAAACTATAAGATACATATTACGTGATTTCATTGTATTATGTGATTAGACAGCATTCAAGTTCTGGTAGCTTTTAAGATAACAAAAGATACGGAAATATTTTAATCGAATTCTTTTCTGAAGCATCGTCAAAAATTGTTTTGTTTTTCTGCTGAACTTAACCCTTTAGGGTTCACACGTATTAAACATATAATCTTATATTACAGTAGTCTTAGGTCCGCAAAGGTTTAAAGTAAGATTTATATAAAACATTCAAAAGTTAGTAAACAGACGAGGTCTTGTAGCCAGTCGCGTGCGACAGCGTTTTGGCGGGATTTTTTAACAAAGTACCAATTTTTCTGGAACAATGATAATTTTGAAGATTGATATGATTGATGTTACAGACCAAATTAATTATTTATCTAGACTTCCGTGAACAGCTATTAGCTGTATTTTATTTTGTTTTGTAATATTTTAATAATATGTTTTAGCTTTGTTAATATAATTTAACTCGTACAATATTACAAAAGACTTTTTTGTAATTTACCAAATCAGAAAAAATATAACACGATTCGCATCGCTGTTATTTTAAAGAAAAGTAGGACAGAACAGTCAACCTCTGTGATTACAGTACATACAATATTTAAGACGCTATTCGGTCATTATTTTTTTATTTTTTAGAGATTCGTTCATGGTCAAGACTGGGATTTCTTTTCTAATTATTTACTAATAAATACTTTTAAGTTAACTATAACACGATAAGGTATTAAATTCAGGATTAGGATTCTAGATTTGTTTTTTTATTGAAACTGAAAAATAAAAAGTAGGTGCCCTGATAAAAAAAAGTTTAAATTCTGAAATCTATATTGATGATCTTTATGAACCTGATCTGAAGGAAATGTTCGAGAATTAATATAAATAATGCCCTTTTTCATTGTCTTTTTATTTCATTCATACCAAATGACTTTTATAAATCCTTATATATATATAATACATATTTATTTCATATTACCAAAAGATGTGATTAAATACTTCGTACAATTATGATATAAAAGTTTCTAACCGTTTTTTTTTTAAATTCTAAATAAATTGAGTATATCGTGCAAAATACAATGTACAAACTTCTACTACATATATATAATATTAATAATAATTGTCCCTTTCGATATTATTATTTAACTTTTTTATACTTGACCACAAGGTAAGGTCCTGGCAATCGCAATTCTACTAGATTGTTTTCTATTTATAAAGGCGGGTATTCACCGGGTGCACTCTCCTGTATTAACCGAAGATTTGATTTTGAGCAAATTGTTACACTACTGCTTCACAGAGTACAACAGGACGTCAAGTGAAACAGCTACATATATGAGTGTAGTAATATTAATTTGATATTTACGTAAAAGAAAGCCAAATAAACGGTATTTTTGTATAACAACTTGGATGTCGCAAATTTTATCATTGAAGGTAACTGAATGATGTGACCTTTTTTGAGGTCATATTATAGACCAGTGATTCTCAACCTTTTTTTTGTTGCGGCACATATTTAACGATTTCAAAATTTGGCGGCACACAAAAAAAAGATAAAAATTATTTACTTACTACAACACACTGCATAAATAATTTATCAAAAAATTTTAATATACGAAATAAACTAAAATATACTATAATTTTTTTTTGTGGCTTTCAATATATTCATGATTAAAATATTTTTCTTTTAAAATGATATAATTTAATAATATTAACATTATTATATATTCGCAAAATTTGGCGGCACACTTTTGAAATTTGGCGGCACACAAAAGTGCCGCGGAACAGTGGTTGAGGATCACTGTTATAGACGAATGCAGCCGGTGCGCCACTGCCTTTAATATAAACATTGAATCGGATTGTTCAAGATCGAACAAGTAATGTGTGTTTGGATTAATAGGATATTTTTTCCTTTCGGAAAGTTAACGATTCACATTTTGCCGAGCGCACTATTAATATGTCCGCGGACAAATAATAATAGTTAAGTACTGTTTTCTCCAGTTTTCATATTACGCGATTGGAATATTATGCGAAGCGTTTTACACTTCCATTTTTTATTACAAATATTTTTTCGGTTTTTTAAGTTTAACCTTGTGATCTGGTATCCATGTTTCAACTATACGGCAACACCTTTAAATTAAGTAGATTTAACAATTACATATTCAACTCTTCCTAATGCGTCTTTAATTTCTATAATAAATAAGTAGAGACAAAACATTTACTATTAATATTAATAGCGGTCAGTAAAAAAAAAACTCCTGGTGTTTCTTAACCGATTTTTTTGTTTTGTAGCTATTGACGACCATTAAAAAAACAATAATGTTTTTTTTGTATATTTTTTTGTTAATATCAAAATAAAAGAGAACATGTCATACAAAAATTTAAGCCTTTAGGTACCTATTAGTAATTGTTGTCTAATTTCGATCACTGGGCGAATACTAGTTCGTATAAAATCATATAATATGTCAAACTCAAACACAGACCGAAACCTCTCAGATTACATTACGATAAGAATAATTAAATATGTTATCTTTAGGCCAGAGATTCATTAATTATTGTCTGTTTTAATTATCAAGAGGTATTGGTGTATGCGATTTCAATAGCCTGTAGTTATTCCTACAATTTGTAAATTATTTCCATCGTCCATAGAAATGGCTCTAATTTCTACCTAGCTCCTCCAATTCGAACCTTGATTACTGGTAGGCGTGGCGTTGGTACCACTGTTCTACTACGAAGCAATGGCTTCAGTTTGAAGGATATCAAAGCAGTTAATTCAAATTTAGACTGCATTATCGCTTCACACAAAGTTTGTAAACAAAAGATCAATGTTTTAATTAAAATTTCGTTGTTTCGAAGCGCACTGTTGTCATATGAAACTCTATGAAACGAAAAAGCGACACTAGAAAGAGACAAACATATATAGGCTGTGGTTTAGGTTAAAGTGAATTATTTCTGAAGATTTCTTTTTATCGCACGCTTCTTTTATTATATTTTAGACTATTTTTCAAAAGAGCTAATTTCGTTCATCATAAATTTTCTAAGTAACGCGAGGAAGAAGGTTTTGTTAACACAAAGATTGCGGGTAGCGTTATCGTCTAAAATCAAAACACCGTAAACAATAGTCCTTACAAACTCTAAAATAATGGGTGATCGGTCGAAGGACCACAACCAGCTTCTCAAGGTCACCAGCATGAGCAATGTGACGTCATCAATTGATATTATAATGTGTATTATCTGTTCCATATAATAGAATTTTATTTTTCGGATATGCCATATAGTGAAAGACAACGTAATTAATATTATCTTCCAAACTCTTTCATGTTCAATTAAATTTTAAGATTATCTTACACATACACAAGATATAAAAATCACTACCGACGTTACTCGCGTGCACTGATTTACAAATAAATATTATTTATTCAGATACTTTTATTGTATAATATATCCGAGTTTATTCAAAAACACACAATGGAATATTCGATATATTTTATAAGTTTAAATGAGTTTGTAAAACGGCCGATATCACTTAATCGAACACATTTATTGACGATGTCAAAATTATGCCAACGGGGTGCCAATATTGGGCATACCATACACAGCGCATTCGCGTATTAAATAAATCTACGACCAGGATCGAACCGACGTGACTCGGTTGTTGTTATCAGTTATCCGCAGCAGCCTATTAACACGTTGAACGCCTTATGAAAAATCGAGTACTTTCATTCACGTATTGCTTGCCGGTGAGCCTTATCCTACTGAACCGTTTGGGCCGTGAGGGTCACTCGTGAGCCGCGTAAGGGTTTCAACGTAAGCGCGTCCTACGAGCTACAGTGTGCTTAGTGCGAGTTTTTTTAGCGTTCTCGATAGCGTAAAAGTTAACTCAAATTTGTATGTAGTTGAAACAGCGCCCCTAGCGGCAAACGTAGGCAAACGCGAACGTGAAACAGAAGTGAGCCGCGTGGCCCTTTAGTCGAATCTAACGACGTGATTTTAAAATTCAATAGAAACTTGTATTTATTAACAAGTCTTTTAAAATACATATGTTAAAAACTAGACGTCAGGTAAAAGTCGTTAATTTTTATCATCCATACAAATTATCGTATTTTATACATTTTAGAATGAAAATCTCAAGTTGATATCGTTTATCAAAAATTCTCAAGTTGATCAAAAATTACCGATTCCCTGATTTCGTATTGGCTCGAATGATTTATATTAGTACTCTAGGCTCACCGGTGAGTGGAAAAGCGTTCGACGTGTTAATGTTGTAGTATGCAGTAGTATTGGATAATTCAATGGACTCGTTGTTACGTTTTCAGCTAATTTTCTGGCGGATTGTCGAAGTAATCGATCTTGGGTTCGGCCGCCGTCTGCTTGGGCTGACTGCGCGACGCCCAGGCGTTCGATGACGTCAGCGTCGCCCAACCGCCTGGCGACCTTCGGACAAGAAAAGCATTATCATCATCTAGAAATTTCTATACATTAGTGTTTCACTTAGACTGGTGTTTATATTATCGTACATTTTAATCATATAATTATAGGTGAGTAAACGATTTTTAAAATGTATCTTTTTCTTTGTGTACTGTCAAATTTTGAAATGTTTATAATTTTATTGGGTTGTAAAAAAAAATGTTCAGGATCATTAGCTTTATCCGAACTTCAGAGGTAAGGGGTTGGATATCAATTGTTTTAGTTTTTCAATATGTAGTTGTTCCAAATACTTGGTAGAGATACAGGTTTCCAGGAAAAGACAAAACACACTATACATAAATGATTAATATCGGCGGAAGACTTGAATTTGACAGTGACCATGGCGTTTGCTATATCGACAACTCAATGAATTCATAAACCGTGATAGGGATCCGTTCAATAATATCATTTATATTGTACGGTATGTACATACCTAACTCAATACGTTGACGCGTCGTGCGACGTCATTGTGGTGTCAAATAATTTTATTATATTCTTGTATGGCAGTGCACTTAGCAACACGTACTCGTTAACACGCAACCATTTTACTTAACTAATATAATGTTACGCCGGTAAGAGTAACGCCATCTATCGCCGAATAGTCGAGAATTACAACGCCATCTATGGTCAGATAGCAGGAACTACGACTAGAGATGTGTGGAATATTCTCGATGATTCTAGCGATGAGGTACCGGCTATAAAAGCGTTGTAGGGATGGTACGCAGTGTGATGAAGTGATTAAGTGTTTTAAGTGTTGAATACAGTTTTTAAGATGTACTTTGGTGAAATTTTATTTATCCCGAACCTCAGCGCGTCACAACAATAAAGTTGCTCAAACAACATACTCTTTTGGAACTTTACAAACTTCCCCTTGGACCCCAACAGTATTGTTTAATAGTTACTTGTTAGCGGCGGAGGAGGAGGTCGTCGAGCCTGAAGAGGNAGTGATTAAGTGTTTTAAGTGTTGAATACAGTTTTTAAGATGTACTTTGGTGAAATTTTATTTATCCCGAACCTCAGCGCGTCACAACAATAAAGTTGCTCAAACAACATACTCTTTTGGAACTTTACAAACTTCCCCTTGGACCCCAACAGTATTGTTTAATAGTTACTTGTTAGCGGCGGAGGAGGAGGTCGTCGAGCCTGAAGAGGCGGCGGAGGAGTGCGCGGTCCGCAGCACGGGGCCGGGCACGCGCCGCCGGCCCGCCTCACGCGACAACACCTCCATTATGCTCATCGCCGGCAACCACGACTGTCAACACAACGATGAAATATCACACTATATTACCACTACCCGACTCTAAAGAGCAATGTACGAAATTCTTCCTTCTCCACGTTTTTTTGTGGTTTAGATGGACGAGCTCACGGCCCACCTGGTGTTAAGTAGTTACCGGAGCCCATAGACATACAAATACAAAGCAAATGCCGCCACCCACCTTGAGATGTGAGTTCTAAGGTCTTAGTATAGTTACAACGGCTGCCCCACCCTTCAAACCAAAACGCATTACTGCAGAAATAGGCAGGACAGTGGTACCTACCCGTGCGGCCTTACACGGCCGTGCGGTCTATGGGCTCCAGCAACTACTTAACACCAGGTGGGCTGTGAGCTCGTCCACACAACTAAGCAATAAAAAAAAAAACTTCACGACTTATGTATCGTGTCAGCTACCACCGATAAATTTAGTACACAAGGGATTTCGGGGGCGATAAATCGACCTAGCTACGATTTATTTTCAGAAAATGTTTTATTCGTGTTTTCAATAATCAACTTTATCGATAATCAACTTTATGACTCTTCTCTATAATTGAGAGCGACTAACTGCTTTAAAGACACAATAACCTTAAAGCTATTTCAGCAGATGGCGTTGTTAAGCCACCCGAAGCCACTTAAAGATGCCTAAACGATCTTGGAATTTTTATGTAATTCGTATTTAAATATAATTTCTAAAAAACACAATTTATCAAATAATAAAAAAAAAACGAGCAAAGTTTGGTCATCGTCTCGTAAGGTAATAATTGCAGTGATAAGGCACCTTCTCCTTGTCGGCAGTGGCCACCACGTTCCTGTTGGGCTCCGCGTCGTAGGCCACGCTCTCGCAGCCGAAGTGCTCGCACAGCTCGTGGATGAACTGCCGCTTCTGTCTGTTCATCGACGGGAACGAGTGCGAGCGAGTCTTCTGTTTCGACTGGGGGGAACATTGAGAACAATTTTAAAATTCGAACGCAATAGATTGGGTGCGATTTTTTTTTTTTATTACTAGCCGACCCGGCAGACTTCGTAGTGCCTCAATCGATAAATAAAAGACACAAACAAAAGGAAACCGTCCGACGGGGGGGACATCAATGGGAAAACAAAATTGTTATTTTTAATTAATTCCCCTCCCTGCCTATTTCTGCCGTGAAGCAGTAATGCATTTCGGTTTGAAGGGTGTGGTAGCCGTGGTAACTATACTTGAGACCTTAGAACTTATATCTCAAGGTGGGTGGCGCATTTACGTTGTAGATGTCCATGGGCTCCAGTAACCACTTAATACCAGGTGGGCTGTCAGCTCGTCCACCCATCTAAGCAACAAAAAAAAAACCGTCGTTCACCTTCTTGGCGAGGTGCACGAGCTCGGTGAGCTGGTTGTGCACGTGGTAGGCGAAGGCGGGCTCGCGCTGGGCGGTGGCGCGCACGTGCTCGCTGTAGCGCGGCGCCAGCTTGGCGGACACGTCCGGGTTGCGGATCTGCAGCGCCAGCGCCATCTGCCGCGTGCGCGCCTCCACGCGGCACTCGTCGTCGCACTCCAGCCTGCACGATTACACACAACCTTGAAGAGACTTTTTGGCGGAAACGCGAGGAGTGAAGTAGCGTGAGATTTGTTTTATTTTGTCTATTTAGTGTTTCTTCAGGTTTAAATTTGTAATAACGGTGGTTTATTAACTGTTTAATATCAGCTGTATTTAAGTGCACAAATGTGGGAAAAAGGAAACAAAGCCGCTGAACGTAATTACTCGGGATCGTCCAGAAAGTCCACTGTAAAAATCTCAGTAAATGACCACCATTTTACTAACATTATATTTCATCTTCATCCCATACCATCTCATTTTATTTACTTTAATTTCACTCCATATTATCATTTTTCATAAAAATATGAACATAAATTAAAATAAGACATGACTTAAAGGTCTTAGTTACCAGGTCATAAAATCCCTTTCAAAAAAAAACCACATATTGAGCAAGAAAATGTACGTAGACAGTAATCTATATCCATAAAATCAAAATACACACTATGTCTTTTAACAACTGTAGGGACACAGTTTGAGTAGCGCGTGTGGTACATCGCTCGTTATAGTCTGTCGTACATACTCCGCCCGATATGGCAGACACTTGACAATATTGGACGTATATACGGAGTAAAATCGAAACCAGCTTGTTTTATTTATAAAGGATAGTTAACACCTTTACTCACTTTATAAACCTTACAATAAATGTTCAGTTTTTAGTTTAAAATTAAACTATGTATAGTTTGTCTAATACCGAACAATTTTCATTTTATTTTCGTCTGTTTGAATCGATAAGTTAGTTTTATTTTATATAAACATCATACACACACCCAGAAGTGCGTATAAGTCGTTGCATATTTATTTATTGGATATCATTGTCTGTACGTACGTTTTGAGCATATTGACGGCGCGCTGTGCGTCGGACAAATCAACAGAGCCCCCCTCTTGAATCTTGGTGGCCGCAAGAGCACTCATCATTCTATAAAGTAACAATAATGTTTTATTTATTGATGTGTTTAAAAAATTAAATATACTCTGTTGTATTTTTACGAGCAGATATGTTTGTAGTAATGATTTTAATGAGCATGCAACTATTGTATGTATATTTATGTATTGTATGTGTGTGTGTGTGTATGTGTATTTCAATTGATTGGTACACCGCGTGTAATTAGTTTCTAAACGATTCTTTTCCACCTGATGGTTGTCTGGAAGAGATCTCTCTTAGCGATAATACCGCCAATTGTACTTTTTTTGTATTTAATGTTTCGCATTGTTTCTTTTGTTGGTGTACAATAAAGAATACTCTATCTGTCTCTCTCTATTTATTTAAAGTAGGTTCGTTTGCCTATTTGTATTCAGGTTTATAACAATGATATCTATACTAATATATAAATCTACAGTGGTTTTTACGGATGTTCCGTTATAACTACTAAACCATGCATCCGATTGAATTGAAACTTGGTATCTATGTAGAAAATACATGTACTTAATGGATAGGCTAATATTTATATGAGTGTTGGACTCCTTAATAATAATGACAATAAATAATAATGTTAATTTTAAATGCCCAGCGAAGCGGACGGGTAAAGCTAGTTGTATAGATAATTAAAAGGCCGCTACTGACTTATCGTAATCCCGTGCGTTTTCGAAGCAGGGTCTCTCGGCCGATTTCCGTTTGCAGGGGCACGTGGCGCGCACGGTGCGGCGGCACGGCGCCGCGCTCGGGCACAGCGCGCCCGCGCCGCCCGCCGCGCCGGAGTGGCACGCGGCGCCGCACGGGTGCCCGCAGCTCGCACGCTTCTCGTTGCACGGCTGGATGCACCTGCGTCACAACATTAGTGCGTCGCCGTGTATTTATTTTTTTATTGCTTAGATGGGTGGACGAGCTCACAGCCCACCTGGTGTTAAGTGGTTACTGGAGCCCATAGACATTTACAACGTAAATGCGCCATCCACCTTGAGATATGAGTTCTAAAATCTCGGTATAGTTAGTTACAACGGCTACCCTACCCTTCAGACCGAAACGCATTACTGCTTCACGGCAGAAATAGGCAGGGCAGTGGTACTTACCCGCGCGGACTCACTAGAGGTCCTACCACCAGTAAGTTATATTATTAATCCTCAGTACTTTTTAACTTCAAAATATTTATAAGGCAAAAACAAAACACTAAAATACTTTATTATCGTGTATCTGCCCACACGATGTTTTTTTTAGTAAAACTCATTACTCACTTGCCGGCATCGCACGGTCCCTTGTGACAGACCTTGATGCAGGTATGTTTACCGCAAGGGAGAGGTTTGCCGCACGGGAGGCCGCACGAGAACTCTTCTTGCGAACACGGGATGGTTTTTCGTTCCTGTCAAATAGACGATGTTAAGTCAGTTGTTAAGGTCTTTGATATGAAGTTTCTTAACACGGTTTACGGTCTAATTTAGGATAGAAATAATCGCGTAACGAAAATCCGTTACGCCGTCTGTATGTGACTCTCTCTTTCTCTCTCTATCTCTCGTTTATCGATTTTTCGTAAGGCCTTTTTTAATTACAAAACAGTTCCTAAGAGGCCAAAAAAGTTCAAAGAGCTATCTACAATACTAGCAGGCCTATGTCTGTACTAGTAACTGTGAACAATCGTGAACACACATACCAGCGTACTTTGGCTTCCGAATTATTGTAAATTGCGTGTTTGTATTATTAACATTTTGTTCGCGGAATCATACGTCAAAAGTTTGTCTGCATCACTCACTTAATGTCTCTAATCTGTATCGACACACTCAAGTGTAAGCTTGGACTTTTTAGCGAACGCGAGGAGTGAAGTTGTGTGATTTGTTTTAGTTTTATCTATTTAGTGTTTCTTCAGGTTTAAATGTGTAATAACGGTGGTTTATTAACTGTTTAATATCTGTAAAGCTCCTGGACGTAACTTCTCGGGATCCTTCAAAAAGCCCACTGAAAAACTCTCAGTACATAACCACCATTTTACTGAGATTATATTTCATCCCATATATTATCTCATTTCATTTCACTCCATATTATCATTTTTCATAAAGATAAGAATATAAAATTAAGACATGACTTAAAGGTCTTAGTTACCACGTTATAAAATCCCTCAAAAAAAATAAGTGCAAGCTCTGCAGCAGCTCTGACGCGTACCTCGTGTCCGCCGTGGCAGGTCCTGGTGGTGAGCACGACGCAGGGCGGACAGTCCCCGGTGTGGCACGAGTGCAGCGGCTCGTGCTCGCAGGGGCGCGCGCGGCGGCACGGCGCGCTGCAGGGCGGGGGCCGCGTGCCGCAGCGCACGGGCGGCAGCAGCACCTCGCGCCCGCACGTACAGCTCAGCTCCTCGAAGCCTGGGGGTACAGGTTAGTGGCTAACTGTAGAAACCGTCGTAAGTCCGCACGGGTAGGTACCACCACCCCGCCTATATATAGTAACTAGCGACCCACCCTCGCTTCGCTTCAGAAACTGTAATTTATTATTAATTTCTGCATAATTTAATGGATGTTATTATACATCGAAACCTTCCTCTTCAATCACTCTATCTATTAAAAAAACCGCATCAAAATCCGTTGCGTAGTTTTAAAGATTTAAGCATACATAGGGACAGACAGATATAGGGACAAAGAAAGCGACTTTGTTTTATACTATGTAGTGATGATGCGTTTCGGTTTGAAGCAACAAAGGTTACCGATTTGTTTTATAACCTAATATAGAGGTAAATTCGTGTCAAGCGTAAGCATGGCGGACAACTCCTTAGGTACAAAGATGTAGTTAAGCGTCACATGAAGAAGTGGTGGTTTTTCACTGGTGGTAGGACTTCTTATGAGTCCGCACGGGTAGGTACCACCGCCCTGCCTATTTCTGCCGTGAAGCAGTAATGCGTTTCGGTTTGAAGGGTGGGGCAGCTGTTGTAACTATACTGAGATCTTCGCCCTAACGTGTGTAGGTGATCTCACGGGACTCAAACCGGAGTGTTGCTAACACTGACCCTAGCCAGAGCAGTTCTTCGTAGAATCTACCACCAGATCGGAAACGCGATCCACTGAGAAGATAGGGCCACAAACTCAGCGGGTTGTGTCTATGGGTTAACTTCGACGGTTCGAGGTTCGACGAGAACGGTGACTGTTTTTTTAGTGATATTCACATCTAGCACTAATATTAAACTGTTCGTTTTGGTATAATCGGGGGTTACTAACTGAGCGTGGGGCACGGCGCGCAGTGTCCGGTGTGGCAGAAGTCCTGACAGCGGTGCGTCTGGCAGGCGAGCGAGCGCCCGCACACGAGCCCGCACCGGTGCTGCGGGTCCGCGCAGCAGCACGCGCGGCAACGGTGCCGACCGCACGACAGTTTCTAGTTCAACACACAACATTCATGTGATGAGAATGTATCTCACTATTAATCAAAAAGTTTTAGGAGACTTTTTGGCGGGAAGTCGAGGAGTGGAGCTGTGTGATTTGTTTTATTTTGTAAATTTAGTGTTTCTTCAGGTTCAAATGTGTAATAACGGTGGTTTATTAACGGTTTAATATATGTAAAAGTGCACAAATGTGGGAAAATTAAACAAAGCCGCTGGACGTAACTTCTCGGGATTCTCCAAAAAGTCCACTAAAAAGCTCAGTAAATGATTTTACTGTGATTATATGTCATCCCATATCATCTCATCTGTTTGCATTTAATTTCATCCTAGTTGATTAATGTCTCAAATTAATCATCTTCATTCCATTTCATTTAATTTCCCTCCATATTACCATTTTTCATAAAAATAAGAATATAAATCTAAAATAAGACATGACTTAAAGGACTTAGTTACCAGGTCAAATAATCCCTTAAAAAAAAAAGCTATGAATTAACAATACTTTTCTTTTTAAATAAATTGTAAATTCGTTAATTTTAATACTACAATATATTACCTTATTACATTTCTTCTGACAGAACACATTGTTATACATGTCCGGTAGCTCAGCGCACGGAACCTCGCGGTTCGAATGACCACAGCGGCACGGCAGTAAGGTCTTGTCAGGACAAACTGGACAAGGACCTAGATAAAATCCAATTATATTTTATTATTTGTTGATTGCCATTGTAGGCAGACGAGCATACGGCCCACCTGATGGTGAGTGGTTACCGTCGCCCATGGACTTCAGCAATGCCAGGTGCAGAGCCAAGATGCTGCCTACAAATTATTACTAAATTATATTTCGAAGTGTTAATTAATTTTATTTTACTATCTTCACTATCTTCAGCATAAAATAAAATGGATAAATTATGATAATGAAAAAAGTGTTTTATATTGAAACAAATATATACTGTGTAGGTTACAATATAAGTAGTTACGACAGTTACAATACCCCTCATCTAGTTTAGAGACGTTTCTTACTTACTATGTGATATTTAAACTTAAATAATTTATCCATCATTCGGCAAAATATCATTCCATAGTTGATTCCATGCTTATAGTGAATACTTATTAACAAAATATTTTATGAAAAAGAAAGAAAAAAATGGTTTGTATGTTGTTTCACTATGCACTTAAGCAAGCATCAACTTGAGATTTCGTCTCAGGATCAGGCTAGTTTTTGTGAATTGGCGGTAGTTCTTTTGACGTTCAACAAGTATGTACTTTCATTTAGGTTGAATAAAAAAAAATTGATTTGATTAGATTTAAAACCGTCGTAAGTCCGCACGGGTAGGTACCACCGCCCCGCCTATATATTATAGTAACTAGCGACCCACCCTCGCTTCGCTTCGGAAACTGTAATTTATTATTGATTTCTCCACAATTAAATGGATGTTATTATACATATAAACCTTCCTCTTCAATCACTCTATCTATTAAAAAAAACGGCATCAAAATCCGTTGCGTAGTTTTAAAGATTTAAGCATACATAGGGATAAAGGGACAGAGAAGGCGACTTTGTTTTATACTATGTAGTGATGTAGTTAAAATTTAGAAAATTATGCACACCTTCATGACAGTCTAGTTTGCAGAAATGTTTGTCACCGGCCGGGCCGCAGGGCAGCGGCTTGGCGCAGATGTTTCCGCACAACGGGATCGGATCCGTGCACGACTTGCGTTTGTCTTTTGGTATTCTGTGGAATGTTTATGCCTTATTTCATTATACATAGGATGTACTTTTGAAAATCAAAAATTTTAAATGAGACACGGTCTCTGAATGCGATAATCAGCCCCCCGAAGACTAATAGTCTACCAAAGTTACAGATAGTAGGTAGCCCTTCTTTCTGTCGAGAGGTTCTGCCTAAGAGCGCAATAATGAGTTCATGCCTCAAGGACAGCATTCACGTTGTCATGTCTATGGTATCCGGTAACCAATTGAAGACATGAGTGGATAAAGGGGTTAAGTACCATTTTAAAGATTTTTACTCTTTACATTGAATGTAGGTGTTATGTGCTTAAAAACTATATTAGCCCTTAAAACGCCGGGTTTAAAGGATATTTTTAGAAATTGCATGCGATGAAGGAGTTACGTACGAAGAAAAAGTATAAGTAGCAAAAGTTTGCTGCCCGTTTTCTCAAAATTAACAAATTGTATCATGTCCCCTTCATTCACTCATGTCTTCAATTATTACTAGGTACCAGTTACCAAGTCAATCAGAGGCGGATTATCCGTAAGGCAAACTAGGCACGTGCCTAGGGGCGCGCGAGTTCAGAATTTTTTAATAAATAAAGAAAATGACATATCGACGATTAAAAACTAAATGCCTGAACTAAATGTCCTGGTCTACTAAAGTCTAGGGTTTGATAATACAAAGTCATCGTAATTGCAAAAAAACTAGTTAAAATTTATAGTATTATGATGGCCATTTATGTCCGGTACAGGGGCACCGATAAAGTGATTGCCTAGGGCGCTCTGGACCTTTAATCCGCCACTGAAGTCAATGCAATAAAAAAGAACAATTTACAAATATTATAACAATAACCTAGTCTTCCCGCACGGACATGTGATGAGCGCGGCAGGCAGCAGGTCGCAGGGGGGGCAGGGGGGCTCGTGGCACGTGCTCCGGCACACGTGCGCGCCGCACGACAGCACGCGCCCGCACGCGCCGCCGCACGACCACGACGACTCCACGCGGCACGGGACCTCACGAGTCTTCGCCAGCGGGCAATGGCACACTGGAATTTAAAAAAAATGAAGTTCACTTTCCTTCACCAGTGTACCTTGAATGACTAGCAAGGATGTTAGCAACTGTGCCATTTATAATGACTAGTGGTCCCCCGGTAGTCGAAATTCGACTATAATTAACTGAAATTATACGTTTGTATACTATTAAGATTCTATTGTCAATATACTTCTATAATCCCAGATTTCGCCAAGACTACACTTTAGACTAATATTAATAAAGACAAACAATATTGAATCTATTCTCAATTTGACCACAGACTATAAGCAATAAGAAAAGTTTGACAATAAACAAATAGTATGGCGACACACATGTCAAATAAATGGTAGTGTGTGTAATGTTTTCTTTTATTGATTTAATGTATTTTCTATGCATAATTAAAAAAAATATTAACATTCTGCACTCTTTCTCTATATTCTCTATAAGTGTGGGAAATTTCATACTCCTCCATCCGCACAATTTTCATAAAAAGGGGTACAAAGTTTTTGTTTCACGTATTAATATATAGATAATGGACTCTTAAAATAATTAGATGGTCATTAAAAATATCATTACCTTGTGTAACAGACTCGGTGCAGTCTTCACAGGGACCCTCGTGACATTCCTTCATGCATTTGTGTACGCCGCACTGTAGCATGCGTTGACAAGGACGCCCACACACTTGCGGTAGCTTGCTGCTGCACATCACTGATCGATTTTCGGCACCGCAGCCACATTCTCTGCGGGAAATTAGTTGTCATAGTGTAACGCTGTGATGACATTGTTGTCTTCTGTTTTTTTTCCGAAGATCCTGGACCTCTTTACTGGTGGTAGGACCTCTTGTGAGTCCGCGCGGCTAGGTACCACCGCCCTGCCTATTTCTGCCGTGAAGCAATAAGGCGTTTCGGTTTGAAGGGTGGGGCAGCCGTTGTAACTATACTTGAGACTTTAGAACTTATATCTCAAGGTGGGTGGCGCATTTACGTCGTAGATGTCTATGGGCTCCAGTAACCACTTAACACCAGGTGGTCTGTGAGCTCGTCCACCCATCTAAGCAATAAAAAAAAGATCAGGTGAGAAACTCAGTAGGCTGTGTCTATGGGTTATTTTACTCGTCGAGCGCTTCGTCACAGGCGACTGGTTCGGCGAGGACGGTGGAGCGCTTCGTCACAAGCGATTGGTTCGGCGAGGACGGTGCTTGAGGTATCTAAAAGCACCGTTTGTGTATCTGGAGGATCCGTAATGACGTGTTTAGGGCCTGTCTTCTGGATACACGGTTTGAATTTGTGGTAGCTACTCAAGTAATGTACATTCAGATCCGACGAATTCTGCAACCTTCGCATCCGTATAATGAACAGCAAGAGCATTGAATGAATGTTACTACATTTTGTTTGTAATGTAAACAATTTTCCAACAAATAAACCTTCAATCCACTTGAATATTATATCATTTTTATAAAATGTTTTCTGTCATTTCGTTATTATATTTGTTTATTTCAACCAGTGAAAATACTGTGCCCTTATTAAGAACTAAAATGTGTCTATTGCTGTTGCTCCAAGACAGGAGAAATAAAGTAAACATATGTATTGTGTGATGAATGGCTATTTGGTTAAAGCTAAATTTTTCGCAACATTTGAGTCGTCTATTATCAAAGGTGGCAATCTGTGCATTTGGACAAAAAAAAATTATTGATATGTCAATACAGATTGATTTGAATATAATCGTCTCCTTCAAAGAATACGGTTCAAAAGCTGCATTAAATAAAGGTTAATAGTTAACCTGTTATTTATCTAAGATGTCGTTCCGAAGAGTTTTGTGACTGCCAATGGAATACAAAGTCAATAATTCGTTTTTCTGATTTACCAATCATTGTCCAAAAGTCAGATTGCCGGCTTTGATAATAGTCGACTCATTTATCTTTGTAATTAAAGGTACGTTTTATTGGTATTAGTATCAACATTTCGATGTATTTAGTTGTACTTCAATTAAGTTTACCCCATTCAAATAGTTGAAGTTTTTTTTGTTATATTTTTTCTAAATTTTAAACGACTATCCTGTAAACTTGCAAAATGTCGCCTAAACCAAACAGTTCCTTCGATTTGTCAATTAATTTATAACAATTCATCATTCTCCTGCCTTTGTCACAATAAACTGAGGTCGGCGCATCATGTGGTCTCTTACCATACTCCTCTATCATATACCATTTCATTGCTCACTCCTTTTCTTAATCATATCGTCTTTCACACAATCCATCAATTTTTTTCTTAGGTCTACCTTTCCCTCTAAAGCCTTCCACATTCATAGTTAAAACTCTTATCAGCCTCATTGTCATTTCGTCTCCATCACATGTCCATATCATCCCAAACGCACGCTTCTCAACATCTCTGTCACAGGTGCCACTTTCAATTATTTTGTAACAATTGAACATAACAAATACTCAAAGTTATGACATTAAGAGAATTATTATTTAGGTGTAGTATAGACAACTTACTTACTTAACTTACTTAGCTTACTTACTTTGTAACGGTGGCTTGGCACGGTGGACAAGGTCCAGGGTGGCATAATAAAGTACATGGATGTGGGCAGGCGCGAGAGCGACGGCATTGCTTCCCGCACGTGTGGGCGACGCACACACCTCGCTGGTATTCAGGCGACCGTATCGCGCCGCACATGCACCGGCACGCAGTTGGAATCGTCTCATTAGAATTTTGGCAAGCCGGGCAACGCCATTTACCCTCTACAAGTAAAAAGTAGTGTTAGCGTATCTCATATTGTGTTTATTTATAGTTTAATAATTGTAGTATTTTTAGCCCTGGCCTGTTAGTTTTAGTCATTATTATAACGTTCAATGTTCATTTAAAATGTTCACAAGTGCAGATTTTATTTAAAATAAAAATAATATACAGACACAATGTTGTTTCAATTAATGCTACACAATGATGAATATCAGATCTATGTTTTTGTATCTATACTATCATTCAGTCACTTTGAAGGGTTTACAAAAATTATTAATTACAAATACAATTGAATTTTTAATTGAACTCACCGACCAAACTACTCATTGCCCATTTTCTTATGCACCTAAGATGGAGTACATGGTAGCAGTTGCCACACGACCACACGGATTCTGTTTGTTTTACTCTCTCGCAACATACTAGACACTCTAATGTTCCTTTTTCTAATTGATCAGTCAGGCGTTCCCTTTGTGTCATTTCTTTGTTTATTGCTATAAAATGAAACAGTTTTAATGCTAATTCTCTAAAAAAACTGTCCTTATCACTTCTACAACTTTCACATTCTATTAGTTCTTTACTTTGGCCATGTACACTGTTCAGGATGTTGCAACTGTTCCCAAATCCCATGATTTTTTTCCCCTACCTATTCACTAATAGCCTAAGGGGCAGTTCCAGCTACTTCCAGACCCTAGCCATCATCAGTGCTTTGCAGAATCTACCACCAGATTGGAATCACAACCCGCTGTGAAAATACGGCAAGAAACTCAGTGATTGTGTCTATGGGTCAACATGAATAAACTTAAGTCATAACATAAACAATATTGATTTAAAAAACTATTAACATTAAAAATACACAGATCCTCATAGGGACATAACCAACCAAACCAAATTACAATTTATTTTATATGATTATTTTTTTGTTGATGTTTGATATTTACATACTAATAAGGAAGGTAGGAATTTGACATAAGTATGATTTTCACTATAATTATATTAGGTTTCTGATTATCTATATATTTAATACCTTGTTCAATATTTTTGCTTCTAAACCTGTTTGGGCTTGGAATGTTCTCTGTTTTATTTCTCTCTACTTTCTCCTGTTTCTGTTGAGTGTATGAGGTAGCATATTGCTCATCTTCAGGAGTTGACTTCTCTGAAGATTTGATTCTTTGACTTCCAGCCCAATTCCTTTGCCTGCCAGAACTCTCACCTCTTCCATTCCGAACATCTTGACTGTCCTTAGTAACGGAACTGTTGTAGAATGTACGAGCATCTGCATCTCTTGGTTTTGATTTGGGATTCGTCTTTGATATGATTTTCTTCTCATTCCTATCATAATTTCTTTGATTTTCATAGTATCTACTACTCGAATCACTATGGTTATTTATTTCATTACTGTGAGATTTACTTTCACTTTGATTATTATGATTGTAGTAACTACCATTAGCCTCATTGTTACGATGTCCATTTCTGTGCCTTGGTTCGTTAACTTTAACATTGGATTCACTTGAATGCGCATTATCTTGGCTATTAGGTACCCTGTTTTGAGTTTTGGAGTATTGGCTTTTGTTATTTTCAGAAACCTGATTAGTTACAATTTCACCATTTTGTTGTAAACTCTCTCTTTCTCTCCAGTTTGCATCATTATGCTTAACATTATTAGTTGCAGGTTCTGATAAACTTTGGTGACCAGTGATCTGTTTAGCCATACTCTTTGGTACAAATTCTGTTGCAGTAGGTGTTAAGTTAGATTTTAGTATAATTTCATTATTATAGCTTTCAGATGGCACATATTGATTCTGCATATTCATTTGGTACTGTTGGGGATTCCTTGGGTTCACGTTTGTTTGATAATTGTAGCTATCTAGTGATCTATTCTGTGAAGTAGACGGCATGTTTTGATAATTGTATTGAGTGGTGGGATAGTTTTCATATCTTACATTATTATAATGAACCGAATTGCCCGGGACTGATGCACTGTCGCCTTGTATTTGAGTTAAGAACTCATTGAAGCTCACATATTGATTATTTGAATCTTGCCTGTTATTATAATACTGTGAATTTGAATATTGGCCATTAACATCTCGGTTCCAGCCGTTAGCTTGGTATTGACCATTGTAGGAGTAAGAGTTGTTCCACTGCGACATGGTTTGAGAGTTGTCTGAGTAATGTTGTGAAATCGTTGTGCGAAAGTGATGATGAATATTGAGTTCTTAGAATAAAATAAAATATATTTTAGGTTTGAGGAGGGATGGAGCCTGCAGGCCGAAGCCCAAGGCCGAAAACTAGCGGATTTTAGATCTGAAAATGATTAAAGCAGTAGTTTTATTAACACACTAGTGCTCACGTTATTTTTTTCTGTACTTAATTGTATAACGATGTCTACTTACCCTTAGCTGTTTTAAGCGACTTTTACTTTCCAAAAATAATTTAAAATACAAAAATAAAAGATTATAACAATTTGCACTAATTTCGCGTAATGACAAATGATAGGAAGTATCTATGGGAAGTATAGAAGTGAAAAAATCAAAAATCAAATAGTCAACGTTGACAAGAACAGATGGAAATGGACCATTTATTTTTTGTTTAATTCGTTTATTGTATAGGCAAAAGAGACGTATTCCATACAGACAGACTTTTGTAACTAAAGGTCGGAATGATGTCTGTTGCACTAAAAATTAAATGAAACGGAATTAATGAAATAGAACTAAATGAGACGAGATTAAACAAACCCGTGCAGGTGTTCATTGTAATGAAATAACTAATTAGTAAAATGGTGCGAATTTACTGACAATTCAATTGCACGTTTTGAAAGAGCTCGAGAAGCCATGTCTGACTATTTAAAAAAATCTTGAACGGTGGATGAGCTCACTGCCCATCTGGTGTTCAGAGGTTACTTGAGCCAACAGACGTCAATAACGTAAATGCCATATACACTTTGAGACACTGGGGTGGCTTATAATACGTTCTCCCACCATTGATACTGTAATGTTTTTGTAAGTTTCACTTTAATCACTTGATATTATTTCTCGAATATGTGCTAAGTCCACATTTCAAAAAAAATTCATAAGTACGTATTTCGAGAGAAAAATTAGTACCTACCGGCAGGATTTGAAAATCAGCATTCAGCATAGTCGCATTGCTGTCTACGTTTTACGTTATCTTATACTCTTCAAGTTATGTCACGACGACTTCGCACGACGAAGACTATTTTTATTTAAGTGTAGGCTACAGAATTCACTTTTCGAATTATATAGGCTTTCAGAACCCCTAGATGTTACATTCTACTAATGTGAATGCTTGTAGAAAATAAACAATTGTATGATTGACATGAGCTAAGGTAAAGTCATCTGGTCTAGCCTATGTAAACCATAAAAAAAATTGTATTTTCAACAAGCGTAAATCCTAGTAGAACCATGTTGTAAACCCCATACTATCCAGAGTTTGTCATGTTGAACAATCTTTAAAAAAATCTAGCATGACAAAGGGTTTCATGGCTACCCTTGGTATGAAACTCAATATGAAATTGGTTCAAGGATGAGTTAAATTGGTTGTTTGATGCGTTATACTACGTTTTTGTGTTCACATGTACTTTTAAATGGCAAATTGTACCTATGATTGTACACACGAAACGAAGTACGTTTGGGGCTTTATTAACTATATTTCGTGATCAAGAGTAATTTATGAGTGTTCATTTTACTTGAAAGATGAAATATTGGACGTGGCATTTTCTGAGTTATTAAAATTTTGTTCCGGTGTTTATTTAATTTATGTAAGCTTAAGGTTTACTTTGTCTTATGTAATTGTTTTTATTTAAGGACGCACGTGTAGCGATTTATCAGCGAAGCAGACATCCGTTCTGTGTGCTTAGTACGAGTTTTTTAACGTTCTCGATAACGTAAAAGTTAACCCAATTTTGTATGCAGTTGGAACAGCGCTCCTAGCGACAAACGTAGGCATAATTTTTTTTTTTTTTTTTTTCCTACCTAAGCTGAGAGCCTTGAGAGGCTATTTCAGCGTAACCCTAACGTTTGTAGGTGAGCTCACGGGGTTCAAACCTGATGACGTTGCTAACACGAACCCTAGCAAGAGCCGTGCTTCGCAGAATCTACCACCGGATCGGAAACGCGACCCACTGAGAAGATCCGGCGAGAAACTCAGTGGGCTGTGTCTGAGAGTTAATTTACTCGCCGAGCCCTTCGTCGCAAGCGACGGGTTCGACGAGAACGATGACCGGTGCTTGAAGTACCTAAAAGCACCGCGTAGGCAAACGATTCCATTCCATACAAATATGAGCTAACTTTTACGCTATCGAGAACGTTTAAAAACTCGCACTAAGCACACTGTTTTCGAGACATTATAAACTTTAATGGTCATATGTTTGGATAATGCTGTAATATTTATTATGTTCTCATCTCGGGCCTGCATTTTCTAAGGAATGTTTTTTTTTAAACATTTTAAAACAGTGGAAGGATCCTACCGTGGGTAGGTAAATTTCAAGCGTAGCTTGTATCTTTATTCTCGATAGACGGCGATGCGACGGCGATGCGAGCCCTAGTATAAAGCCATAATTAAAACTACTTTACGGTTAATTTCACGTTTTTAGTAGTCATTATATTATTTCCGAAGTTTCAAATAGTTTTCGTGATCAACGACGACTATAATATTATGGGAAAAATAATAAACACATAATTAAACGACACAAATCTACAATGTGGGCTAAGTTTGAAACGCCGCAATTAAGCTACAAATAAATTTGACATTAATTTGTTTTCTACATTTGAAAGATTCATATTAGACTGTTCGTGAGTTCATGTTATCACTATTCATACATTGTTGATCTATACACAAGAAGGAATCGGTGCCGTTTGGCGCCCGTTCGTATTGTCTACCCCAGCCGTTTGTTTCCCTTGAATCAATCGTTAACTAAACTGTAGTAGCCTTGGCATATTTACTGCTATTATCTGTAGTGGTATTTAGACGATGACTTCTAGCGTGGAATATTTGTTGAGTCAGTAGTGGTATGGGCTGCATGGCTAGCGCACAGAGAATCGGTGTTAGCACTGGGTCAAGTGTAAGTGATTGACGATTACAAGTTTTCTAAAATAAACTTTCTTTAAGCGATTTTAAAGTTTTTGTTTTTCGTCAATGTTGTTGTGCTTTTTTAGCTCCCTGCTACCCAAATTTAAGGCCGGAACTACATCTACTATTAAATAATTTATTTATGTAGTTACCTTAGCAAACTTAATTTTGTTTTGCGGATTTTGTGAATTTTGTGTTTATTTTTTTTCTGAAATAGATTTATTTGAGCATATATTATTATTTAAAAAATAGCTTAAATACGATACGAGGTCTTCGTTACCCACTTTCAGGTCGATTCCTAGGTACCTCGCGCACTGCATAAAAGGAATGACGGAACACTGTCGTGTCTGAAATCTCCAATGCTATAATGTCTATCACAATAAAAGTTTATGCAACAAACGCTAATTAAAACCGCCATATTTAGCTTTTTTTTTTCCTACCTAAGCTGATAGCCCTAGCGGCTATGTCAGCGTAACCCTAACTTTAGTAGGTGAGCTCACGGGGCTCAAACCTGGTGACGTTGCTAACACGAACCCTAGCAAGAGCCGTGCTTCGCAGAATCTACCACCGGATCGGAAACGCGATCCACTGAGAAGATCCGGCGAGAAACTCAGTGGGCTTATATTTCGCCTTGTTCACGCGTTAATATATAAAATAATGCCCTCAGGATAGCGAGTAAATCTTCACACATATTATGTTTTGTCTAACCTATTCTTGTTCTCGGGCAAACATGTAGTATTACTTAAGCTAGAATTGAACGTTATCATCAAATTTGATAGGTCCGGAGCAAGGAATGTGTCCGCGGAGTCTTTCTGACGTGACAACGTCTTATAAATTGATGAACACCAGCTGCGCGCACGAAAAAGTGTCACGTTCCGCCTGAGTCTGTGCGTGCAAGCGAGAGCGCGAAACAAGATAGAAAGGCACGATCGGCCCAAGCGTTGGCTTGTGATACATTTATCTCTCTTCTCGCGTGACGTCAGAACTAGCAATTCGATTAGTTCTGCCATTAACGTTATCAAGTAAAACTATCGTCCATAAACCGACTTTACAAACAACCAATTTTTTTTTCTACTTACCACGTGAGGCAGAGTGTCTCGAGATATTTATCTACGTTTCTGGCAATATGTCCAATTTATTCCGAAGCTTACTTAAAAGGTCAATCATCTCAGATGCGTAAAGTTTATTAAATGTTTCTTGACACGTTTTTTTTTTTTTATTGCTTAAGTGGGTCGACGAACTCACAACCCCCTTGGAGTTAAGTGGTTACTGGACCCCTTAGACATCTACAACGTACCTAAATGCGCCACACACCTTGAGATATAAGTTCAAAGGTCTCAAGTATAGTTACAACGGCTGCCCCACCCTTCAAACCGAAACGCATTACTGCTTCACGGCAGAAATAGGCAGGGTGGTGGTACCTACCCGTGCGGACTCACAAGAGGTCCTACTACCACCAGTATTGTTGTAGAGTGGCATAATTAATTGATTTCAGGTGTCCTGGCCCGACACAACTGGTAGTAAAGGTGAGACGGTGGTGGCCGCTCTGGCAAGATTGAATAAGGAGATCTCAGAAAGCGAGCGTACTTATCCAGCAGCTAGACTGGCTGTAGTTACCACCGAACTAGAGAGTATGCAGCAGGTCTCGTTTCTTACTTCTTTTTTAATAATTAGTTTTTTTTTCCTACCTAAGCTCAGAGCCTTGAGAGGTTATTTCAGCGTAACATTAACTACTAGGTGAGCTCACGGGGCTCAAGCCTGACGACGTTGCTAACATGAACCCTAGCAAGAGCCGTGCTTCGCAGAATCTACCACCGGATCGAAAACGCGACCCACTGAGAAGATTCGGCGAGAAACTCAGTGGGCTTAATTAGATATCTAAAGTGCACATTTATTGGGAAGACCTTAAGCCTCTCATTCGAGAGCTATACGGGCGTAGATGCGCAGAATAGTTTAACGGTAGGCAGCGGCATGGTTATGCCCCTAGCATTGCTGATGTCCATGGGCGAGGGTAAACATTCACCATTAGTGGGGCCGTTTGCTCGTCTGCCTACGAAGGCAATAAAAATATAGTTCGTGGCCTATATATTAATGTGATATATGACCAGAGGTTACAAACATTGTAACATGAGAGTCATGAAGTCGATATTTATTGCATTGGAATTTGCCATCATACGATTGAAACTTGACTTACGCTATGGTGATTTATAATTCAGTTACATTATCAATATTAATAAAAATATTTATGTTTATTAGGAAATGAATACATTCGAAGAGCTTACAACGGATTTGACGAAAGAGAGTTACGCTAAAACGCTACACCAGGTAAAATTACTTGTTATTGTTCGTATTGTTAGTATTAGCTAAGAAATGCTGCCTGTCTGGGATTTCTTAATTAAGTTCATCATCCTTTATGAAGACATCGTGCAAAAAGGAGTCGTCTACCACAGGACTCTCTACACCACCCTTGGTTGACTGGTAGAGAATGCTTCAGGAATTAAGTCCGCTATTGTACCTTTGTGCGTAGAGTTGAATAAATAAATAAATAAATGCCCATCTGCCTAGTGACATGATATTCCTCTTTTCTTCTTGTCCTTATCCCACTATGTGGAGTCGATGCTGATTGTCCTATTATTCCATTTGGGCCTATCATACGCCATCTCTGCAGTCCATCCAAGTCCTTTTACGATGCCTCCTCCTCACATTACCAACATGAAGGTTTTACTTTTTATTTTTTAACGGCTGCCAAACCCTTAAAAATAGGGATGAATTATTACTCATCACCACAGTACATATTATGATTCTGACATCACAATTAATTTATAGATGTTCGTGAGTCTGGATTTATATCGGCGGCCATTGCTAGCGTCCGAGAATGAAGATTTTGTTGCAAATGTAAATCGTAAGGTAAGCGTGTGACAGTCGTAGTGGCCTAAAGGATAAGCTCGCTGGACTCGAATCAAGCGATGCGACCCTGCCGGTTTTCGAATCCGGCGGGCAGGTATGAATTTTTCTAATGAAATATGTAATTATTACACGAATCATTTTCAATATGTAGGATTCTTGTAATAATAATCAAACTTATGTAATTTGCATAAAATTAAATTTACATTTTTGTATTTCTTGGAAAATAGTAAAATTCTTGAAATATTGGATTTGGTTAATTGAATCGATTTTAATTTGATATCTAACTGTGTTTAATTTAAAAAGGTTAACTTTATTTCACGTAAAGGAGATGCGTCGTCTGGAACTGAACTGGCTCCGGACTCGTTATTCAGAGTTACAGCGCGAACGACGTGGGCTGCATGCACAGATCCTACGTCTGAGATCTTTGTACACTCAACAACAACTACTATTGGGTAAGAACATTATTTTACATCGTCTTTTACATCGTCAACTGGTTGGAACTCAAAGAAATGGTGCGCGTGCGTAAAAGAAGTGAAACTTCTTTTGCCTTAAGTCAAATTTCTTTTTTCTCCTACCGACGCCGAAAGTTCGGTTTTCGTCCCGCTGTACAGGGAAGAAAGTTTAATTTTTTCTCCCTGGGTACTAACAAGTGCGCATGCGCGTTAGTGTCTACGTCTGCTCTCACGCACCTTTCTCCGCCATTGTTCTGCTCGGGTAATTTGCAATATTGTGTTTAGTGTAAAAGTGAAATAAACAAAAGGCAATAAAATTTAATAGTGAAGTATTAAACAAAGATGAGTTCATCAGACAGTTCTTATTCAATTAGTAGTAGTTTATTTTACACGCCGGAGGAAATGTCCAACTTTTCTCCCTTGGTGCACAATGTACTATTGTAATAGGGAATGCTGTGTATAAGAGAAACGACCTAGCTCGCTTTGTCCTTTCCCTCTCTCCGCAGACGAGTGGTACGCAAGACGCTCTGGCTATTTTCTCATTCTCGCTTTTCCTAAATTGTATCTTTTCTCTCCAGCCGTACCGAATTTGTCGCGAGTAAAATTTTACTCTCGTCGCACCTAAAGAAGTGTCACTTCAAAAATAAAAAGCATATAGTTTTTTTCAGTTAATTCTAAATGTTAACCTGTTTCATAGATTTTATTTAATTGAATTATTATTCAGAAAGTCTTTGGGGCAACGATCTCCGCCCGGGCACGGCGCAAGAGAGTGCCCTGACTAAGGCGTCGGCGTTACGTGACGCCCTAGCCTCTGTGAGTGCCAAGTTACGGGCGGCTGCGGAGTACGCACACGCTGCCGTCAGACTCCTCGACGATGCTCTGCCCGCTTGGAAACTCACCTCAGTCGGCAAGTGGGTGTCATAACAGAATAACACTTTCAAGATATTGGTCCAAAATTTGAAGTCATCGTGGCCTAAGGGTTAAGACGCCTGGTGCAGTCGTTTCAAGCGATGCAACGGTGTTGGAATCCCGCAGGCGGGTACCAATTTTTCTAATTAAATACGTATTTAATAAATGTACACGATTGACTTCCACGGTGAAGGAGCAATATCGTGTAATAAAAATCAAACCCGTAAAATTATTAGCTGCGTAATTACTGGTGGTAGGACCTCTTGTAAATCCGCACGGGTAGGTACCACCACTCTGCCTATTTCTGGCGTGAAGCACCATGTTTCGGTTTGACGGGTGGGCGCAGCCGTTGTAACTATACTTGAGACCTTAGAACTTATATCTCAAGGTGGGTGGCGCATTTACGTTGTAGATGTCTATGGGCTCCAGTAACCGCTTAACACCAGGTGGGCTGTGAGCTGGACCACCCATCGAACCAATAAAAAAAAAAAAATATCCAGATTGTTGGTTGAGCGTTTTGTGAGCTCGCCATAGATGTACCAATACCAAGTCTGTTTCTACGGTGAAGCATTACTTTCTTGCCATTCCGATAGAGGCACCCGTCACGTGCGGACGTGCTCATCGTCCACTCGATCGCCCGGTCTTTGTTCGCCCGGCTTTTGTTAGCCCGGCCATTGTTCGCGCGGCCTGTGTTTGTGGTACATCTGCCGACTAAGTGCTCTTTCTGGAAGTTTTTATTTGTTTTGTTTCCTTTTGTTGTTTCTGTGTTCGTGGTACATNCGGTTGCTTCAGGAGTGGTTGGGAACGTACAGCGTCCTGTGCTGATGCCTGCCGACTCCTGGTGCAGGCGCGGTGTCTTGAGCGCGGAGCTCGCAGGGTGCTGGCCGCCCCGGCAGCTCCCCGGGCAGCCAGGACTCTTCGTTTAGCTCTGGACTACGCATTCACCGATGTCATGCACGACCATAAGTAACTTATCTATCTATCTATAATAATATATAAATCTACAGTGGTTTTTACGGATGTTCCGCTATAACTACAAGACCATGCATCCGATTGACTTGAAACTTGGTATCCATGTAGAAAATACATGTACTTAATGGATAGGCTATATATAATATAATATTTATACGAGTGTTGGACTCCCTATACCAGTTGCGGGGGTGTTAATATTAAAAATCTTTGTGAGGGTGAGAAATAATAATGTTAATTTAAATGCCCAGCGAAGCGGACGGGTACAGCTTGTTTATTTAAATAAAAATGAATTGCTGTTCGTTAGTCTCACTAAAACTCTAGAACGGCTGGACCGATTTGACTAATTTTGGTCTTGAATTATTAGTGGAAGTACAGAGAAGGTTTAAAAGGTAGATAAATATGAAAATGGTCGGAATTAAATAAAAATATCAATTCCTTATGTTTGTTTTAAGTATATTTTATAGAAAAACTTAGGTATTTTATTTATAGATTGAGGCACTACGAAGTCTGCCGGGTCACCTAGTCTCAAATAATAGTCTTATCTTATTTGATCTTGTATGGTATCTTTTTGTCTCTAGTGCATTCCTAATTATTTTTTACAAGTCACGCTAGAACGTCCGACCCCACATTAGGACTACCTGTGTTATAGGAACCAGATACAGATATACATACTTATATGCGTTTAAATATATAGATATATAATAAACACCCGAAAAAATAACAAACAAACCTGTTTTTTACACGAATATTTGCCGGATGTGTGAATTGAAGCCACGACCCTCGGTGCACCAGTAAGACCACCGAGTCAGTCATCAATTATTGATAATTACGTTTACAAATAGGTCATTTGTTAGATCTTTTAATTATACTTTTTTTTTGCCTTTAGGCAGACGAGCATACGGCCCACCTGATGGCAAGTGGTTACCGTCGCCCATGGAATTCAGCAATGCCAGGAGCGAGAGCCAAACCGCTGTCTACAAAAAAATGTAGATTACGCAAAAGTATATCTGAGATTTTCTAGAACTTTCTTATAGGTATGAAAGAGCAACAGAGGTCTTCGTGGAGTTCAAAGAGGCATTGGTGCATTTAATCGAGTCGATCCATCAAGTAAGTTTTGAATGAAATAGTAAATTTTTAATTAGTAAAAAATAGTACATTTAAAATTAGTACCATTTTTATCGATGGACAAACATAAAGATGAACTTAAAATATCAGCGGTTTATTATTTAAATCGTAAAATATGATCAGAACAATTTTTTCCATTATAAACTATATTTTTTGTGCGTTGTTTATGCTTTATGTAAAATGACAGATAAAATATGACAAACCGTAAAATAATTTCGTTATAAAGTATTTATTGAATATACTAATAATGTTTAGATTTGCGAGAGAATCATTAACGAAGTTCCAGAAAAATCTTCAAAATGTCGTAAGTAGGAGACAGTCAACGCAAGAAATTGATATATTCATTAATGGAAAACCCGTTAAGGTGCCCAGCTACTTCACAATATTACAAGCTTTACGTCGCGAGAAATTGACCGTGCCCACTTTTTGTTATCACGAACGTCTCTCCATTGCTGGTAACTGTAGAATGTGTTTGGTCGAATTAGAAGGTCTGTCAAAGTCACAGGTAGCTTGCGCCATGCCCGTGTCGAAGAACATGAAAATACGAACAAATTCCGCTAAAACCCAAACGGCTCAAGAAGGTGTACTAGAATTTCTACTTGTTAATCACCCATTAGATTGTCCTATTTGTGACCAAGGAGGTGAATGTGATTTGCAAGATCTATCAATGAGATTCGGCAATGACCGTTCGAGGTTTACTGACGTACATTTCGACGGAAAAAGAGCGGTCGAAGATAAAAATTTAGGGCCCTTAATACGAACAGAAATGACTCGTTGCATTCACTGTACTAGATGCATCAGGTTTGCTTCACAAGTTTGTGGCTTGGATGTTTTAGGTACTGCGGGGCGAGGCACTGAAATGCTTGTTGGTACTTATGTCGATAAGATGTTTTTATCTGAGTTATCTGGAAACATCATTGACTTGTGTCCTGTGGGAGCTTTAACATCGATGCCTTACATGTTCAAAGCAAGACCTTGGGAAGTACGGAGAACCAATTCCATTGACGTTACAGATGCAACCGGTACTAATATTGTAATAAATCATAGATTTGATCGTGTTTTAAGGATACTCCCTCGGGAGCACGATGAAATAAACCAAGAATGGATTTCCGATAAAGGACGGTGGGCCATGGATTCACTTGAAATTCAAAGATTAGTGACCCCTATGCTCAGAGTTGGTTCTTGTTTATGTCCTATCGAATGGAATTGTGCGTTGAAAACCGTTGCAGACTCGATAAATTGTACTTGTCCAGAAAATGTAATGGCTATTGCCGGTCCCCATTGTAATGTTGAAACTTTGGTAGCGGCCAAAGACTTTTTAAATATGTTAGGTTCAGAAAACACGTACGTCGAGCGTGGGATGTATTATACACAAACGGGAGCTGATATAAGAGCGGCGTATTCTTTAAATGTAAACATGAGGGATATAGCTCAAGCGGATATAATTTTACTGGTTGGAACCAACCCGAGATTCGAGGCTCCTATTTTGAATGCATGGATCCGACAAGCCTATATTTCAAATGAGTGCGATATTTATGTAATAGGTCCTCGATGCGAGTTCAATTATTTTGTTAACTATTTAGGCGATGATATACAATCATTAAGCAAAGCTAGTGAAGTATTAAAAGAAGCTAAAAAACCACTTATTTTAGTTGGAATTTCACAACTGGAATCGGCATTTGGTGGGAAAATCATGAAAGAATTGACTAATATTGCAGCTTCATTTAAAGTAAACAATTGGTCAGTTTTGAATATTGTAACGCGAGAGGCTAGTTTTGCCGGTGCGTTAGAAGCTGGTTGGAAGCCGGGAGCTTTAGCAGCATTACAAGAAAAATGCCCAGATGTTTTGATATCATTGGGTGCTGATGAAATATTTTATAACTGGTCGCCACCACAGTCATGTAAACTTATTTATATAGGTTTTCAAGGTGATAAAGGTTCGGAGAATGCATCTATCGTTTTGCCGGGAAGTGCTTACACCGAAGCCGGTGGATTGTATTTGAATATGGAGGGTAGATCTCAACACGCACTTCCTGCAGTCACACCGCCAGGGAAAGCGCGTCACGATTGGAAGATTATACGGGCTTTAGCGGAATATACAGGGATATGTTTGTTCTACAGCGATCACAGTTCTTTATCCTGTCGTCTGTCTCAAGTGAGCCCTAATTTCGTACATTTGGGAAAGTATCAGGATAAATTATTCAGTGACTTGATTGCCCCTCTTATTTGTTCGGATAGCAGTGCGAATGGTAAACTTAATGTCGACATGAAGACTCTGGTTGATTATTATTGTACCGATGTGTTTACGTACAACTCTACGACGATGATAAAGGCTCAGAAAGCTGCAGCAGAGCTTGCGAAGTCTAGTTACGCTTGCGTGTAAATGTTTTAATTAAAATCCTAATGTTGTTTTTGGGTCCCTTATTTAGTACATAGACTAAAATTTGTAAGACGTACTTAAATAACAGAGAGAATACACTTAATGGAGGCAGTGCAGGACTGGCCGTTGTAGTTAGGGTAGGGCCTTTGTCCAGCAGTGGATGACTGTGGGCTGGAAAAACTTGGTCCACTTGGCGTTAGCGGCGCTACCAAAGTCCCCGTCCAGATTGCCGTATTACCCGAATGCAATTGAATTCTCAATAAGTATCAGAAAATGACCATACAACTCCATAAGCTCAGTAACACGCTCACTGGCAGTACTAACGCTTAGTCTCATAACATGCCTTGATGATTTAAGTACCGATGATTTCACTGGTGGCAGAGCATGATTCAGAAGGGATAGGTACTACTATCCCGCCTATTTCTGTTGCGAAGCAAACCTTTGCTGTGGACGTGCATGTCTCGACATACACGGTGGGACATTTCATTTGACATGACATTTATGGGCTTTGATGATTGTTCGGGGTAATATATGGGCTAGTTCTTCGATCTGAACAAGAGTTTCAGACGCTCAGAATTCAAATTTAATTTTCAATGTTATTCGTTCATCAGAATTAAGATATCTTTACGCAAGTGGGCCTTAATACGATTAGGAAATATTAAATAGCCATGACTCCCCCGTCGTTGGAGAATTCGTCCGTGAAAATGTTTCAAGTGATGCGTTCACTAGCTTTTTAAATTTTTTGCTGAATTGCTAATTTTTTCATTTTACTCTTTATAATATTCAATTGTACTGAGAAATCGATTTAATCGTCAATTTCAACAACTATACTATATATAACAAATAAAAATCACACATTTTCCTTCTAACTTGAGTTTGGAATTATCTTCTTTAAAATTTAAACTTTTAATGATACCAAAACCAGCCAAATACCAAATAGTAGGTATAGCCAAAGAGATTTTATTACAAGTTTATACATACTATAATGCGAAGACTTTTTCCCTAACCTATTATTTAGGTGCTTAGTAAGACTTAAGTTTTAGCTTACAGCAACAGTATTAGAACCGTCGTGCTGTTTCCAGGTATTGCTGAACAATTTAGAAAACCTTGCTGTTGCGGAGAAGGACGTGGCCAAGTGCCGACGAGAACTGCAAGCGGCGAGAGTGAACGCGATAGTTCACAAAGGCTTAGCGGAGCTGAAATATGAACCAAAAGCGTTAACTCGACTCAAGTGAATGCAAACAACCGTTTATTGTAAATAAATTGTTGCAGAAGTCTGTGCGCTGTTCGCGTGTCACAGGCATAATAAAATTAAAACTAATTTACGTATTAATTTCGAGTTTTTTATTGTCATTATAGTAAAGTGTTAAAGTGAAACTTTATTACATCGTCTCAAACTTTTTCGTCTGTGTGTTGCATGTCGCGTGACGGTCGGCCGCGGAGTAGGGTTAAAGTGAAAGGCGCTCGTCAGAGTAGCCAAGCCCAATATGGCGGCGCCTATAGTTCGCAGCAGCTGACCGTGTAGTGTATAGACTATTACTCATTTGTGTCAGTGCTCCACGCTATTTTGTTTGTTTTTTTAATGTGTATATAATTTAAATAATTGTTAAGTATTATGTATGTCGTACTCTAAGACACAGAAGAGTTCAATAAAAATATTAGTTGGAGACTTAGTCTACTTTTATCATATTCCATTATCATTCTAATTTCCAAGTATAAAATTAAGATTGATAAATTGATTTTTATACCCTTAGTGGAATATTATTCCAAAAATTTTTAGTTAAATGTCTATAATGTAAAAAAGTTTCACTTTTATCGTGGTTTCACAAAACCACACAATCCTTTTTTTAATTAAGTTTCGAATTTATACTACTTATACAGTTTTTGTGGTCATAGACAACTAATTGTCAGTATAGTTAAAATCGAATAATCTCTTGTCAATGGTCAGTCAAACAGAGCGAGGGATGTGAAATAAAAGATCATTCTGTAAAAACACAATCAAATTTTATTAAATATCAAATATTGTATTGTCTAACACGATTCCTTAATTATTATGTTTCACATCGATATTTCATAATGGAATAATGATAGTTTATAATTTATATCATGCATGTTGCTTGGAACAATAAAATATTGATAGTTAAAATATCACAAGTGATAGCGTAGTATTTAGAATAGACGATAATAGATAGTATAACAAAAATAAAGTTGTCGAATATACATAGTAATGGTAATATGATATATTCGGTGATAATTTTAAATATTGTCATGAAGGAACGAGATGTAGTGATGCGATAGTATTAAGATAGAAACTAAATAATAGGTTGAGTATCAAGAAAATATACGAGTATGCGAAATATTCATCGACGAAGAGGATACACAAAGGAAGTCACATACACATATCAAAATACACAATTAATTGGGATTATATGCAAAACCTACAAAAACGTACTAAACATGATTATTATCTCAAAACCGTATTATGATCAGTTAATATACGTCCTTACATACTACACATATTATATAGGTATTAAATGTTTTTATTTGTGCGACAAAGCTCTACACGGATGATCGGTAGTATATCAAGCACTCTTTCAAATATTCCGCTTAAACTGAATTATCCAGATGCCTCGAGATGATATTGTGTTTATTGTGAAACGCTATTGTTAAATAATGACTCATTAAAACTTGCTGATATGTGGTATGATGTGTTATTTGTTATTTGGTCGAAGAGTGTAACACCTCGTCTGCAGAACGCTGCCTTCAGTCCTAGCATCATCTAATATTTCTGATACGTTATGCATATGAACATTGTAATTTCACCAAAATAAAAGAAAATGGCGCGTCACAACTATGTACGAAACGAAATGAAGCGCTGTTTGATTTTGACGAAAAAATAAAACAGCGTCTCATCTTCGTTTAAATCATCAAAGCAATGTATTACCGCACCTTATTACCCGTACACGTTTATCGGGTAAGGTTATTGTATACATTTCAGAAAAAACTGCGCAAAACTTTATATATAAATGGACGACCGTGGTTGTCGTATAACGTTTTTTCATCAATTATCAACCTAGCGCCATACCAGAACTCGTCCCTACAACATATTACGTACACCGCCAACATGTCGTCAATACATTTCAGCTCATTATAGTTTGAACACGAGTATTGTCGTTCCCGAGTTCGGCGGGCGCTGCGATCTAACTTGTATAGCAGGTAAATCCGTAAAAACCGTCTAAGCATAATTTTAATATATGTATTAAAAACATGGAAGCACTTTCGCGGACAGACTCATTGCTGAATATGTTGGTATAATAAATACTAAGAGTATATCGATAGTCTGTACTGATATCATAATATACTAGATGATCTATCAATGGTCGCAACTCAACAAATAAAGGAGTCACGTACTGAGCAAACGCAATGCTAATGTCAAACATTAACGTAAAAATTTAATGTAATTCAACGAATACGATCTAAAAGTCGTGTTTTAACGAATACGATAATAGCTTTAACAGGTGAGTAACATAGTGCAGTGCGTAGACAGAGCGGTCTGAAGTCAGCGATGTCGCGAACTCAATCATTACGAATGAATTCGAATCAAATGATTGATTCACACTTTGGTAATGGTCTTCAGTTTTCGGCTCCTGATGCACCTAAAATAAAAAAAATTAAAATGTCATTCAATAAATTTGTAACAAAATAGAGTTTACTTTTGAGGGAATTTATTTATTTATTTTATAGCATAGTATTGAGGTATAAATTTCACGTTATTAAATAAAAAAAATACATTATTTTTAATGCGTTTTCCAAGTGCTGTAAAAAGATGGCGCCCACTATTCAAGATGGCGATCGTGTTTCTATAGTTCTCTTTGGTGATAGTGACGCTAGCTATTTTTATTATCTATGTCGAAAAAAATATTAATTAAAAGTTTTTATTTTTTTATTGCCCGAGCAGGCGAGTATACGGCCCACCTGATGGTAAATTGTTACCGTAGCTCATGGACGTCAGCAATGCCAGGGGCAGAGCCAAGCCGCTGCCTACCGCAAATAGTACTAATAATTATTCCAGATCTGCAATAGTTTTAAAATTAAACTCGTATCTATCACTTTAGCGCTAGAGCTATATAATAATACCAGCTCTACTCGCGCGCTTCGCTGGGCATTTAAAATTAACATTATTACTTCTCACCCACACAAAGATTCTCATCATTAACGCACCCACAACTAGTGTAGGGATTACAACACGAATATAAATATTAGCCTATCCATTAAGTACATGTATTTTCTACATGGATACCAAGTTTCAAGTCAATCGGATGCATGGGTCAGTAGTTATAACGGAACATCCGTAAAAACCACTGTAGATTTATACAGTACAGGTAAGAGCGGTACCTAATGAATCCACGGTACAGCATGAACGCGCCGTACAGACTGAGCACCAGGGTGGCCGTCCACACCACGGCCAGCACTGAACTGCTCCCCTCTGTAGAACATCATGGAGCATATTATTTCCCTCGGTTCATCCGAGTCGTAGACACAAACAAAACTATTTTTATTTGTTGATCGTAAATTATTCTCTTTTGCTTTAAATTAAATTAGTTAGTCGTTCGTGACCACGAATACTGTAAAATCATCGAAACATCGGTAATAATTAGAAGAAGAATAATAAACGCCCGATTAAACTGTAAAAGTAGTTTTAATTATGTCTATGACATCAGACTAAAGAGAATGCAGGCCACAAAAATTTACAAAAAAATAACGACTTTTTTTTTTACCTATGCTAGCTTTGAGAGGATATTTTAGTTTCTCCTTGACGTGTAGGTAAGCTCACGGGGCTCAAGCCTGGAGTGTTGCTAGTACTGGGCCTAGCAAGCGCTTCGCAGAATCTACCACCGGATCGGAAACGCGACCCACTGAGAAGATCCGGCGAGAAACTTAGTGGGCTGTGTCTATGGGCTAATTTACTCGTCGAGCCCTTCGTCGCAAGCGACGGGTTCGAAGAGAATGTTGACCGGCAAAAACGACAAAGAATACTTCATGGTCTAATCCTAAAATTGAAACACAATTCCTATTTTTTTTTCTATTGCTTTGATGGGTGGACGAGCTCACAGCCCACTTGGTGTTAAGTGGTTACTCGAGCCCATAGACATCTACAACGTAAATGCGCCACTCACCTTGAGATATAAGTTCTAAGGTCTCGTATAGTTACAACGGCTGCCCCACCCTTCAAACCGAAACGCATTACTGCTTCACGGCAGAAATAGGCGGGGTGGAGGTACCTACCCGTGCGGACTCACAAGAGGTCCTACCACCATCTCCGGATGCACGTTCCGCTTCTTACCGAGGTATCCGTCATGGTAGACGTCGCGGTCGACCCAGGGCTGCCGCGGCTTCTCCTCGCGCGGCTCGGTGGCCGGCGCGTCGGGGAGCTCGTCCGAGTCGCTAGTGCAGTTCGCCCATTCGATTGTGACGTATCTAGAGGATAGATAATACGTTCGGTGAATTGAGAAATTGAGTTTCATACACTCTATAGGATTCTAGCACGTGTAGCTAATTTGGTCAGTGTGCTTAATGCGAGTTTTTTAACTTCTCGATCGCGTAAAAGTTAAATCAAATTTGTATGGAGTTGGAACAGCTTCCCTTCGTATGCCGTTAGGGACGCTGTTCCAACTCCGTACATGGTTTTTTAACCAACTCCATACAAATTTGAGTTAACTTTTACGCGATCGAGAAGTTAAAAAACTTGCACTAATCTATAATTTATGGCGAGCGGAACTATGCTACGTCTAGTCTACATAGATGTAAGTGTTCACCTGGAAGGCGTGTTGCAAGTCCTGGTGGGTCTGAGCAGCAGCTGCCGGGTGCGGGAGCGGGCGCCGGCGCGGCACGGGCCCCACGCCCCCCACGGCCCCGGCTGGCCCGCCGCCTGTCTGCACCCGCACTCTACTTCACACGACCCCTCCTCCTATCACCCGGAAAAACAAAAACTAATCACTATAATTGTCTAAAGTCAGTCCTACTTCAACTATTGCAATTTATTTTATATTTATTTATTTCATTTACTTCAGATTTTAGTATTAAAATTAAATAAAAACAATACCTACAATTTCGGAATAAAATAAAAATAAACTAATTATAAAACGAAAAATAAAAATAAATCTCAAAACCTTAACCTTAATCTATCATAACCTGTCATAACGTTAACCTTAACCTAAAGGCTGGTTTGGATCCTGAGTGCTCAACACACACACTTGTCCAGTGTTGTACTATTGGCATAGATTTCATGTCCCAAGGTGGGTGGCGACATTTATGTTTTTGATGTTTATGGACTCTAGTAACTACTTAACATTTCAAGTCTGCAGCCTCGAGTATCAAAAACGG